TCTCGTCGATTAATTAATCGATCAAGCTTCGATTCGTTTCTTCATTTTATTACAAAGCCTCGCGTACGGTTTTTCACAACTTTTCTTGGAACGTTTCGTCGGGCCGGATATTTTATACAACGTTTCACGCTAATTACTTTCACCGACTACGACGATCGCGTGTTACGAGTATTGGTGTCAGACGTAAATTGGACGGCATTTGCGTTTCTTTTCGTAAATCGTACATGATTCGTACAAGAAAATGGCTTAACTCTGATGATGAGCGTTTAACCCTTTGCACTGCTATTCGTTAATTTGTCCCGACACACGATTTCACGACAATTTCTCATACTTATTACAAGATATATATATACACATGTTTTACTTGGGAATTTGTAAAACCTACCCTTCGTTGCGCCAATTTCCTTTCAACTTAACCCCTCGGGTGCCGGTATTCGAACGGACTGCCAAAGGGTTAATTACGAACTTAACTGTACGAACAGAATTGTCCAGATAAATAATTGCACAGCGCAAAGGGTTAAAGGTTGACGCGAATCTTACAAAGTACATATGAACAATCAGTCTACGAGTGCTTCCACTTGAACTTCCCGTTACACCGGTGTTCGTCCTGCGATCAAGCCCATGATATACGTACAAGTAGAAAAAGAAAAGCGTTCGCAAACTTAATTCTACGAGATCTTCGGAGCGTCACAACGATAAACAATAATGACAAGGAACGCAGAGTTTCCATCGAGCAACTTTCTTTCTGTTATTTGTACCAATAAAAAAAAAAAAAAAAAGTGGACACGGACTAGCAAAATCCGATGTATATATTAAAAAAAAAGAAAAAAAATTCATATCCAGCGGCCTGATCTATTTTCTTCTGCCTTTTTTTTTTTTTTCTTTGCTCGTCGATCATTAAATATCACGACTGTTGACTTATGATTATCGACATTTCATGGAAGGTATATATATATCAAAATACAAATAAAGATTCATCAAACGATATCGACGAACAGGCGCGTCTTGTACAAAGTGAACGAACATTAGGACATAATCGTCACGGAAACAGAGGTGCCAAGTATCTACATAAGTACCGTTGACAGAGAGATAAAGAGAGAAAGAGTAAAAAATAAAATTAAAAAAAAAAAAAAAAAAAAATAAAAAAAAAATCGTAGATTAGTGTAAATGGATAACGAGTTCACTCGTCGCAGTCTTATGTATAGAGTCAAGATTAAGTTAAATAACGATTCTTCTATTTGTCCAACGCGTGTACACGCGCCGATCAAGAAAAAACCATTGTCGAACGCGATAAAAATAGTCCCTTAAGTGTAATACCTAGCCGATAATTTACAATTAACACGATTTATAAATAAACGCTAAATCGGTAGCTAACGTTACACCGCTAAAACGTGTTTCAGTCGACAGACGAATGAGCGATGCTTCGACACGACCAGAGTACGAATACGTTTTAGAACGAAAATCATTGCCCTTGCATTTTACAACGTAACGGGGACAGCGTCGAACAACGAAGGATTCCAACGATGTAACGTGGACAAACGATTGTTCGATCGCTTATCGTCACGATAATCGTATCAATGAATCATGATATTCTCGGTTCCATTCGTAGAACGTACCGGGAAGGAAAAATAATATACAAAATGAGAACGAATACGAAAAGAATCCCTTCGCGAGATTGTCTTCTCTCTTTTCCCTCGTTGTTTCACACCACTTCCGTTCGCGTTGTTCCTACGTATGATCGCGGACGTAGAATATAAAAACAAAGGGTGAGTTGAAAGAAAAAAAAAAAAAAAGGAAAAAAAAGAAAAAAAATAGTAGAAAAGCAGAGGGCGACGGTGGCGTAATTAGTTGAGTAAAAGAATTAACTGAGGGCGGCCGGAGGGGGCGAGTTGGTGCTATGGGGGCGGGATGTGCGGGATGGCGCGCATTTTGTGAAAATCGACGAAACATGGCCAGCGGCACAAACAGGCATTGCAGGGCCAACATTTGAAGCGCGTCTGCCTGAGCTTTCCACGTGATGTGACCATTCCGCGCTGCTTGCAGTGTACACATACTTTTCCGTGGCCGTTTGCTTTGCTGAGGCTATGCGGCTGACCAGATACGTACGTAATCCCTCCTGGAGAAAACACATTGGCCAAACACTTTCGGTTAGTCAGTTCTTAAGTACATGTGCACATGCAGGCAACCATTAGTAAACAAATTGCAATTTTTTTTTTTTTTTTAACTTTCTATTTTCTTTTGTTTCGATTTGCATATTTTTTTTTTTTGCTTTGCTTTTTTTTGTTTTTAAAATGACCAATCCCAGCACCAACCAATCCCGTAGCCGTGAAAGCCAGTCTAGAGTATCAGCAATACCAATACCCACACGATATATGTATATATATATTGTCGTACGTGTATGCGTGTATTTAGGTGGAAATATATAGCATTGCCAGGTGCTAGCCGAATCTGTCGATTTCTCTTTTCCTTTTATTCCGTTTCTCTTCCAGTTTCCTTTTCCCTATCACCCTTTCTTCCCTACTCTACCTCCCTCCCTACCGCCCTTTCTTTCTTTCTTTCTTACTCTTTTTTTTTTTTTTTTTTAAGCAGCCTGGCAACTAATTGCAGACCGCGAATTTCTCCTTTCGATTAGAACCGAGACTTCGATGAATTGTCCTCTCTTTCTTCGATCATCGACAAAGTTCTCTTTGCTTCTTCTTATTTCAATATGTCTCTCTGCTGGATCCTCTCGGAAATATCTCTTTCTTGGTAGACGTACTTTTATTCTGTCCATTTCGTTTCATTTAAGTTTCTTTCTCCAGCAAACCCATCGTGTTGGTTCGTTTGATCGACCAACGATTTTATCGTCGTGATAAAACATTCTTCGATTCTGTATTGTATCAATTTGAACACGATTACAATCGTACTTGTGTCTTTTTACGTCGAGTTACAAGGTTTAGCGTGTGTACAGCCAGCAAAGGAGAATAATTCCACGCGCGCACACACAGAACACTCGTTAATTATAAATTATCGAGCTTCAACTTCTTTGATAGCGCCTCGATACAAACTCCTGTGCCGTATTTTTTTTTATTAAAACCGTCGCTTTACACGCTTGTTTCACGCCTAAACAGCAACCTGGGTTACCTATGTGTGATTCGCAATCGCGATTTACATGTTTCTCTTTTATGTACCGTAATCGGATGGAAATTTGTCACGAAAGAAACTCCTGAATAATTCCTATACAAATAGTACACACGTTTTACATTTTTCGCGTCTACTCCTTGTCTCAACGATGAAACGAACGCAATGAATATTCCGCTTTTACCTACCTGTCGAAATTTGCCTTTTTTTTTTATTATACATATATAAAAAAGATAGGAAACGTATTTCGGATCGGGTCGCGTTTGAAAGTTTTCTCTCGAGATACCGCGTCGCAGTGATTGATTTTGAATGAAAATGATTTCAGGAAAACCCGTCGCTTCCATTTCCATCGCGCGCGTTAAACACTTATCGATTCGACCTAAATAATATCGGATTTCCCACGCAACCGTATGGTTCTTATTTTTCTTTTTTTTTTTTTTGTTCCAACATTCACGATACACCATGAGAAGAAAGAATAAACAAGATAATACTCAACTGTGGAAAAAGATCGTTTTACATGCTATTATCACCAGCACCACCACCATTGCTACTTTAGATTAGTCGTATTGCAAGGCTACGTATTTTCCTCGTAAGGGAAATAATTACCAGTTTGCAAGTTAATCTCAACTGCCAGTAATCGCAATAATTTAATTGGGAAAATGATCGTTGCAATTTTTTCTTTTTTTTTCTTTTTCTTCTTCTAAATATAATTCCATACACTGTACGATTCCTAGGAAATTCCTGACGATTTTAAGATTAACTTTGCATGCGAGTAAATGACGCGTGTGAATAATTGCTACACACACGCGCGCGTGCACGTTTTGTAAAGTTTCTACGATACAAAGAAAAAATTACCTCATACCAGCATCGAAAGATATTTTTTAGTGTATACACATAGATATGTTTTACAGTTAGTGCGCATAAGGAACGTAGTGGTGGCTTTTGTGTATGAGTTATTAAGGAAATTCTGATGATTGTCGGCACACATACAGCACTTGGCAATGCTTGCTAATATCTACAGTTCAACCTACACCCGAGTGCCTATACCAATACATTTATATCCAAAAAATCATGCACACTGTGCTACGCTATTGTACAGCTAAATAATTAATAAGAAATAAGGTAACATTCTTTCACAACAAAAAAGAAATGCATTTCTCCGATAAATAATTGTGAAACGTTTGCGTCAATGTTTTGCCACACGATCATTGCTTTTCAGTCAACGCGGTCCTAACATCTTCGCAATGAACGTAGATGAGAAAAAAAAAAAAATTATTTCAGACATAGGATTCGAAAAATTTATCCTTTTTTTTTGTTTAGAACGAATCAATGGCAATTTAAATTTATGTTGTTTGCAGAAAATACTACTGATATCTCTAACTTTGTCAATCTTTAGTAAACAAAATTTTATGTAATCTTTGTTGCAAGAAATTATCGCATATTTTTTCTCCAAATTAAATGATAAAATTAGTTTCCCTCCTAGATCTATGATTTTGTCACCAAACTTTGATACAAGTAATCGAAAGTTAATGAAAGTTATATATAGAAATATAGACGACCGTTTTGTACCCACGTTACGGAGATATTTTCTTAGAAGATCTTAGAACAGAGACATGATTTTACATATATAGATCGTCCCAGAAAAAAAATCTGTAAATCCATAATACCAGTGTACATTACACATGGGGACAAAACGTTAAGTTATTCAGCAATGCCATTTCTTTTATTTAAAAAAAAAAATATGAAAAAGTAAAATTTCTTTTCGTATTTATCATCATAATTCTGTCAATAAATAATTAGTAGTTGAATTTAAAAGATATGACAAAGCATCGAATTTATCGTAAGAAGGTTAAGACGAATATTGATTAAAAAACACTTACCCTGTACTGCTTCTTGCGTTAACCTTTCTCCAGATGTACTAGGTTTTGAAAGTAAGTGGCCTAATTGAAAGACAAAATTATACAACATATCTCTCAACGCATTTCAAAAAAGTATTACAACATTATTGAAATATTAATCATTGAAAAACATGAATAAAAATCTTACCAACATCCGCCGACTGATGTTTGAGATCCATACTATCCGAAGTGGACTGATTACTTGAATAGAACGTTTGACTGATATCAGGTTTCTGATCGTGCTCCGGCGTGTTAGAAGATGTATCTTCTATACCCATTTTATTTAGCGAACTGTCTCCTAGACTTTGTTCTTCGTAACTACAGCTACTTCCATCTTGTACTAAATACTCAGGCATTTCCAACTTCAAATTTGGCATCAGAGGAATTATTTCAACAGGATCCGATCCGGTCGTCGACTGATTTTCTGACAATTTATTTTCAGACTCTTTCGTAGATAAAGCATTACCCACGGTCTTATCTGCATTTGTATTTGCATTTTCTCTACATTTTCGTCTTTTGCTCGGTGGAGCATCGGGTTGTAAATCAACGGCATGGTAAGGCATCGGCGATGAGGGTGATTTGTTTCTTTTACTATCTGTTGCTTTGCTAGCAGCATTTTGAAGTTGAATTTCAGGTTCATTAGGAAGTTCTATGTCGTCCTGAAACATGATTTATAAATGTGATTAAAATGTATTAATGTTTTAATGTAATGTTAATTTAAGAAAACCTACCTCTACTAAACTATCATTATCTTTTCCTGTACCATCTGTAAGACCTTGAACAGCTAATAATTCAGCAGTTGTTAAAAAACTTGCTAACTGCTCTTGAACTACATTCACTTCACCCTGATACATAAAATCAACTAATGCAGCTAAATCATCAAATTTCACGTTACGAAATATTATAACAGGATGCTGACATGGATTTTCCTATAATAAAATAAATATTACAACATGTTTAATTTTAACAATCGTATCAGTCATTTATCTGTTTTAATTTACCTTAAATAAATCTCTGAAATATGTACTACATGCAGATAAGAGCATTTTGTGTGCTCTTATTCTTTTTCCCTCACAGCTTAAAGTTACATCAACGAGATCCTCTTCTGTCCTTAATGTATCAAACGCACAGGTAATGTGTTTCAAATAATTATTCCACCTAAGAGAGAATTGTTGACTGGAACCCATACTGGTTTTCTGAAATAAAACAGAATTATTGCACAAATATTGAAGAAACATATTAATGAACTACAATATATAATTACAGAATCACTATCTATTAAAATGATGAAAAATAAATAATGATATTTTCTTTGATCTTTTTGTGCATAATATAATAGTATTATTGAGTAAGTTTTTACCGTATTTGCAATTAATGCACTCCCAAAATAATAACGTGAGTGAGGTCAAAAGATCTGCGGCCCTTAATACGTAGCGCAGTGAAATTATTAGCGATGATCGAAAAGCGGCCGTCAAGTTATTAAAATTATTGAAAAAATGTGGAAGTAGCGTTAACGCATTAGTCCTGATACGTTTGGCGAAAAATAAAAACTGTAAACAGTAGAGCGGAATAGAATTTCATGGCACTGTGGAAGGTTTCACGGGTTCCGCATGTAGATGAAAAGTGGCGTCGATCTACTAAACGATTTCAACGTTATGTAATTGCATCGCGCCAGACGGTCTTGTATACGATAAATGATTTTTCACAGAATCTTATGTCACTTTACAAGCCACACTTTCCGATTAAATGACAGCTGGTAGCCATTTTCCTTCAGGAAAACGCGTAAGATGCGCGAAAAGAACTCAACTTCCTACAGAAACCACGCGCGATGCGTGGGACGTTTCGATGCATGTGTTGAACACCTTAAAGGCGTATTCATTGGAACTTAGGGAACGTTTTTTATCGATATTCATGAACGTTACCATTCTTTTTTATTTGTTTAATTCTACTTTATGTTATAACTAAAATAGATGCAATGTGTGTTGAGAAAACGTATTGCAATCTCTTCAGGATATCAAGAATCGAGAACAAATAATATAGCCATTGATCTACCGAAATTTATTACATATTTATTACATAAAACGAAGGACAATTGACATAAAAAACAAAAAGAAGTGAAAAACATGTAATTTTTGGTCCATTTATTCTTTCTTTACGTTTACAGAACTCCTTCTTACTGAAGTTTACAATCTTCGTCAATTTATGTTTTACGCTTATACTTAGTTGATAAAACAGTTCAGAAACCTTTTATTATGTCCTATCAATTCTAGAAAATAAATAAAATCAGAGGGAGTGATAATTGGTTCTTTCCAGATGTCAGTCTGAATAATTGTAATGTTTATAGTCTTTTATTTACTCAGTTGCAAAATTAAATGTCTTACCTGTCGATAAGTCGATAAAAATTCGACTCTTTCGCCATCTATGTAAGGATGGCTGAAACTACTCGACAATTTACCGACTGCAGGATTACCGATCGATAAGCCGGCAACTTACCGACTGTCGGAATAGATTCTCGAATAGTTTGGGCTGTGTTTGTATAGATGGCGCTGGAATTACGTATTTCAGAAATATGTAAGTTTGACCCCTGTGGCTCGGGGGGATTAGAATACGGCCACGGTATCCCCTGCCTGTCGTAAGAGGCGACTATAAGGGGACACACAAGCAAAAAATTGTAAAAGTATGGCGGAAAAACAGAAGCAAAAGTATGGCAAATGTATGAAACAATGTAAAATGCAAAAGAGAATGAGATTTGAAAAAAGGCGCACAAAGACCGATACTAGCATGCAGGTCTAATCTCATGAAGGGGTGTCTAGGACCCCCTCAGTAAACAAAGGCATGTCCAGTCTTCTACATCTGTAGTCACTGGGTATGTCCAATTTTGTTAGATCTGTAGTAGTTGATTTTGTTTATATATAAAGTAATATATTACTTCTATTATGGAATTACCTCCAGATGAACAAAATCTGGCACAGATACTCGATAAATTACATGAAGATGAGGTTTTATCATTTTTTTTATTTTTATATAAAGTTTAAATGATGTCTATAATAATAACAACTTGTAACATTTTTAATTGCAGATTAAGATAGAAAAAAATTTGGAAAATATACTATCAAGACAATGTTATGTAGAAGCAAAATTGCAAAATATAAGTAAAGTATTACCTAATGTTAATATAATACGTACAGAAGCTGAAAAGTTTTGTAATATGATTGCACGTACCAATGATTTAGCAGAGAATGTTAGTGCCAAAGTAAGACAGTTAGACCTGGCAAGGGTATGTAGTTATCTTTGTATGTAACTATTAACTGTATAATGTACCACAGTAGTAATCATTTAATGATTATGTTGTTTTAGAGCAGAGTATATGAATGTCAAAGACGTGTTAATGATATTCTTGATTTACAATTATGCAGTGAAGGGGTAGCTATGGCATTACGTAATGAAGATTATGAACAAGGAGCTGCACATGTTCATCGTTATCTGTCAATGGATCAACAATTATTAGAAAGAACAGCTGAAGATATCTTAATGGATCATACTAGTATTAGTAGTTCTTTAATCACTTTACAACAAGCTGCATTACAACTTAGAACAGTGGTCACACATAAATTTGATGAAGCAGTTAAGTCAGAAGATCTGGCTTCTGTTGAAAGATTCTTCAAAATATTTCCTTTATTAGGAATGCATGTAGAAGGACTTAAAAAGTTTTGCAGTTATTTATGTACAAAGGTAATAAGTTATACACATTAATAAATTCAGTTAGATAACAATTGATATATTGAAGCTATATATTTTTCATATCAGCTACATGAAACAGCACAAAAAAATTTGAAAGCTGCTTTGGAAATTAAAAGTAATGACAAAAGAGCATCAGTCATTTTTGCTGATACTATGACATTATTATTTGAGGGAATTGCTAGAATTGTAGAAATACACCAACCAATAATTGAAACATACTATGGTCCTGGAAGACTGTTAATGACAATTTCTATTCTCCAGAAAGAATGTGACAGGTAAGTTGTGTGTAAATACAAGAAATAATGTTAAATATTACTATTAATTACTGTTTAAATAGGCAAGCTAAGAAGATTATTGCAGAATTTATGAAACATAGATGTATATCTAAAAAAATACAAATGGTGAATGATCATCTTCGGAAACCAAGTTCTGAAAGGGTAGATCCTAAAGAATTTGATTTGCTGCTAGGAGAAATTACTATAATGCATTCACGAGCAGAATTGTACATTCGATTTTTAAGAAGAAGGGTTAAAGTAAGTTAAATATCTTTCACATAATACAAATTTTTCAAATAAATACATCGTTTTTATTACACAGAATGATATAGAAATTAGTGTAACAAATGATGAACAATTTAAAGATTTAATGAATGAATTTGAAAGTATTATCAGTAACTCTGATACAGCACGTGGAATGCAAGAACTTTTGGGTGCTTATCTTGCATTAGAAAGATACTTTCTTGAAGAAAGTGTTAGTAAAGCATTGGGAATGGATACTTTAGAACAGGATCAGCAAACATCTAGTATGGTTGATGATGTTTTCTTCATAGTACAAAAGTGTATCAGGTAGCAGAAAAATATTAATTATGTATTACATTAAGTAGTAGTATATTTTTACATTTTACTTTAATTTTATCAAATTTATCTACACAGGCGTTCTATGTCGAGTTGGAGTATAGATGGTGTCTGTGCGGTAGTTAATATGGCTTGTGGCATTTTAGAAGGAGAATTTGCAAATCGATTACGAAACCGATTACGACAAGGCTATCCAGCTGGATACTTAGATTTGGCTCAAGCTTATAGTGCCCTTCAAACAAGTATTCAACATGGTCGTTTACAAACTTCGGATACAGAACTCGCTCGTTTAACGTTTCTGGTAAAATTAATTACGATTTTGAAAGTGTTAAAAACTTGATAGATCTATACATCTAACGTATCTATTGTTTAGGCGTATCTAAACAATACCGACGTAAGTATTGAATATGTTGAGACGCTATGTAAGACCCTTAGTACAGAAATAGATGCCACATTTCCTAATATGCAAGATAAGGATAGGGGTAAAATCGACAGTTGTTTGTCTGGTTTGAAGGGCGTTATGTCAATTTTGCGAGCTGTTACAGATTATGGTTTAGAACAATTACGTGTAAGCGCTATTAAACCTAGAGTTACACCTTGGGTCGATGCCTTCTCATCGATAGATCATCACATGAACGAGGTAAATAACAACTACGTAGAACCCCTAGTCATTTAAAACAATAAATTATATTTTCAGGATGATTTATTAAGATACGAAACAGAAGAACCTTTTGTACAAACCTTAATCATGAACTTAGACGGTTTGCTTCAAAGTTTTAAAGGAAGTCTAACAACAGCCAATTACGATGCGTTAATTGGTCTTCTTACTGCTGAAGTTACAGCTCGTTTAGAGAAAGTTGTATTAAAATCGACTTTTAACAGAGTACGTATATTTAAAATGTACGTGTTTCTATAAGACTATAATTAATTTCAATTCAATTTAGGCAGGGGGTCTTATACTCGACAAAGAAATTAGGTCATTAGCAAGTTACTTGGCTGCCTTCACTTCTTGGTCTGTACGTGACAAGTTTGCCCGGCTAACCCAAATAGCTACAATATTAAGTGTAGAAAAAGTGGAAGAATTAGCCGATTACTGTGGTGCAGATGCAATAGCATGGCGACTAACACCCGCGGAAGTTCGACGAATAGCTTCTTTAAGAATAGATTTTCGCCCGGAAGATATAAAAAGATTAAAACTCTAAATTCTCATGTAGTTCAGTATTACAACTAACAATGTTATTCGTATTAAACTTACCCCTTAATAAACGTTTAGGTTAAATGTTTCGATCATATTCAGAAGAATCAAGAATTAATCGGATAACATCACAAATTTAATTTTAACTTTTTTTATTACTAATGAATTCAGTTTTACATTTAATTCGTTATAACGCCATGAATTAAATCAATGTAAATCGTTTATTCAAATTATATACGAGCGTACATCGTTTTCTTTATTTTACTTTTCTTGCGTTTGTCAATTTACAAATTAATAATTTTATGACATTTTTACTACTAGAATTTACGTAATTTCAACATGTGCAATACCCTTTTTTAAAAACTCACTGTGACATTTGTTTTTAAAATATCATAAAGTTTTTTATAATTGTACGGAATATTTTGCTAAAATGTCGTGTATGTCACAAATTTATCAATTGTAACTTCTAATGCATACATTACAAAATCGTGTGTTAGTTTTCTAGATCTCATAGAATTTTGCCATGTTGATATTTTTTAATGTTTCACAAATTTAAAGATGATGAAAAATGTATCTTCCTGTGAAGTCTTCAAATCTTCAGTGTTGGTATCTTCTTTGAATAGTCTTCCTAATGAAATTTCAGCGTTGGTTCTTCTTCTTCGAATCCCACGAAGCCCCACGTTGATGCTGTCCTCGAATCCCACGAAGTCCCACGTTGATGGTGTCCTTGAATCCCATTAAGTCCCACGTTGATACTGTATTCAAATCCCGCGAAGTCCCACGTAGTCCCACGTAGAAGATTGGTAGCAAACTTTCCCAAATCCCATCAAGTCCCACGATGTTCCATGTTGGTAACTATCCACGTCCCACGAAGTCCCACGATGATCCCTGGTCCATGTTCCACGATGTTCCACGATGATCCCTGGTCCATGTTCCACGATGTTCCACGATGATCCCTGGTCCATGTTCCACGAAGTCCCATGATGATTACCGGTCCACGTCCCACGAAGTCCCACGCTGACTCTTGGTCCACGTCCCACGAAGTCCCACGATGACTACTGATCCACGTCCCATGAAGTCCCACGATGACTACCTCCTGGTCCACTTCTCATGAAGTCCCATGATGGCCCCTGGTCCACGTCCCACGAAGTCCCACGTTGATTACCGTGCGCCTCCCACGAAGTCCCGCGTTGATTACTATGTATATCCCACGAAGTCCCACGTTAAAAATTGGTCTACATTTCAGGAAGTCTCGGTATTCAAAATTATCCGACTTCTATGATGACCCATGGTGAAAAAAATCTGCATTCCATAAAATCTCAGGTGAATAAATTCTCCACATATTAATACTTTCCATTCATTATGCGTTCACCAAAAAGACGAACTGATTACCTTTTTTATTTAGGTCTTCCATAAAACTCCGTACTGAAAAGCCTTTTCTCCTGCCTATATTACTTCTATCGAATGCTGTTCCCACGTTATTTTATTTTCTTCATCTTCTTCGTTGCGCGTTATTTTGTGGTAGTATCTTTTCCTACTATACGATGTCCTTATGGTGATACTTTCTTCGTCTCATATAGTTTCTTGCTTATTCTTCATATAATGAAGCCCAAGGTAGTAACCTACTTTTTAGACCTCATGAAATCTAACTTAATACTTTCTTTTTATGTCTGACAAGTATACACTCCAATCTCAAAAAAGCTTTTTTTACATAAATTCCTACAGTATTCTTGGCGTTTCAGTTACTGGTAATGAGTTCTTTTATAAGTTCTAGTTTGACTATGTTATATCATTCGATACTGCATATGTAATTGCCCATTTTTCAATTTTCAATTCTTCAGATTTAGTTAGAAAAGATGTTGGAAAACATTAGATGAAGTACGTTTGAAATTCTTCCCTGTTTCTTAAATATTAAAATGTAACTCTTGATCAAATTCATTAAAATCATACTGCTATAAATAAATCTGAAAAGAAACAGAAATTTACTTAGTTTGATTTCCTGTGAACCAGGTTTGAAATTCTTTTAAATCAGACGAGTCTTACTTTTTTTAAATAAAAAGGAAGGCATTTTTGCTGGAACTCTGCATCCTGTATTCCTCTATCTCAAAATGCCTATACAACAGATCCTTTGAAAAATCCAAGTGGAAATCCTCAACTGCCTTCCCCCTTTTTGAACTCGCATTTCCATCATAGAATACAATAATAACGAACAATCCAGATATATATAGTCGACTTCAATTTTCGAGTTGTAGCATCAAATTGGCATTCAACTTATTCCTCCATTTTATATTTCATAATCCGGCCTTTGATTTTTCGTCAGAAAATAGAAGAAAACCCACGAACTCAACGAATCTCATCCGATTTTCCAGTTATTCGACAATCCAGAAAACTGCTAACAGCTGCTAATGACGAGCCAGAATACCACCAAATTCCGTAAGACAATGAATAGAGATCTAAATCGCTGTTATGCTTCTCCCAGATATTAAGATTTCTTGTTTGTACGAATTCTCATATGATCGTGATGATCGATTCCTAAAACATTTGGTTAGCTTTTCCGAAAGGGAAGCATGGAACATGAAAAAAAAATGTACGTTTACAAACTACTCCACATGAAATAACCACAATATAATTTATATAAATGATTAAATCCTAAATTGTCACGTTGTTTTAACTTATCTGCTGAGCATAGATTCCCATGAATTTGCGAGAACTGGGTACCAGAGATTTTACATATAGCATATACTTGCATTGTCTTTTCCACACGTTTTGGCAGAGATCAAAATGTATAATGGATACATGTGAGAATATTTACGTGAAACGTTCATTAGCTTCAGTCTTCGAACTGCTTCATTTTCTATGTTAACTTATTTTCTTGCGAATGTTATCTACTTAACAAACAATTAGCGGCAAGCTTTCCTGTCCTAACTCATCTCACGCTATTATATTTCTATTAAAATGGTAAATCAAGTCTGCAATCATACATTAAATTACACAAGCAGAAATCATATAAAATCCTGAATTATCAAACGAATACCCTAGAATAAAAATTAGTAAATTATCAAAGCATAATGCAACATTAAGAAAACACTACTACTGTAAATCACAAATTAACTGCATTTACTCTTTCAGTCTCTTCTTCAAAAGATTTGTCTTAGGAAAACTGAACTTTTTTTTCACTCACTAGAACTATGAATACTGTTAGTAACATGTTCATGGATTATCTGATACATAGCAGACTTTGGATTAATCATTTTTTGATGTTCAACGTTTCACAATTCCCACGTAATCACGAACTTAATACATATTTTGTAACTTTCAACACTTGTAACACGGTGTAACTGAACTTTAAAGTGAAACAATAACTTCATTTGAAACTGAATATTTTCAAAAATTTTACATTTAGCAAAGCACTAATCATTATAAGCATTAACACTATGTTTACACTCATCGAAAACATTCAATACCACGATTAATATTAATATTGAATCCTAATCAAACTGTTACTTACAGTTACTCGACAAAAACCCAATGATGTTGATTTTGATCTTTTATCTTCGTTCTGTACAAACTCGTTATTAAATATTTGCATCTCAAATATAATGAATTTTACTTTTTCAAATACATCTTTTAATACTTTATATCTAAAGTTTTTGAAAATTTTCCCATTTGCCATATTTCTTGTTCCTAATGTAATGAAAATAATGTTCTTTAAAGTAATATATACATACATAATGTACTTCGGTATACGGGGATTGCCCCTTAAAATAGCAGCTCAGTACAGTCTCATTACTCGACGAGTGAAATTTTCTTGCACTTCCTGAAGCAAAAATCAAATCCACCAAAGATACTCCAGAAAACATTATCAGTCATTTATACATTTGAGCAAGCCTAATTTGGTAACTTCATATGCTTTAATGCCGTCATGCTGTCGTTTGCAATTTATCAGTTTCAAATGTATGGTCAACTGCTAATATCTTTCTGTGAAGAAAACTCAATAGATTGTCTTACAGCCCTCCCCAATTTCTCCAGGTACTTCTCTCTCTCTCTCACACACATATTAAGTAGCCACGTGAACTCTATTAAAATTATAACACATGAAAAGCATCTTCACAGTATTGTTAAGAATCCATTGATGAAATACTCATGCTGGAATGGATCACCCCTCGTCGATCTAAAATATATCTTATCGAAGATAATGCTTTAAGCAAAATGAAAATACGTTTCTGTACAAGAGTATACTCTTCTCATCCTCTTCCATTCCTTAATCAATGTTTCGTTGTACATCTCCAAATCCTTCAACAGCCGAATGCAATTTAAGTGCAGAAAAAACTTACAATCGTATCATGCTTATTGATTACAGTGTACATATAGCTGTATCTGCTTCAAAGTACTGAAACTGTAGAATCAATATTTCTGCTACTACATAGAAAACGACCGGCTTGGGTGTATCCATCCATTATTAACGAATTCCATTCCAGATTTCATCCATCGCAGTTAAAGGATAGCAACAGCATCAACCCTGTAGCTCACAACACAAGATTGCATACCCAATTCCCCGATATTCCCCCTACTTATATATGCACAATTTTTACAAATTTGAACTGCTTGCAATTACGCTGTTACCTTCTTTTCACACTGCCTCTACTTAAAAGCGTAGCTTGTACTTAAATCAAGTATCTCATCGGTCAGTTATCGGTAGTAACTATGTCAGGATCCAGTTAGGATTTATACGTAACGTGTGTGTAGGTCAAGAAGCGTGCACAGTTGATTAAACGTGTTCTCTAGCCCATTTTTCTAGCTGAAACATAACATGTACTCTCTTCGCCCCTCCCTCCCGCACCCCCCAGCCATTCCAACCCACTTTCTACAAAGTATTCTACTTAATATACAGCATATACCTTCAACCAACATGAACGTGACGCGCTCCAGCAACAGAACCAATTGCCTGGCTGTAGTCGCTTATACGCCACCCACAATTTATCTTTCCAGCCACTCCTGCAGTATAAAACAAAGACACCCGAACAATTTCTTTGGAAAAAGCAACATTTCAAAATAATATTTATGAAGATACGTTTGATACCACGTTTTTTCTAATGACTTATAAAGAGATTGAACTCCTTTAAGCTGGACTTCAACTCACAGGGGTCGATCACAGATGTAACCTTAATAAGTACCTTCCACCTGCATTCCAATATCCTGATTTATCGCTGATAACAATACCTCCTTCAAATTAAAAATATCATATCATTCCGTTTCATGAATATTCCATAAATATTTTTACGTATATTTAATAATTTAATGGAATTTTATTCGCATATACTCCTCTATTATTTTGGAAACTTCGAAATACCCCTCAATCTCAAATTATACTGATGGAACAATACTTGGTATTTTGTGTCGGTTTTGTACGAATCAATATATATATATATATACTTCTATTCCTTTGTTTGCTCAATTTTTATATATATTTCCCATCAGGAATTATTTTGTTCGTTAATCTAGAACGTTATATTACGAAGATATCTTTTTCCTTGCTCTAGCATCTGAGGAATAATGCAGCAATACTAAATCTGTGAACGTAATTATCCAGTAGCCGATTGACGAAAAATCATGTTCAACTTAATGTGATATCGATATTCAATTCAACGTAATCATGTAATTGTTGAGCCCTTTTCATATAAATATATATGCATGCCCTTATAAAAATGAATTGATGCTACTTGCAGTACTTGGCCTTTCTGGATCATCTAGGTTCGAGAGACATGCATCGAATTACTCCATACCTCAGGAATCTTATTCCTAATTGAAACGGGGCTATATACGGTTTCTTCGGGTGTGCGTCCAGTTTAGTCGACCTCGCATGGTACACGCGTCAATGAGTAGAACACTCGCGTAACGACTTGGTATCGGAAAACCTTCTGGACCTGAGAAAACATATTTGCACAGGTAACGGATAAAAGGGATTAAGCTCACCAAACAGGATTTGCTCGAGTGTGCTGCGCTGTTTGTCACGGTATTGCCTATGTTCAACCGCAGCCCCGGATGATTTTTCAAGACTTAGTCGACGACGATCAGTTGGATTCTCAATACAGAGAAGCATGGAGAATGTAAGATACTTGGACTTGTGTGTATGACTTCAGCATTGTGCGTAATTCGGCCAGCGAACTTGACGTGAGTATTTCTAAGAACAAACATGATTTCCCCTTTTTCCTTATCCCATAACCACATCTCACCACTCCTGATCTCTCGCATACAGACAGACGAAATAGCCTCGCTGATGACCAACCAGCTTGATTACGTGCGTAGATCTCTTGCATGTGATAGAATTTTGTAAGGTGTATGCCAGACTGAAAAGGATTTTTGGCATTAATAACGGTGATGATTAAAGTGATTACAGAAAGAATTGTCAATTTTTCTTTTCAACATTTATTATCTTAATTCTTTGGCTCCTCTTCTGCTGTATCACAATGGTTACAAAAAAAATTGTTCAATTAACGTTTGGCATGATATACAAATCCCTTCGAACGAAAGCTATCATTAAATCTATGTGTAGTATCTAAAATGTACTGTACAAACTTTTAGAAAATTACACAATACAAATACATAACGTTCTATGTAAGAGTCGGTGTGTACTTCTGAAAAAATAAACAATGGATCAAACGCTCTTTGAATGGTTTTTTTATGATTTCAAATGGCATTATTTTACAAGAAATTTGCAAAAGGAAATGCATTTGTTCCGATACAGTTTACAAACCAAACCGATGAAAGGCGTAGATTAGAAACATTGGGATCCCCCTTTCTGCGTGTACGCCCAGCATCGTCACTGCGAACGGCAACCTCCCTCCGCCCGTCCCAATGCCATCTCAAACGGCGAGACTGCAAGTAAAAAATATCCAGATATACACCAGGATAGTAATGCGACTTCTAGTCCCGCAGTACCGACACATCACGGATGCGGTACTGCATTATTCGAGATTCCTTCGTAGATGGCGCTCTGTTAAAGTCGATAAGATTTCATTGACAGAACACTGCTAACGATATTATCTTCTTCTGAATCGGGTTCCCATCGCGTTCCTAGGTTTTTCAGACCCAGGAGCTTCCTTTTCAAGTCTCTTCACCGCTGCAACGGTACTTTGATCTCACCCAATTTCGACATGAAATTGTCCAAACTGCTTAATTCCGGACACAAAGGACCCTGCCATGGATTCCTCTCTTCGTAACATTTTGAATTCTTCAGATCTTCGGTATTGTAAAAGTTGCAATTCGTATAGTCTGCGTCTTTCAAGAATTGCTTTTTGAATTGTTGCCATTTTGAAATGCGAGACAATTGTTTACTACGCAATTCATGTTCGGCTTTGAAAAGCGCGCAAGTAAGCACTGCTTCGACACGTAAATCACGTTTACGGTTACGACGACACATTAATTTCTTGCAGCGGACTCTACTGATCCAATTAGCTAATTGTTCGGTATGACTCGGTCTATCGACATCGATATCCCGAACTCGATTGCTGGCTACCATGATTTCTTGCTTCTGAATATAGTTTTTTTTCTTGTTTAATTGTTGAACTCGGGTGATATCTTCTTTCCAACGACGGCACAAGGTAAATCGATATTCTATCTTGATCTCTTGAGAAATTAACTTATTACGAAGATAATAGTCGCCACACGCGTTCTTTACGACTTTAACTCTTTTTTTTTTCCACCTAATTACTGAATAAGTAAAAGGTACACCAACCTGTATCTGGCTCGGGTTTTTCGCCGAATGGAAGAAAAACCCCACAATAGCGAGACTTCGAACCAGCGAGCAAGATACAGCTTCACCGTGTGAGGATGACTCAGGAAATGCCAAGGCGTCACCCCCCATACCTGACTTATATACCCTCCACTTCGAGTTAAGTGGTGTTCTTACGCGCGATCGATAGAAAGTAGTTCCTAGTAAATCCTAAATTATCATCAATTTCTTCGAAATATGCTTGTTTATTCTATATTTAAGTATACACCTAACAATTTTCTATTAAATTTCATGTATTCTGTATAAAATTTAGCTAAATTTGTCAGTTTTAAACAATTATCTTCAACGTAAGAATACGTCGTGCGGTCAGTTTCCCCACCACTTGCATGCCTTTTCATACAGCGTCGTAGTGTTCCGTTGCAGATAATTTTCAGCGTTGCCAAGTTTCTTCGAATCGTTTCGATCAATGTTATACCACACCTTAATTTTATTGGATTTTCCCGAATTTTCCATTTACGTATTATATTTTATATGCATTTTTAGGAATGAAGATAAACGTACTACTTTGTACAGTTATAGGTTATGATTTGAAAGTATCGCTTACGATGCCAAGCACTTTCTAAAACGTCGAATAAACGTTCTTTCAAAAAATTAAAGATATTAGACGTAAAATAAATTTACTTCCAAACAAATAACTCATAAAACAATGTTTCTATTATTAACAACAATAATATCAAATAAATATATATCTTGGGAAATTGATTAAAATAGAAAATGTAAATTTATATTAAACAAATCTATGTTTTTTCTTTTATTGCTAGTAAGGGATTGCTTTTTTTAATTAACATCCATTTAAAATCAAACTGTGAGTCACGTAATTGATCAAGGTATTAATTTAAAAATATAAAAATACGCAGGCATTCTAAAACGTGGCAACGCCGGCAAGAATAACTGTCTTTATACGCAAGAAATGTAAAAGGACGCTTTCCTTTCTGTTTATTTTTATTTTACAGAGATAAAACCATACTTATTGTACATACACGTATAAATTTAAAAGCTAAAATATAACAATAAACATGCTTTTCCTATATATATGACGTAGATACTTTTCTTTGTCAAGGCCTTATGATGCACTAATTCGTAATAAATGACGCAGAAAAGATACGTTTCGAACACGTATTTGTTCAATCATTTTAAAAATAGTATTTGTGATGTAATAAAATACATATGAAAGCATGAGTAACATAATGACGAAGTAGAAACATATTCCACTATATATACATCCTTCCTTTAATAACGTGGAAACATGCCTGTGAGTGTCGCTGAGACGTTGTACGCATGCCCGAAAACAAGGCAGAAAAATGTTTAAGTGTATGTAAGTAAGTTTTTTTCATCCCTACATTCCCTGCATCTCTTCATCTCTTACAACAATGCATTCTTTTAATCGCTTCATCCCTTACACCCCTACATTTTTTTCATCCCTACATTCCTTACATCTCTGCATCCCTTACATCCCTGCATTCTTTTCATTCCTACATTCTTTTCGTCGCTTCAACCCTTACATCCCTACATTTTTTTCATCCCTACATTCCTTACATCTGTTCATCCCTTAATAGAAGGATTTTATGGAAAAGCCGACGCGAACAGATGTGACGTAACGTTCCCAATTCCTAATACAATGTTCATTATTTTCTGAAAGCTATATACAGTGACTAGTGTTACTGTATATTGGCGTATCATTTGTGTTTTGGGGTCTCCGAAACCCCAGGATAGACTCAGGTCGTACCCATTACTAGCCCGAACAAGTGTGTTTCATGATTTGTTCGTTTTTCGTTCTTATATTTCGCTAGATCCGGTCAAACCCATCACTATTCCGAACAAGTGAGTTTCACGATTTGTTCGTTTTTCGCTCTTATATTTCGCTAGATCCGGTCAAACCCATCACTATTCCGAACAAGTGAGTTTCACGATTTGTTCGTTTTTCGTTCTTATATTTCGCTAGATCCGGTCAAACCCATCACTACCCCGAACAAGTGAGTTTCACGATTTGTTCGTTTTTCGTTCTTATATTTCGCTATTTGCTTCGGGGTCCTGAGAACCCCAAAGTTGCATTCGGGGTTCCTGAGAACCCCAAGGCTGTATCCGGGGTTCCTAAGAGCCCCAAGATTACATCCGGGGTTCCTAAGAGCCCCAAGATTACATCCGGGGTTCCTAAGAGCCCCAAGATTACATCCGGGGTTCTTAAGAACCCGAAGACTGAATCCGGGGTTCCTGAGAACCCCAGAATTGTATTCGGGGTTCCCGAGAACCCCAGAATGGTAGCAGGGGTTCTCAGGACCCCGAGGGTGGTATCCGGGGTCCTAGGCACCCCGAGAGGATACACGGGGTCCCTGAAACCCCAGATACCATATTGTCGGTATGTAAAGAGAGTCATTGATGCTTTGGGGTCTCCGAAACCCCAGATACCATATTGTCGGTATGCAAAGAGAGTTATTGGCGCTTTGGGGTCTTCGAAACCCCAGATACCATACTGTCGGTATGTAAAGAGATTCATTAATGCTTTGGGGTCTCCGAAACCCCAGATACCACAATGTCGGTATGCAAAGAGAGTCATTGGTGTTTTGGGGTCTCTGACACCCCGGATAATAACAGGACCGTATGAAGAGGGCACAACCAGTATAAGTTTTTTCCAGAGTTTATTTAATTTATTTAATTTATTTTTTTTTGCTTATTAAATAAGCTCATCAAAGCGGATAACATTTATGATTATATTCCTCTTTTGGGTCTTAGTCGAGGACCCGATTTATTTTACTTGTTCCAGTTATTTATATAATTTTATCCCTCATTATAGGCCATGGCCATCTCAGTAGCCCTTACATCCCTGCATTCTTTTCATCCCTACATTCTTTTCATCCGTACATTCCTTACATCTCTTCATCCCTTACACCCCTATATTCTTATCATCCCTTAAATCCCTACTTTATTATCATCCCTACATTCCTTACATCGCTTCACCCCTTACAACCCTGCATTCTTTTCATCCGTACATACCTTACATCTCTTCATCCCTTACACCCCTACATTCTTATCATCCCTTAAATCCCTACATTATTATCATTCCTACATTCGTTTCATGCCTACATTCCTTACATCGCTTCATCCCTTACACCCCTACATTCTTTTCATCCCTACATTCGTTTCATCTCTTCATTCCTTACATCTCTGCATCCCTTATAATAAATATATTATAAAACTGCTTCGAATAAAGGTAAGTAAAGGTAAGTTGGTTTCGAGAATTTCGCGAAAATTTGAAAAAAGAGCGCCCCCTAGCGGCAAAAATGCGAACTAAAATTTCGATGTCGAATCAGCGCCCTCTGGTTTTGGAAAAAGGAACTAAAGCTTGCCGAAATTTTGGCCCTCTGCCGGGAAAAATGCGAACTAAAATCTCGACGTCGAATCAGCGCCATCTGGTTTCAAAAAAAGGAACTAAAGCAGACCGAGATTTTGGCCCTCTGGCGGGAAGAATGTGAACTAAAATCTCGACGTCGAATCAGCGCCATCTGGTTTCAAAAAAAGGAACTAAAGCAGACCGAGATTTTGGCCCTCTGGCGGGAAGAATGCGAACTAAAATCTCGACGTCGAATCAGCGCCATCTGGTTTCAAAAAAAGGAACTAAAACAGACCGAGATTTTGGCCCTCTGGTGGGAAAAATGTGAACTAAAATCTCGACGTCGAATCAGCGCCCTCTGGCGGCAAAAGGGGGAACTAAATTTTGCAAAAATTTAAATTTAAAATTAGATTTTACGAGACTTTACTTACCTTTACTTACCTGTACTTACCTGTACTTACCTGTACTTACTTGTATTTTCCTTTACTTACCTTTACTCGAACCAGTGGCCATAAGTATTTTATTTATAATATATTTATTATAAGGGTTGAAAGGATACAAGGGATGCAGGGAGAATTCAGGAGTGTAAGGGATACAGTGATATAAAGGGTACAGAGATGTAAGGGATGCAAAAATGTAAGGGATGCCGAAGTATAAGGAATGCCGGCATATACGAGATGCAGGAATATAGGGAATGTGGTGATATAAGGGATACAGGGATGTTAAGGATGCAGACATGTAAGGGATGCAGTGATAAAGGGTTGGGCCTCGTGAGACAAAAAAATAATAAATAACTGGGAATAAATATTGTCTATGAAATTATTGTACAATATAGGTACATGTTTGTAATAAATTATTATTAGAATTTATTAATTTACATAATCATGACTATGTTTTTGATCAATACATAACAGAACAAATTTACACTCTTAATAAAGAAAATGTTCATTCATACATGTATATCTGTAGTACAGTATCTTACTATCAAACAGAAAATAATTAATTTTTTTTTGTATTTTTCATTTGATGTGTAAAAATAAATATGAAATATTTACTTGTATAGTTTATATAAAAACATTTCTACCTTTAACAAATTTCTTGAACATATTAAATTATAACATTATTTAGAAAACCTTTGATTATACCATTTAATTAATTACATGTTCAATTTAAACAAATACATTTTATTTCTCCTAAAAATAGCGTATCATTAAAGTGCATAAAATTCATTCTTCATGAATGAATCTACAGAATCTATTATATTGAAATTTAATACTCCTAGATACAAATAATACAATGACCACTTAAAAAGTGTCCATTGTTTAGATACAGAAACTTTCCATTTTTCCCATGTATTTGTACAAGATTTTAATTTTTCTCCGTATACCGAAAGTATACAACATTTTGACATTTCCATCATGCCTGACATTCTAGATTCTGTGTGTAAAGAATATTCAATGCAACGCATAAGATCATTCGTTTTAAGAATTAATAACATTTGTCGATTCACTTTTTCTAATACATGACTAATCTGTGGCAATAAATTTGGTATTTCTCTTTGAAATTCTTGTTTTTCTTCTGAATCATACTTGGTTTTCCGAACACCAGACATAATTGTATTCCAAGACCTTCCTGAAACCATGCAAGCCAGCAATCCATACATATCTCCAACACCTAATTTAGCACAGTGCCTTTGCATTGCAGCTTTATCACCATTTAATATAGCTAACCAAAGCTTGGAATATTCCCACCTAAATTCATCAGACAGATTTGCATACAAACCATGATCTAATAGTATGATTTCTGCTTCATTATTATTATTCGTAACTAAAACATTACCGGGATGTGGATCAGAATGTACAAAACCCACAATAAATATCATGTGACTATAAAGTCGACCTAATTTACTGCTGACTTCATAAGGATTTAAGTTATTATCTTGAATGTATTTCAGATCATTAATTTGACCTCCTTCAATAAATTCCATTGTTAAAACACGTGATGATGACAGGTTCCAATATATCTTTGGTATTTTTAACCAATGATAGTGTGAAAATATTTTCTGAACTTTCTCTGCATTTTTTCCTTCTTGACTAAAATCTAATTCTCTTGGAAGATTCTTTTTGGTTTCGTCAACGAGCCAATCAAATTTAAAATCTGGAAATACTAATGATGTTATTTTCACTAAAGCTGACATGGTCTTGATATCTACATAAGAATTTGTTTTAACAGCTCGATGTTGAACTTTAATAGCTACAACATCACCATTTTTTAACACAGCTTTGTGAACCTGTGCTAAACTAGCAGCACCCAAAGGTTTAGGATTGATACTTTCAAATATTTCATATGGATCTCTTTTAAAATCTTCTTTGAGTACAGTGAGTACATCCTTAAAGGATGATTGTGGTGCAGCACTGTGTAATACCCTCATGGTTTGAACATATTCTGATGGTAATAAATAGTCTAGTGCACCAATATGTTGGCCTACTTTTATATAAACACCTTTATTGTCACAGCAAAGTTCCAGGAGCTTTTCTGCTCCATATTTGTGTACTTTTGATTTTAACTCTAAATACTCTTGAGTATCTGGATTTAGGTTACTATCATATAGTTCAGTTTTATAATGCTTCCCAATTATAAAAACAGTAACTGCAGCACGTCCTAGCCGCACAATACCTATAGATCCTAAATCATATTCATTTGCTCTCAAAGATGCCAACGTACCTATTCCAATTAATCCAACTGCAACTCCTTTTATCAGTCTTTTAGATATAAACATTGTCTATTAAAAGTCAAATAAGATTTTTGTTAAATGTTGAATCGTAAATCTGAAACAACACAAAAGCTGTTAAAAAGATTTTTTATTTATAACATAAATATGGCATAAAAATAACCTCTCTTTACATTACCTTAAAAATAAAATCCTTCTTATTTTTTTAATAATTCTTCCTTACGTAATTCAAATAAAGTCACAATCAAAATTTTATGTAGTACACTTCTATTTTTGAAACCAAAAATTATTAATATGTTTCAGAAATAATTCAGAAATAACCTATATAAATTATGTGCATATTGAAAACATAATACAGTTGTAATTACAAAATCACATTTAACAATACTTTAATTTATGCATTTTTTTCTCAAAAATATTTGGCTATTTCTATTGAACACTGTTTTAATTACTTGTTTTTTCTGAAATAGTGACATAATAACCTGTTACTATATTGTTCTTTAACCTCTAACCACGTGGAGTAACAAATGATATGCATAAATTTCTATATCTTGTCATATTTTTGCCACCTGAAATTAACTGGAAATTTATTGTTTTATGTAAATTTCGATAAATCTTCCTTGAAATATCATTAAAAAGTTTTCTTAAATATTAGATTCCACATACAAAATATATTATTTGTGTAAAGACCATAATGATTTATATAGAATTAAAAGTATAATAACAAAAAGAGTATACCGTGTATAAATAATTACTCAGTATATACCAAATGATATAAATGATCATTATCTTAACTTTTATTTCAGCAGTGATTAGTATATATATTTATATATGTATACTATAATACAAAAATATTTACATAAATTATTAACATAAATTTCCTGCTTGACCAGATGCATGTCCTATTAGAACTTTCTGAAAAAGTAATGTAATTATTAATAAATTGAAGTATATTTTCCAATTTTAATATAGTAATGAAATACCTTTAAAGCTGGAATAGCATTTGTTAATTGCAATCCTAAACTTCTAACTAGCACAATAGGGGCTGCTGTTCCTTTATATAATCTATGTAGTGCGTCAATAGCAAGCATTATTGGAACATTATAGCGTTGTCGCAACGTTTCGTATTTTCTTAAGTATGTTATGTCTCCCAAAGGAGCTCCATTCATAGCAGCTTCTGCAAGAAGTGTAACCAATAGTGTTACATCTCCAAAACCTAAATTTACTCCTTGCCCAGCTAATGGATGAACTCTATGTGCTGCATCTCTAAAAAATTTAGTATACGAATTATTGTTTTGCATGTTACAATTTTTACATATATAATTTTGTTTCTTTAGTTACCCAACTAAAACAGTTCCTGGTCGTACATAAGACACAGAGTGACCAAAGTGTAATGGAAAAGCTGCCCGTGATCCTTCTATGACATCTGATATTGATGGTTGTAACTGTCTTATTACACCAGTTTGTAAAGATAATCCATCAAGTAATTGCTGAAGTGCACGCAAACCACTTTCAACCATACCATCTTTTGGATAAACCTTCCATAAAGCACTGTTTATGCTATCAACAAATTCCTCCTCTGAAACTTTTAACAGCCTTTTGGCTTCATCTGTTGGTAGCGACCATACGAGAGAACTCAGACTATCTGTTAACTATGATAAAAGGCAAAAAGTAAATTGATGCAATACTTTAGTTGGTTCTAGTTAACTGTGAATCTTACTGGGAGTAACGCTATTGGACCATTTGGTAAGAATCTCTGCCATGCAACAATATTTTCTGTAGGCTGAAATGAAAATATAATTAATATTATTGTAAATAACACACTGATTATACAATAATCTGGCATTTACCTCTGACAGTTCAAGCGTTGCAACTATAGCCATTTGATCATAATCCCATTTTACATACTGTACTCCCATTACTTTTCGTACCAATGAGTTTACACCATCTGCTCCAATCTGAAACAAACATTCAATAAAATGTAGATCTTAATATAGATAATTAATTCCAATAAAATTTACTATGCTAAAAGCAGTATAATAAAAATCTGATAATGTAAGTGGTACGGTGTTTGGAAGGGGAAACATTAACAGACAGGCAATGTGTCTGGAAATAACTTCAGTTCTGTGCCACATTTCAGTGAGAATTCTGAACATACTGTCAGACTGCTTAGCACTTGACCTTGTAAGAATCAACTGCTTTTTCACATATATAAATTTTCACAATACAGCCTTAGTTATTCATAACAAATAATTTAATGCTGCCTTAATGATTACAATTCTAATATAAGTTGTTTAAATTGCAAATGATTAAAACGTTTGCCTCAAGTTCTTAAGGAAAAAATAATCAAACATATAGTTATTTCCTCAAAGGATGTTCTTATCAATCAAGTAAAGAAATATGTTGTGTAAGTAAAATTGTATAATGTGTATATATTTTAAGTAGAAAGTGTATAACTTTTACATAGTGGTAACAACAGAAGAAAGTACTTTAAATAAAGAAGCTCTAAAAAAATTTCTTTCTTCTGCAAATTTACATGAAAAAGTAGGGAGAGCTAAATATATGCCAGTTCTGTTTTATAAACATCAGAGAACATGTGTGGGCTTGTTTCAAACCATACTGGTAACTGAAATAGGTTTGAAGTACAGCAGAACCCCGATTATCCGAGGTTTTACATCATCGGAGACGAACCGGTAAGTGTAACACACACCTTTCCTTAAAATTTATAAAAGCTTTGTATTTTTAGCAAACAAAATTTTTGAAGAATTATTTTAAGAATTTTTAACGCAATACGTAGACACATAAAATGATTAGTTTTTTCTTACTTTTTTTCACTTTATATTCATAGGAAAAAATAATGAAAAGCAACATGTCAATTTTAAAAAAGAAACCACTTTTAAGTAGATTATTGAGTAGTCATAATTCTCAAGAAGAACTCAATGAAGAACATGTAATGACGCCGCCTACCATCGTTATTAATGATACTGTAAGTATAAACAAGCGTATTAAATGTTATTTATTGAATATTAATTATTTCAGGAAGACTGTGAAGAGTGCGAAAATATTTGGATGGATAATATAGAAAAGAACAGTATTAGCTCTGAGCATAGTTCTGAATCTATTGTTACGTGTCATATAAATGAGAAGCAAATGACAAATCAACAGCTATGGAATACAGAAGAGATTGTTCAAGCTTTATCTAATCTTCCAGCAGGAGAGCATGCACTTTCTCTTATTCCCACCCTTCACGGTGACACTTTGCGCAATTGTCTTGACGAATTTTTAAATACTGACTTGAATGAAGTTACACTGAAAAATCAGAAAACTACCATATCTTCATTTGCAAACGGGTACAATTAGTAGTTTATTTACAATTATACCAATTATATTGAATATAATTCGAATTCTATTTAATATAGACACATACAAAACACATCACTGAGTATTGAAAATGAAGCAGCTGCAAATGCAACTGTTTCACAACTTTTTACAAGGTGGCCAAACACTTGTCTCTTAGTTTCTTGCTATCTATGTCATCTAGATCTGGTCAAAGCTTTATTAAGTAAAAATGCAAAAGTTACTGCCAGAGATAGCGACGGCAGGTATGAAATTGGATAATAAATTAACCAAATTTTCGGATATTAATCTATTCATCCTGTAGGACACCGCTACATTTAGCCGCCTGTGCGGGATCGGTGAAAATTATAGAAGAGTTATTAAAATATGGAGCTAATCCGTGTGAGTGGGATTATAATAAAAAATGTACACCTTTACACTGTGCCGCTGCTACAGGTGATTTTGCTTCTGTTAAATGTTTAATAAAATCGCGAGCTGATGTAAATGCTGGATTGTCTGGTAAAAGTCCTCTCTACTATGCTGTTGTAAGTAATGCAGCAGATTGTGTTGAAGCATTATTACGAGCAGGTGCCTCCCCTAATAATCCACAGGTATGTATTTACAAGTATCACTTGAATTACTAAAAATTCCTTCATTTTAGTCTAATCCTTTAAACAGGTTTATACTGAAACCCCATTGCATGTAGCAGCAAGTTTAGGTTCTGTTACATGCATGAAATTATTATTAAGTTATGGGGCGGATGTAAGAGTACAATTCAGTTCTATGAGATCCACACCATTACATTTAGCAGCCGAAGAAGGTAGCGCGGAATGCACAAAGCTACTCTTAGATGCTGGTGCAGCATGCGAAGTGAAAAATGCAAGAGGTCAAGCACCTATGCATTTAGCGGCTCTGTCTCAATCTGCAGAGACTTTAGAGACCCTTATAAATTTTGGGGCTACAGTTAGTACAGAAGATAACGACGGTCGCACCCCTTTACACGCTGCTGTTGCAAAAGTAACCAGAGGAATAGAATTGGTGAAGATTTTGATACAGGTTCATTAATTGATTATAAAAAAATTAAGCGAAAAACGTATAACCGTTAAAAACTATGGGTTTTATTTATTTTAAAAGGCTGGTGCTTTAATCAACAAAGCTGACAAATTTGGTTACACGCCTTTGCATATTGCGGCGTTAAATGAAAGTTCATCAACGGTAATGATGTTACTATCGAGAGGAGCAGATGTTACTGCTAGAACAAAAGGTGGTATCTCTGCATTAAGTTTTATCGTACGTAGAACACCGGACGTATTGCCGAGATTTATTTCACGTTTAGATCATGCGATTTCTTTACACGATCATGAATTGGGTGATCTTGATTGCGAATTAAGATTAGATTTTAGACCACTGGTTCCCGGTGGTAGAGGGGAAACAGATTTAATGCTTTGCCTTGTGGAAGTTGGTCAAAGACACGTACTGAAGCATCCCTTATGTGAAAGTTTTCTTTACTTAAAATGGTTGAGAATTCGTAAATTTTTTTTACTAAATCTAATATTTCATTCTATTTTTGTAGCATTTTTTACATCATACATTGCAGTAACATATTTTTGGAATGTTGAAAAATTTAAAAAGATACTATTTTGGCTAGTGTTAATATTTACTATAGTATTAGCTGGCAAAGAATTCTTTCAAATGACTCATGGTATATACATTTACATTAAAAGATGGGAAAATTGGCTTCAATGGAGTGTTATATTATTATCAATCATAGTTCTACTCATGCCAATAAATGACTGGCAGCATCATGTGGCAGCTGTAGCTATTTTATTAATTTGGATAGAATTAATGATGGTGGTTGGAAGATTTCCTATGTTTGGGCTCTATATACAAATGTTTACTCAAGTATCAATTAACTTTTTCAAATTTCTTGGTGCTTATATATGTCTTATAATAGGTTTCTCTTTAGGTTTCAGTGTATTACATAAAAATTACAAATCATTTAGTAATCCTCTAGTTGGTTTACTGAAAACTATTATAATGATGTCTGGAGAGTTAGAATTTGAAGATGTATTTTTTGATGAAGATGCACCAATTTTATATTCTGGTACTGCACACTTGATGCTTCTAAGTTTTGTTATCTTAGTGACAGTGATTTTAACAAATCTGATGATGGGCCTTGCTGTATCAGATATACAAGAATTAAGAAGATGTGCTGGATTGGACAGACTTGTACGTAGAGCAGAATTAGTAGCACATTTAGAAAGTATGTTATTTTCAAAACTATTAGATCATGCACCAAAGAGAATAATGAAAGCATGTAGGCAAGGTGCACTTCTCTTACATCCACCACATCATTGTGCAATTCATATTCGCCCTAACGATCCCCGTGAAAATCGTTTACCACGCGATTTAATAAAAGCTGTGTATCATTTAGTAAGTGAAAGAAAAAATCGTTATATAAATACAAAAACTACGTATACGCGTAATTCAAATAGTACAGAAACAGGACACTTCAGATTAAGTAGGCTATATAGTACAACTTCCACAAATGATAATAGCCAACAATTAAATGAAGTGGTTACAGAGTTAAAAAGATGCTCGTATAATATCAGTGCACATTTGGATAATTTGACCAACAAAGTTGAAAACATTGCTAGGGATTATTATAATTAAACAAGATGTATAGCATTTACAATATCAATTTCATAATATACTTATATATACTTTTCATTTACTTACCAATAACTTTGTTTTATACTTTTTGCCATTTTGTAATTGTACTTCTGCATTATCTCCTTCTTTTTCAGGTAATTTGATATTTTCAACCTTAGAGTCATAAATCACATTCACATTTTCCTTTTCTGTCAACTGCTTATTTACTCCATGTAATAGTAAGTCATTTTCAACTATATAAGCAATTTCTTCAGCCAAGTGATCTTCATTGAATACAATCATAGCATCAGAACAGGCATCCCATACCTACTAAATATTTTACATTTAAGTACAACATTTGTAAAACTGTTATAAGGAATAAAGTAATAAATTTTTCATGTTAAACTTTGGTAATACCTGCATTTTTCGTACTGCACAATATCGTGCTGCTTCTATATGTTGCCAAGCTCCTATGCTTGAAAGTAAAGTACGTGTTTGTTGATTTAACGCGACCACACGATTAGAATATTTTTCTGGAAGTGTGTATTCAAACTTTTTACTACCTTCTAATAAGAGAATATTTTTATTTTCGAGTCTTCTATTATTCGCTGTTACGACATAAAAAAAATGAATGAAACAGGACACTTGATAAACTGATGGATAAATATTAAATATTATTTTAAGACCGAAAAGAACACTAACCTAAGGCGCATAAAAGTGTTGTTCCCACCATACCACCGCCGCAAATAATAATATCGTAGTTTTCATCATTTTGAGTAGCTGTAGAACAATGTCGCGTTAATGTTGTTGCAATGGGAATTACGCATTTCTGTTGTCTGAAAATTGGAGTTAAAATATCGCAGTATGTCACTGCTTTAATCAAACCCGCCATTTTTATGCTGCAGAGGCGCGCCAGTGAGCGTCATCGGAAGTTGTAGGAACTTAGCGCCACCTATACGAAACCGGCGGAAACTACTCAACAACTTATCGACCGACTTTCCGAAATTTTACCGACCGGCGTCGAGGTCGATAATGAAGAAAATGTGTAAAATAATTAGTTTTTGCATCCCATTTATGCATTAGTTTTGCATTTTTGCATCCCATTTTCTCCGGGCGGCATTCTTTAGGGACTTTACCGTCCCTTTTTGCCCAACGAACTCTGTCGGTAACGCGCCTAGGTGGTTGGCACTACGACCAACACTCTCCCACGCAATTTTGAAACTTCTTTATGCTTACGCTAATCGCTCTTTTACTTACATTCTTTCTTACGCTTTTGCATTACTTCTAGTTCTCGCTCGCTTCTTTAGATCCCCCTTTTAGTCGCCTCTTACGACAGGCAGGGGTTACCGTGGCCGTATTCTACTCCCCCCGAGCCACAGGGGGTTAATTAGTTTAATTATTTTCCGGTCTTATGATGCAAGATGCACAATTAATCTTATTTCGGGGTGTCTGGGAGCCCCAAAATCAGATCTCTTTGAGAACAAAGACATGTCCAGTCTTTTTGTATCTGTAGTTACTGGCAGCAATAAGTCGGCGTGATGTGACGCCACCAGAGGCTTCGTTATGAAGCCTTCATCTGGCAACGGTGTTTTGTACTCGTGTGTAATTGTATATACAGTAAATAGGTAGCATAAAGTGATCGAGGTATATAGTATGAGCAAAAGTTGATCACTTTCTGTATGCAAATGTAAACTAAAGATGTTTGTTTATAGTTGATAATTGTTCCGATAATATTAAACATGATGGATTACGAATTTAAAATGAAAACCCAAAAAGATCGGACAAAGGTTGAGGATCTTTTCGAATTTGAAGGATGTAAAGTTGGAAGAGGAACGTATGGGCACGTCTATAAAGCTCGTAGAAAGGAAGGGTTAGTATTTCTAATCTACCGTATAAAATTGCGTAGTATATAATGACAGCTTTTCAATTTACTTTGAGAATAATCTCTAATTTTTTTAATTTTGTAAATTTAGACATTTATTGCTAGAAAACTATAACTTCTACTTGAATGTACCATATTACTTGTAATGGAGTACATCAGACATTCAAACATCTTTTGGTTTTTACACATTTCTGTTTGAGAAATATTTTATTACATCCTTCAACTATGTAACAATAATTGTACTACATGGACCATTTCATTTATACAATGCCATTCATCTATCGTATTGCCTTCATCTTCTGTTATTATAATCAAGTACATATACATATTGATAAAATTTAAATAGTGTACCAGATAGTGAATTAAAATCTCGGCCAGATACAAAGGATTTTGGTCTTAAACAAATTGAAGGAACAGGCCTTTCTATGTCTGCATGTCGTGAGATTGCAGTGAGTATTTATTTTTTTGTGTTTAATGCATTATATGTTCAGTATTAATTATTTCTTGCTTTCATAGCTACTTAGGGAATTAAAACATGTGAATGTAATTACATTAATAAGGGTTTTTCTATCGCATAATGACCGCAAAGTATGGTTACTATTTGATTTTGCAGAACATGATTTGTGGGTATGTTTATAATGGTTGAAAATATATCTGTGAAATCATGCAAATAGTTAACAGCTTTTTATTTTTACTTGTAGCATATAATCAAGTTTCATAGAGCAGCAAAGGCTAATAAGAAACCTGTTATGGTACCAAAGGGTATGGTCAAATCTTTGTTGTATCAAATCCTGGATGGTATTCACTATTTACATTCCAACTGGGTGCTCCATAGAGATTTGGTAATTATTTTTACATATATCTTTATATGTGTATATAGATACTGCTGTTCATAATTAATTTTACATATTTATGATACTTTAGAAACCTGCAAATATTTTAGTAATGGGAGAAGGAAATGAAAGAGGAAGAGTGAAAATTGCAGACATGGGTTTTGCTAGATTGTTTAATGCTCCTCTAAAACCTCTGGCAGATTTAGATCCAGTTGTAGTAACATTCTGGTATAGAGCACCGGAATTACTTTTAGGTGCTAGGCATTATACAAAAGCTATAGGTATCGTATCACCTACATTTCAAGTTAGATTGTACTTACTTTGATTTTACGAGATTCGTTGTTGTTTTACAGATATATGGGCAATTGGTTGTATATTTGCAGAACTTTTAACATCTGAACCTATATTTCATTGTAGGCAGGAAGACCTAAAAACCAGCAATCCATACCATCATGATCAATTAGATAGGTAGAATGGAACATTATCGGAGTAATTATCATTTTACAATATAAAAATTAAAGTGACAATTTGGAATTTCTCAATGTTTAGGATATTCAATGTGATGGGATTTCCTTTGGAAAAAGATTGGGAAGATATTAAAAAAATGCCAGAGCATCCTACATTATTAAAAGACTTTAAAAGACAAAAGTTAGTATCCGTTTAAAAACAACTATATAAAATTTGAAGTTTGATTTCAATGCAACTATTTTTTTGTAGTTATGCAAACTGTTCACTCACAAAATATATGGACCGACATAAAATTAAGCCCGACAGCAAGGCATTTAATCTGGTATAGTTACACAAATTTTACTCTTTCAAACTATCCTTTTGGACGATAATATTAATTAAGCTGTTTTTAGCTCCAAAAATTATTAATGATGGATCCTAATAAACGAATAACATCTGAACACTCTATGCAAGATGCTTATTTTCAAGAGGAACCACTGCCAACGCAAGAGTACATTTTTCATCACATGCGATTTCGTTTCATTATATTAATCACTTATTTGGAAATGTAACGAGAATATCATAATGTTTTAGCATATTTGCTGGATGCCCAATTCCGTATCCTAAACGAGAATTTTTAACGGACGATGACACAGAGGAAAAGACTGAAAATAAAGCACGACAGAATCAACAACAAAATGTAAGTATACTTATTTATTCGGCATTATTTGTATTCTCATGTATCTGGTAATATTTTAGCAACAAAATCAACAACAGCAACAAGGAAACGACGATCATAACCACGGACAAAACGCGAAACGGGTAAGACTAAATGGCCCTCATGGAGCTCCAGAATTTCACCAACATCAAAGTCACGCCATGACTCACCAACAACCACCCGGCATGGTTTATTCTACGGCTCAACCAACGCAGCCATCAAATTTTCATCAACGATTTTGAAAGATCATTATAACGAATGGACTTGTTATTCGAATAATTAAATTACTAGATTCTCAATTTAATCAATTTCTGTATCAATGAGGAAAGTCACCGACTCCTGTGTATATTTCTTCACAGCAAAGTAATAGAATTTAATTTATATATTGTAAAATACGTGCATATATAGTGCAAAGTATTTTTTACACCGTAGCGTACCTCAACTTTTATGATGAACATCGAAATGAATTTACTGATGATAAAGAAAATTTAATGATCCTATGCAAATTGATATATCTGTTATCTGTAATAATTGATGTCAATAAATTTTTATGACAACGTATCTCAAACTTTAAATACCTTTATGTTACCGCGACGATTGTCAAATAATGGTAAGAAAACAAGGGGAGGGTAATAGAGGGAAAATTAGAATGAAACTACGAACCTTGTTTGCTAGGGTATAATAAAGAATGAGAGATGTTGGATCCAGCGGAGGGGGAGTGCGCATGCGCGTTAGATCATTCTGTAGCATCGTGGCGGTCTGTCGCGCGCTCCTGAAACGCAGTTTCCGCGAATCGGTGCTCGACGAAAAAAGTGTGCGTGTGTCGCGTGTACCGCGATCGGGATGCCAATAAAGCTAAGGATCACCCATTCTTAGGTCAACCTGTTGCTCAAATGAAAATAAAAGGTGAGAAAGAAAGAGAATCTTATCGGTCACACGTTTGTACGAATAACGAATTATTTCATCTCTTCGTACATTTATCGAAACTGTTTTACAGACACCTGTCAAACTTTGTCACGTTTTATGTCTTTCATTCGGAGAAGTGTCCTCTTCTAAGAAAACGATTCCTTCCGTTTTTATCGATCGTCAGAACGGCACGCGCGTATCTCTTTCTTTTTCCCGATCGATTTATCTATTCGTCAGGATCGATACTGCAATCGTTATTCCCATTTTCGGATTACGAATTTCATGTTGCTCAATTTCGAGATACTCGTTGCATAATAAACGATGAAATAATTGTAAATGAAAATTAGAAAGTATCGAAACTGTACGCCCAACATTTATATTTTGTCCATTTTTTTAAGCGTTATCTTAATATATACGTCAACGTTACCGTTAAACATACAACATCGAGCAAACCTTTGTCAAGAATGTTAATGCAAATACGTAGTGTCTTCGGAATACCGATCGACGATTACTAATCGGTAGAAAAAATAACATTTTAAGTAAAAAAAAAATCTTAATTTTAATAAAAATAATTTATACGGAGGAAATGAGAATGGATTGATAAAAAAATAAATAGAAGAAAATACCGTGGCCGGTCCCGAAATTGACGAACGCGTAGAATCAAAGAGGTTGTCATAGGTGTAAAAGTAAAAGTAAAGGGGGGGGACGATCCTGACCACTATGTTTCAAGCAGTCGGGGCCATGACCACGTTGCGACAAGGTAACCACAATTAATTCGCATCGGTGCAGAATGATTCAAAATCCCAAATTCGGGGATGCTTCTCAATTCCAATGAAAACGAATACTATACATGGTCGTACAAGATACAACGCGATGCTAGTCGCGACGCAATGTTCGTAAATCGTTTATAAGTTAAATGAAAAATGATATTTGGTATACGTTACCGTACGTGGCCATGAATACCATGAATCCTGAAATCGTGTGCCAAATAAGATAAAGAAAAAGAAAATCCACAAGACTGGATCTTCGTCCCGTGCAAGGACGATCAACAGACTTATGTATGTTCTATTCCGACTTTCACGCGAAGACGAACGTGACGAAACTAGCAAGTATATGTCGGTAATGCAAAAGAGATTTTGTTGAAAACGATACAGAAATCGAGTTGAAAAAATAAATAAAACCGATAGCCGTTGCTAGGAAATAAAATTGTACGTACGTAACATATGTGGGTAGAGTTAGTTGGTGCATCGATTGTATCGATTTACCATTTCGATATGTAGGATAATTTCGTCTCATTGCTTTTTCCTCTAGTTGGAGACGAAATAGAAAATATCCGGATGTCCCTGATCGTGTCTATACATGGACGTTTAATGGTAACTTCTGTCGCGCGGCTGTTCTACGAATGCGACTAATCGATTCCGAAATATCGACCGCAGTCTCGCGCGACCGCCGGTCCGGAAATCGATATTTTCGAAATTTCCCGCGATCCTTAAACATCCTTCGAGTACGATCAAACTTGATACGCGGATGTCGTCCTGGTTCCCGACGAATTCTCTGTTTTCGGCGAGAAACGTCCGAGAAAACGACATTGGCGACGGTCGAAACTCCTTTTGTCGGTAGTGAAAGACGTGGGAAGAGAGGAGAGCAGATTGTCGGTGTACACACACTTGGGTTTGTTGCGTTCGCGGACGAAAGAGAACGAGAACAAGAAGGAGAGACAGAGAAAAGAGGCGAGGTCAACAAGGTACCCGATATGGTATCCCACGTCCGCCGTGAGTGCTATTTCATGTATATGTATGCCTAAATACACACGATACACAGGCAAATTCGTACATACGTCCACGATCGTCTCTGCTCGCCAACTATTAGCGATCCCCGCGATTCAATTATTAAACGCGATAAGTAAGCGAGCAACGCTTACGTTATTCGCCCGATCGATGAATTCGATAATAGTTCTTTTTCAGCCGAGGAACAGAATCTTTTCCCTTTTGTAAGTCGCGCCACGGGACCATAGAGCATTTCGCGGGGTATAAGTTTTAGGCGGCAGCGTCTCGGAGACGGACGGAGGTCCGAAGGTTTTTCACAACAGAATATTGTTTTTTTCTTTTCTTTTCTTTTTTTTTTTTTTTTTTTTCGTTTCTTTGGACGGATCAGCTCGCGGCCTTCCTAAGATGGCCAGTGACCGTAAACGCAAGTGCAGACACGCAAGTGCGAACTTCGAGGTCGGCTGTAGGCACGATTGCAGGAAGCTCCGATGACTTAGTACGGCCGTAGCAAGGCGTACCAGCATGAATCACTTCGTCCAGCCTCTCTGTTACCTGTTATATTCGGAATTCTACTCGCAAATCTTACTTATTGCCGTTCGAACCGTGTCCTTTTCGGTTTCGACGCGGAACCTCGTCGCGAGGGCAATTAAAATGTTTCTCCTCCATCTATCCAAATAAGAGAAAAAAAATGAAGTGACCAACTTCCTCTGTGACCACTTGAATTCATCTTGGGAGTAATTTGTCGCAAAATGGCCAGGATGTATCGTGGCCCTTAATAATATTGGAGAATCTATTTTTAAACATGACTAGAGGTATGTGCATGCATATGGTGACGCAATCCTATGGTCTTTCCCCTATATTCCCTCCCTGCCGCTCTTCCTCTCTTACCCTTTCACTCTTACTCTTTTCGCCTCGCTTCCTCCACCCATCGCTTCTCTTTCTCCTGTCCGCCCTTTCATTTTCTTCTCTTTCCCCTTTTCTCACGTCCTTCCTCTGTTTCCGTACTCCCACGAGCGCCCAACATTTCGTAGGAATACCGACGCCCTGGCTATTCTATTATATCACATGGGTATTCGTTAACGATTAAGAGCAACGTTCTTAGCGCTATTATTTCTTTTTCATTCGAGTTCGCGCCGTTAGTCATGCGAGCGAGTTGCGCACGTGGAAAGAGCGCGATACGCTATTCTCAACCTAGACCTCGGTCTAGCCTCGATCCACCTCTCGTTACTCCGCGATCCATCGATCGAATTCGAATTCGAATTGAAATTTCCCGCCTTTTTCTATGTTTCAGACTCGGAGCTGAGATTTTTACAAATGCAGTCAACATGGATTCCCACGTTGGTCTCGACTACATCGTGGATAATCCCGATTACTGCGTCAAACTCGCCTCGGGTAAAGATTATTCAACGATTATTATTCTCGATAGTTTCGATCGCCACGTATTTATCACGATTACTCGTATAATTTCAGCCTTGGACACAGCCTGCGCGTCGGTGAAGAAACAAGTGGTGGAATTGCTATCGGCGCTTTGCGTGTACAGCCAAGATGGAAGGCAAAGAGCCATCGACGCTCTTCACGAGTATCAGGTGCTGGATGCTTGATCGGTTTGAATGGAAGAACGATAGATAGGATCACCGTGGATCGCGAAGGTGTTCGGTTGAATACGAGCGAGAGATTGCTACGATCCACGGTTCATTGTAGGAACACGGGGAACGCGTGCTAAGTTTCTCGGATAAAAGTCACGGTTCAAGGTCCTCCTTCGACGAACAAAAGGAACGATCTATACCCGTAACGTTTTCTACGAGCTCTGTTCCCAACCTACCGTTCGATCGATCACGATTTTCCGCTATTCAACGCACGCTTATCCCTGTTTTTCGCTTGCCTCTTATAGAGCTTCGCGCCGGCACGCTTGCGACCGGAGAACTTACGTCGAGATGATTTTAATTTACCCCTTTGACACGGCTACCTTCTTGCCGGGCGTTAATCGTCGAACGAAACATTGCAGAAACGAAAAGGCGAACGCTACCGATTGCGAATCGTCGTGGAAGAGCTCCAGAACGCAACTGCCGAGGATTATCAAACGGCGTTACTGGCATTTATTAATTGCCTGGTCATCTCTACGCCGGTGCTGAAGGATCGCATAAGAATCCGCAACGAGTTCATCGGTGGGTAATTTTCTACGAGGTGATTCTCTCGCTAGTGTAAAGTACTCAAAAGAAACGCCGCCATATCGGTATGAATGAACCCAAACTATTTTCTGTCATCGATACCTCGACGGGGGTGGCATGCCGCAGCTGTGCGCACCTCCCGTCGAGATACCGATGACAGAAAAGGGCTCGGGCCCATTCATACTTTGAACACACTAACGAGAGAATCACCCTGTATCGCTCATCTACGGCTCACGGAATACGACTACACAAGATAGTATGCATAAACAGCGAGAATCGTATGAATCATAAGATGCGACGACCTAATTGCCTGATTCTCCTTGCAGGCTTGAAGCTTCTTCCGATTTTGAACGAGCTACGGTGAGTACTGTACGACGACCTGGATTCATGACATTAACTGATTAACACCTTAACATCGTTGAATAATAAATAATAATGAACGTTACGAAAGGGCGCTTTATTGTACCCACACCTTCTCATTCGCACCTAATCCAACGTTAATATCGCGCATGCATCGAGAAGCGGTATGCATTTAAACAAAAGTATCGAGCGATTACGTATCTCTCGAGGAGTGGTTAACTAACGAGGCAGGTATTCATTCAACTGATACGACACACGGGTAATTGCATGCACTAATCCCATCATCGTCTTTGCTCGCCTCGGTCCGCGGCCCATATACCCGTCAATTCTGTCCTGTAAACGAAACGAGGCATAGGTACGATCGGAACTACAGGTATTTGCGCCGAATCACGATGCACTGGCTACTGGTTTTGTGTTTTTCTTTAGGTCTCCGCTTAAATCACTCGCTACAGGAATAGTACGATATGTCATTCCTCCGCGGGATGACGGACGAGAGGAAACTATTCTTGATCGAGCAAAACTATTCAAAGGAGTCGCTTTAAATATCGTTCGATCGCTATTTGCGATACAGGGAATCGGTTAATATTAACGTTCGTTGAATTTTCACGGCGTTTCGTTGCGACTTACCGAGTTCTCTTTGCCCTTCCATCAGCTTCGTCTGTTGAAAGTTTTGGCAACGCGATGTACTCTCGTAGAGACCGATCCCACGAGGAAAAATGAGAAAGAAAGGGAAGATCGGTTGGCGCGAGGATAAGAGGAAATGTAGGGAAGGAGGGCGCGAAACCGAAATCGAAAGAAGGTTCGCGCGAAATAGAGGATAAAAGGAAAAGAGAGAGAGAAAAGCCGAAATTAACTTCTCGCGGCGCGAGATGCGTGCACCTATAGTCGCGACTTGTACTCTGCTGGAACGGTCGCTGTTCCACTACTTGGAACTCGCTCTCTCGACTTTTAATTATTCCCTATTTTCTCTCTTTACGTGCCGCGGACGATACAATTCTCATTGGAAAGTGTACTTCCCTCCCTGCTCTCGCGTAACGAGAACGTTGATTGTTGCCCGATTTACCAGCGAAGACTACGTTTCGTAAAGTGAAAAGTGAAAAGTGAAGTTCTGCGTCTTGTTTTTCAACGACTGGGGCTAATCGTGAGGATAATTATTTTCGATCGTGCATGGAGAATACGAAAAGAGGAAATTACTGTTTTTCTATTTTGCTTTGAACGTTGCAACGTTGTTTGTCGCTTAGCTAACGTAAGATCGCTTTTGTACTAATAACGAAGTTAAAGTAACCGAGGAGAGAATAAAACTGGGCTGTAGAAATTGAGATTCTAGAGGGAACGCGTGTCGGGCCGGGACGAAAATAGAGCGAACAACTATGTAAAGGCTTAAAACGTAGCCGGATTCAGGAAGACGACGATTATTCTTACAGGAAAAGCGACGCTCCGGACTTGAGGGTACAACTCGACGCGTTCGACGATCAACGAGAGACCGACGAGGAATTGTCGAATCACGGACCACCCGGGATCGATCTTTCTTCTCACGTGGACGTGTTTTACGCGATTCTCGGTCAAGTAAGAAACGAGATCTTTGAGAGTTTCCGTTTTAGAGAAGAAAATTCATTGAATCTCCGTCGCGTATGCTTATAGATCGCAGACACACCGCAGGAAATACCCTTTTTAAGCATTCTTCAACATCTGTTGCGACTGGATCCGAAGGATGCCGCTAGCGATTTAGCGTGGGACACGGCGGAGACGTTGGTGCACAGAGCTACGCTGTTGGAGAACAGAGAAGACGCTACCAAATTGTTACGATCACCCAGCCTTCAAGTACGTAATAATGAACGATCGTTTCAATTTCTTGTACTTAACACGTTTGTTTTACAGACGAATCTATGTTGTCACTGCCGAGGAACCGATCAGACGTGCGGTACGTCTCGAAAGGCATCATTGCAGGTGAACAATTCGGGATCAGCGTCTCAGGCTTCGCCGCCTTTGCCACCTCCGCCTCCACCTGCCGGATCGTTGGCTCCGAATCAAGGCCGCGTTTTGCCGCCACCACCGCCTCCGCCCCTTTTCGCCGCCAACGCGACGCAGGCCGATGCATCGATGGATCCTCCGCCCATACCGCCGCCGTTGCATGTCCTACCGGTCACACGGGCGCCCACCCCCGAGCAACCGAATAATCACGCGAGACTTTTGCCGCAACAGGAAATACCCACCCCGAAGGCAAAAATGAAAACTATCAATTGGAACAAGATACCTAATCACAAGGTACTCATACGCTTCGACCGGGACCACCCTGTACATCTATTTCATTTCTCGTTCATCTTCTCGAGCTTAGGTGATCGGTAAACGCAACATTTGGTCTTTGGTGGCGAACGAGCATCAAAATTCTCCTATGGCCGACATAGACTGGGCAGAGATGGAGGGATTATTTTGCCAACAAGTGCCGCCTATGATGCCCGCTGCATCGTGTTCCTCGCACGGCGCCAGTTCCGACGCTGAAAAACGTCGTCGTGAACCGACCGAGGTATCTCCTCTTTCGTTTATACCTATTTTCGCTTCTTCCACTTACTCGATTTATTTCAGATCGCACTTCTCGACGGCAAAAGAAGCCTGAACGTGAACATATTCTTGAAACAATTTCGAAGGTGAGTATCGATCGATCGTGGTATCGCGTTTCGAAGTTAACGGACTGCTTCGTCGATTCCGATAGTTCGAACGAAGACATAATTCGACTTATAAAGGAGGGCGGCCACGACGATATCGGGGCGGAGAAGTTGCGCGGCCTTCTCAAGATCCTGCCCGAGGTGGACGAGCTGGAGATGTTGAAAAGTTTCGACGGCGACAAGTCGAAGCTCGGAAATGCCGAGAAATTCTTTTTGCAACTGGTTCAAGTGCCAAAGTGAGAAAGAAACTATGTCTTTAATTAGATCACCGCGGTCCATCGCGAACAGATTTAATTACCGTTTCTCCCTGGCCTGTCGACAGTTACAAACTACGGATAGAATGCATGCTGCTGAAAGAGGAATTCGCGGCTAACATGGGCTATCTGGAACCGAGCATCAATTCGATGATACTGGCCGGTGAGGATCTCATGACGAACAAACCGCTTCAGGAGGTTCTCTACATGGTTCTGGTCGCTGGAAATTTTCTCAACTCGGTACGAATCGACAGCAAACTCGAGATCATCGTAGAACGAATGAAAGAACTCTATACGAATGTTTCAGGGTGGTTACGCGGGAAATGCCGCGGGGGTGAAGCTGTCCTCTTTACAGAAATTAACTGAGATTCGTGCGAATAAGCCAGGAATGAATCTGATACATTACGTTGCTTTGGTAAAGTAAACTTTCCTTCTTTGTTCGTCTATTTCCTATCGCGTGTATATTCGTCTAAACATTTGCGTTGCAGCAAGCCGAAAGAAAGAGGAAGGATCTGTTAGATTTCGCCAAGAGTATGACCGCTTTGGAAGCTGCCACTAAGTAAGTGCACGAGTGTTGAATTTTAACGCGATTCCCTGTTTTATATTTTACCCTATCCTCTTTCAAGGACCACGATCGAGCAGCTGAACAACGAATTTAACGCGCTGGACACGAAGATTAAGAAGATCAAAGCACAGATTCAATATCCTTCAACGGAGATTGACATACAGGAACAGATGGCACAATTTTTGCAGGTATAATTTGCAGCGATAAGAAATGAATTGAAAGAGAATTGTCAAAGCACGCGTTTCTACAGATGGCGGAACAAGAGATGAGTCAATTGAAACGAGACATGGAAGAGCTGGAAACCCTAAGGAGATCGCTTGCTGAATTTTTTTGCGAGGACGCGAACACTTTCAAGATCGAGGAATGCTTCAAAGTGTTTCATCAGTTTTGTCAGAAATTTAATCAAGCTGTCGCCGAGAATGAGAGACGCAGAATCCAAGAGGAACAAGTCTTGGCGAGGCGCAAGCAACGAGAGGAACAGTTGTTGGCTAAAAAACGACTATGTATGTTTCTATAACTTCTGATCTTTTGTAACATACATTTCCTCCTTTATTCGCTGTATACGTTTTACAGTAACCAATCAAGCCGAGGCGCCAACATCTGAATCCGAATCTAATCTACTAGACTACGATCCAATCGATTTCAATGCCAGTATACTTCAAAGAAATTACAATCGCAGCCACGAGGCCAAGGTAAACGCGTATAAGAAAGTATGGGATTTTGGTGAGGCGGAAACGAATATCGATTTTTTTTTGCCAGCAGATCAAACGATTGCAAAACGGAGGAGTTACTTCCGACGACGACGTCTCGATTACCGGCTCGCCGAGTATCCGACGACGTCTAGGTTCCTGTTCCGGTGGAACCATCGACCATCAGTCTGCCAAAGAAGAAACATATTCTCCAGGTTTTTCTCGAATAATCATCCTACGTTTCGAATCTATTCCCTAGTCTTTTCACTTACGATTCTCTTTCGCGCGACAGATGTTACACCGAACGGTACCCTCCGACGTCGCAGAAGTCGGATACCATGCGAAGACGACGACGGTAATCTGATGGACTTCTTGAGAACATCGGGTCAAGATGGTAGTCGCGAAAGAAAATCTTGGGGTAGTTTAGGTAGCTCACTGCTAAGATTTCTACTAAGATTTCTGATAAATACGCCCTTAGCTCGAATCGGCGACCGCCAGGTGGCGACGAGATTGGTCTCTGTTCTCGCTGGCGGTCCCCCGGCATGCGATTATAGGCGTCTGGAGCAGGGATCGTCTGTCGATCCCACTGACGAGTCTGGCAGACGATCCCGAGACGAAACGCTATAGCTTTTCTTCTTTTTATTTTCCATCTCTTTTTCATTATACCCTTAGATCGTTCCTGGGCGCGAAGAGCTCGCGGTCAGTCTCGCAGAAGCGATCTACTGAACGCCGATTTCTCGGGTGATCGCGAAAGGCCGAGTTCGCCGTCGCCTTTGGTGGAAAGCAAACCGTTCTTGCAAGAAGAAGAAACGAAACCTGCAGGGTAAGACATGCTACTAATGCACGTAATCTCTCCTTTTCTGTATATAAACGTAAAACGTTTGTACGTTGAATTAGAAAAGCGTGGCGGCAGAAGATCGAAGCGTGGTTGTCGGAAAACGAAAAGGAAGATCGTGCGGGTGAAGAACTTCAGAGAAAAGCGAGACAACTGCATCAAGCGAATCGACGGTCCTTCGAAGACTCGGGTAAGTACACGAAACGTTCTTAGTCGTTAAACGTGATTTACCTTTAAATTATATACGTTTGATTTGATAGAAAGCGAAGGCAAAACGAACACCCCGACCGAAAGTAATTCGACGCGCGAAGCGTATTCCGAAGTTTACGACTGGCGTCCGTCGGTCGAGAAGACGGACGTGATGCGGACGATGGAAGCAATCGAAGGTTACCGATTTAATATCAAATTGTCGACGGACACCGTTCGAATATTTAATATCTTCGCTTTCGTTTTCAGAAGCGGAGACACATCCATCGCAAAAGGACAAATCCCCGTGGCGAAAGTCTAGTTTGAACGTACCAAATAGTATGGAAGAGACTGATCCTCGATATTCTCGTAGATTAAGATCAAGACTCAGCGCGGATAATGTTCTCACGTTGAGTACACTGCAGGTTAATATTTTAATCCCTTAAACGTTATTTTATCTATCACTTCGACGATTACACGCTTTACGTGATTGCGTAGTCCATTAAAGAGGAAGACCGAAAGAGGAATAAGATAAACGACGCTATGAGCGCGGATGCTCAGGACGAGTTGACGATATATCTACGCCAACCGTACACGAATTCACAGGCCTCTACTTCGCGGAGATTCACGAAGTTAAAGAAGGGCACGGAAGAGGAGAGGATCAGCGACAAGATCGAAATCGACTCGGACAACATCGAAACTCCACCGGCAACTAGGAAATTATTTAGTCCACCGAAAGAGGTGAAGCCGGTGGAGAAGGAACCGTGCAAGAGGGAACGTTGCAACGGTTCCTTCCAGAGTAGAGACCTCAAGAACGCGGCGGTGAAAAACGTAAACGGCGGTACTGATTTTGGTGCAGGTAAGTTGTCTTTCCTTGATGAAGACAGAAATATAAAAATAAACAAAAGAACGAGATTCGTTTCGTTTCAGGGAACTTTGATCGTTACTCGGCGGCAAGAAGAACGCGAAGATACAAAAAGAGCCAGGATCCTGGGGAGAAAGAATCGAAGCAGGAAATAGCAAACACCGAATCGTTCGATGAGAAACCGATGCAACGTCCGCATACTCTACCATTGTCCGAAGAGGGAGAGGGCGATGATTTCATGTTGCGCACCTGGCAAGATAAATTAAAGCGGCGCGAAGCGTCCTCGTTCGACATCGATACCGCACTAGCTGACATCGTTCGTTCCGGTGAGGATCTTCAGCATTTATCCCGACCATTGACGCACCGAAGCTCGAGATTACCGGTCAGCCAACCACCGCCGGTCGTCGCGGTGACGAATACCGTGCTCAGCCCCGTGATGCAGGAATCGCGACCCCGGGAACCGTCGTTGACGGTTCTGCCGGAGAGAGCGGTTACCAGCCGGGAACGACAGAGGAGCATGATCGATCCTAGTCAAGTGAAGGAGGCGATCCGATTGGCGAACAATCCGCCGAGTCAGGTGAACCAGAGCAATCGGAACGACGGGACTACGACGACGTCGCGATCGAGAAAGTCCGACGACTCTCGGAAAGAAGAACGAATCGAGGATCGAACAGACTCGATCGATGACTCGAAACGACGAAAAACGAACGATCAGATCCGATCGGATACGACCGATACTTCCCCGTTTCACGGTAGATACGTTCCTGACATAAACGTCACTTCTCCACCCGCGTTACCCTCTTCCGCGAAAGGGCGAGAATTAGAGATGAACGACGAAGGATTCGAAGAAACGCAGAGCTTAGTTTCGGAGACGCTTAGTCAAGAAACGTCGTCCGGAAATTACGAGACAGACACGCACGACTCGATAAGATGTTCACCCGCAGAATTACGGTACACAGGGAACGAACACGAACGGGTTCGTGGCGGAGAGACCGGATCAACGATCGAGAGCGCTTTGAAATCGTCGTCGATCAAAGCGTTCGATCCGCAAGCGAACGCGACGAAACGCACCGCTGAAAAATCCAGCTTCCTACCGAAACGAACCACCGGTATAAAACGAACGGACGTTGGGTCTAGGAAAACGGAATCCTTACAGAGGAACTCGAATCAAACCCTTCGACCGAATAACAATCAGTCCCGTAACGAGGTTGAACGTTCGGGATCGAGAAGCAGTCTACGGAGTTCGCGAAGTTCGTTGAACAGCGCCACTTCCGTGAACACTGTAAGAAACTTGGTGCCAAATCACGCTCACCTTCGTACTTACACGTCCGCTATCTGCGCGCTGACCAACGATCTACGAAAAAGTCCGTCGAACGGTCCACCGCTTCCAAAGGGTGCAGAAAAACGTCGCGCCAATCCGCGCGCAACCGTCAGTAGAATACCCGCTAGTAGAAGCAGCAGCAGCGGAAGCAGCGTCGGTCCTACAGCGAGAACCGTTCGCAAATCTATCGGGGTAATTAACGAATCTATAATTTATACTAAGCGGATAATTGTGCATCGGTGCACGGTCCTAAATCTGCGTCAACGCATATATTCTACCGCTATATTTGGAAATCGCAAAACCATAAATCGATGTATCATTTGAAATTGACGTCACCCATCGATATCTCGGGAACCGTTGATTTCCGGCAAAAATGATTGATAAACGGCATGAAAATCTACATCTATTTATGGTTTTCGATTTCTGTTAAAAGGAACTGCATCGAAAATGAATTATATTTACAGGCAACGATCGAAGCGCAAAAAGGAAGCAAAGGTCGAACGATCGCTTCGCGTAGCAGCAGTAGCGGAAGCGGCAGTAGTACCGGACAACAGTCCGCTCAATTAAATCGATCGAACATCGGACAAACGACAAACACGAAAAGTAAGTTGATTCAGCCAAGAGCCGGAGCTAGGAATCACAGTTTCATGAGACCAACCGCAGCGAGCGTGAACAAAGGTTCTACTCCGAATCTACCACGAAGCATCAGGGGATTGGTCAAATGATTCCGTCGCGAAAAATAAGAAAAATTCAACGATTTCTATCGATACGCTACGAAGCGTCCATTCGATCCTCCCTTGAAACGTTGCGCTTTCAATCTTACACGTCATTCACGGCGTTTTATATTATTATGGTAATTACTTGGTTGTACGCAAAGCAATAACGTCAGAGCATCGCACGGTGCGATCGACGTTGATCTAGTTCAAAAGTTACACGTGGCATTATACGAACTATACAATAAATAAACATTCTGTGACTTAAACACTGCGATTAAATGTTAAACGAATTTACGTACTTACGAACCATGAAATTTCAACGTCGCTTCTAGCTACCGTTTCAGTTAATATATTTAATAATTATCTCCAATCCTTTAGAGTTAAATAACGATCGTTATGCACCGTGTAAATTCAACTAACCACGTCTGTACGATATGCGTGCAAGATGCGACGAACGCGGTACGCATCTTGTAGAAATATGGCCATATTAGAAAATCAAAATAAACGTAATTTAATTTCACCAGAGATTAAAGAATGTAAATATTCACGTCTGTTGAACTTTTTGACGCGTTCATCGTTACATTTAACAAACGATTTATCTACATATTTTTTTTTTCTCTTTTATTTACACGAATGTTATATGTCGTCGATTTCAATTTTATACCTTTTCCAAGCGAATTCGGTATCGAATTACAGCTTTTTACATAGAGAATTTGTCGACGATCGACGTTCTCTAATTTCGACCGTGACAAACGATACGATGCAGAATAAACGTAGAGAACGGTCGCATTCGGGATCGTCTTATTTTCACCTAAACTAAACGCGAAAACTTTGCAACAAATGTGAGAGAAATAAAACGATCCCAAAACGGCGACGCGTGCACGATTAAATATAAATAGAACGATAAATATTCTGAACGAAATAAACGGAAATACGTGCTTTGAACGAATCAAAGGTGTCTTAGGAAAACGGTATACGTACGAAATAACACATGAGCAACCGTGGAAACGGCGCGAAACCTCTGTGAAGATTTCATCGATTAAGCGTTTGGTCTGTTTTGCCCGCTTACGTTCTCGAGTTGTTACGCTTTTTGAGAACGATCACGGAAGCCAAGAGTCACCGGACTCTCGGGCGCAAGAATGAATTCAAACTGCAAGCCAAGCTCCTCGTCCACGACGATCTCGAACTCTCGTATGATCTAGCAAGTGTAAACTGACAGCTTAGTAAATGGTTGAAGAGAAATCGTGGAACGCGTATTGCCTGTGAAACGAACCTTCGCAAGGATAAGCTGTAGCGCCAGTTCCACGAACCGCTTACCCGGGCATATTCTTCTCCCAGCTCCGAAAGGCGCAACTAGTAACGGTGAATGCGGAGCGATCGGCGTTAACCATCTCTCCGGCAAATACTCTGAAGCATCTTTAAAATTGTCCTCGCTCAAGCCTGCTATCCAAGTGTGCAAAAGAATCACCGTCTACGATGCAAGCGGAATTACCGATCAGAAAAATGGGTATACGGTTGTTTTCAAATTGAAACTGACACGACGGGGAGAAAAACTTACTCCTGCAGGGAGACGATATCCGCTTAGTTCGAGGGATTCGTCCAGGATCCGAGCGATACAAGTTGTCGTAGGGATCATTCTAAACGTGAAAGAGTCAAATATTAAAAAAAAAAAAACAAAGGGACACGATTCCGATAACCTGGCCGCCTTGATTTAACGAGAGAAGCGTACCGAAAGGATTCGGTGATACAGGCGCGCAGATACTTGGCTTTCCGCAGATCCTCGGTAGTTAAATCACAGCCAGGAGGGGCCAAGGAGTAGCTTTCTTCGTACAGTTTCGCTTGTACCCTCGGATTGCGACCAATCAAATCGAACAAGAACACCAGCGTATTTCCTAGCTGCAGAATACGAGTTACACGAATCGATCATCGAGGATCGGAAATCTCTGATCGTTTCTCGAGTTCGCTCACCGTGTGTATACCAGCAGCTATGAAGTCAACGATGGCTGCCTTCTTGTCCCGTACATCGAGACTCTTCTGCCTTAAAATGGATTGAAACACCGCCTCCACCGATTCGTCTTTGGCATCGTTTTTCTTCTCCCATATCGTGGCTTCCACGATATCGGATATGATGCTAAAAGGGGAAGAATGCATTAATCATTGAGACCGGGATTGAACCTCGGGTCGAACCGGAAGAACGCCGAGTTCTTCAAGTGGAATCGTGCCCAATTCTTTTCTAATAGGTCCACTGCGATATTCGGTATCCCCCGGTCTTGCTTCGTCGCATTTACTTACAAGGAATTTTAAAACTAAGCTAAGATCTAACGCAGGGACGTGGTGGTAGATTATCGCTGCCACACAGATCTATTAGAAAAGAATTAGGCGATGCCGAACGCACTTTTTGCGAACAGTACCTGTATATAGCATCCTCGCTCTCTATCAGCTGTTTGTACGCGGACGTAGGCAGCAGCTTCCAAAGCGGTAAACCGTAAAAAGCGTCTCGGGAGGCGGTGAAGTGAATCCTGACCGCTTCCGCCAATCTGCTCGATAGCTCGCTGCTGGAGTCCGGCTTCAGGAATCCAAGGTGTCGACCCAAGATCAGAGTACACGTACCTGGTGGAAAGGGGGAAAGGTGATCGAAAAGCGCAAGGTCGTCTCGTTAAGGCTGAAAAAGGAGAGCCACCAACAGGTGGGAAAGAGACAGAGAAAGACAGCTTACTCTCGAGTCCCATTTTATAGGCGAGCTCTTCGAAACCCGTTACTTTGTATCCCATCGTTCTTCGTCGACGGATCAAATCGACGAAGGAATCGGCGACCACGTTGAGGGCCGGGAAGTATCCAAGGACGGTGCTGGCCCCCGTCAATTCGGACGTAAGCGCGGTCCGAAGATCGTGCCACCTTTGCCCCTGTCTATCGATTTATTCGTTCGTTTAAATCTTCGTCGACGATTACCGAAATATATCGCACGCTGATATACGCTTCTACGGATAACAAAATATCAATCTCTACCGCTTCTACAAAAGTATGATTTCGCGTACAAAGTTTTCTGTTCTATTCTACCGCAAAGATTTCTACCCTCTTTGACTGAAAACAGGCAGCAAACGACATCACCTATGAATTTTCGGCTTCGGATTCCTTGTAAGTAAATGCGACAATGCGCGGACGGTCCAAGAATCATTTAGCAGAAACTGATCGATACTCACTCGTTGACCAAACCCAGGTTCGTGTAACGATCGTGACGATTGCGACGATAATGGGATATCACCTCCTGAGGAGGACGAAGCGGATACCTCGGGCTTCGTCGGATCACAGCCTCGATATCCTGACGGGAAAAGACGGAGATCACCGGGAAGTTCCATAGTGCCTCTTCTTTGCACAACGCTCCGTATCGTTGATTCAAATCTATTCTTGAATCCAGAAAAAAACGCGTTGCGTTAAAATGTACGAAACGATGCGTTGCTATTTGGATCCTCGAACAACTTATTCAAAGCTGTTGCATCAAAGTCAAAGAGTTTTTACCTTTGTAAGCGTCGTGGATCTTGTTCAAGGTATAAGATCCAAAGCTAGAGAATATCCACCTGGTTCCGAAAATCGGTAGGGAATACGGTCCCGGTACATCCGAGACCGTCTTAAATTTCCTCTGGTCCTGGTCGGTCACTTCGGCTGGAGCTGGCAAGCATCGAGGCGAAAACTCGTTAGATTTCAATCATGTGATCTATCGTCTATCGGTTTTATCGGAGGCGCGCAAAAGCTGTTGGTAAGGTCGAAGGATGCGAGGTCGACGCGACGAGGAGCTTGCTTTCAACCTTCGAGCTTAGAAAGGCAGCCACGATCGTACACGCGCGATTGCTTCGAAACGAAGGTCGTTCTTCAAATGCCCCTACGAAACGTTATTTCTCTATGCTTTTCCTTCGTTACCTTACTCGTTAAGAAGTTACGTACACGCGTAACCGCCTTCTTCTTGCGTAGAAAATTTGCTTTCGCAACGCGAACAAACACGCGTTTAAATCCGTTCGACCGATACCTATTATCTGCTTTCCATTTGCGACGACAATCTTTCATGGCATCGGCTCGGTCCATAAATAATGTCGTTAAGAAACATCGCGCGATGAAATGATTTTTTTTTTTTTTCTTCTTTTACGATTTTACTGTATTTCGACGAAATCGATTGAAACGAAAGGTTGACGGAGAAACTCACCGCTAGCCCTGTGCGAAGCTCCGCTCCAGAACCACCAGACTGGCCGATAGCTAGTCGCGAAGATTAGTGTCGTCAATAGTGCTGCTGCGATTACCTCGAACCAAACGCTCGAAATTAGCATCTCGATATATTCTGGCGAAATTCCTAGGCAAACGCGAACAGAAGCTCAACAATCGACTATTTTTCTTTTCCACGCCGCTGACTGTGCTTTCGCTCATTCGCCGATCACGACATTGAACCACAGATTCTTATCGCCCCTGAACGCGACAAACCGATGTTTAACTTTGACTACGACCAACAATCGCGTTAATTGTGTTCACAAGCGTTTTTTATCGCGTTGATAAGGAAATGGCATACACGTGGCCGGGTAAATCGGCCACTGTTTAGAAAGAGGTGTAATCCTCCTACAAACGGCAGCCCAAGATGAACCTTGTTAACCGTCCTCGTACGGGGACAGAATTTTCTTCTTCTAACGATCGCGGTTAAACGTTAGGTTTTCCCAGCGTTGTTCGCGCGAACGGCACGACGAAGAACGCAAACCCCGGGACTGATAATCGAGAGGCTCGGTAATACTCATAAATCACAGATAGTCGGTAATCCGGTGCCGGGGCTGCGTAGAACGCGAAACAGGAAATCGAAAGGGTTGCGCGACGACGCGCTTTCATTTACCGATTTAACGCGTCTTTCAAGATCACTCGCGAAAATAGATGACAAGCGGGTCTCGATGAACGATGATTAAAAAGAGAATAGCGATCGTTAACGCGTCTCGCATCAGCGTTTGTTAGAAGCTGACTGACTGCCCCAGTGTTATTTACGGATCGCCAGTTTCTTCTATTTGCAGTACGCACCGATAACGCGTATCGTCGCCGATGACCCTGCTCTCTCTTTGACTCGCTAATCTCGAAACTGTTACACGGATCGAGGAGAAAATGCCTAAATACCGAGCATTGTGTCGCGATACGATGACTTGCGATCCACCGCACCGTAAATGTTGTTACAATCGCGTCTGCTGTTCGAAGAATTCGTTTCTTCCTTCATTTCGTTGTGACCGTAAAATTCGATGACAAAAATGAACACGAGGTACCACTTCTACTCGTTTCCCTTTTCTTTCTCGTTAGGTAAACCGCGATTATTTGCCGAGGAAAACAACGCGTCACCAATATTGTACCGTCCCGTCTATTCTCGCGTTTATCGTTCGAACAAACGTTTCCTAGTATTCAAACGATAGATACAGGAAAATGGAGAAATTGTAAGAGAAAGTGTCGCGCAAATCTATAAGCGTAAAACAAACAAAGCGTTGCGCGCGAAAACTGACTTACGTTACGCTCGATGTACGGGAGGATCTTTTATTTTTTTCTTTCCGTGTGAGATTTATACGGAACAACGCCACGTGCGGAACGTTCGAGTAACGAGTGGTATTATGGTAATATGTGTAGAAGGTAACAGAGACAACGAATATGGGTAATTGTGTACAAAGAAGAAGAAGCGGCACGGCGAACGCGCGATAAATAGAGATTAGGCGAATTTCTCGTTACGAGGCGACGCTGATGGTTCCAAAAGGTAAGCAAAGTCGTTAAAAAGAAATCGGGAGGATTAAAACCGTCTCGACGCGACATTATCAAAGAGAACGATATCGTGGGCAAAGAATTTCTCACCGTTAGCTTCGCCCTTTCGTCTACTCGAAAGTGCAAAGTACAAACACCCCGATGAAAAATACATTGTTTAATTTCTTACGTAAATCTTCATTCTTCCCGGATGCGAACGTTCAGGCTAAAATGTTAAACGTATATTTATCTCATTAGCCTGACCTATATGCCTGTTGTTCGAGTATTTACATTTGATAACCCGCAGATAAAGGCCTTCTAATAAACATATATATATATATATATATATATATATATAATATATTACGCTTATTGTTAGGATATATATTTATTTTTCGCGCGTTCGCGCCAATACCGCGTTCGCGCGCTTGCTTTCGTTCTCCAACTCGGTCGATATCTACCAACTATCGATCCTTTCGATACTCGATCTAATCTCTAATATTTAAAAAAGCGAACGATTCGCGTGCCTAAAATGTGTCAGCTCGTTTTTCTATTGAACATCTTTACGATCACCCACGTGTTCTCAGTAATCAATCTAAAAAAAAGAGCGCAATCAATTAATTTGAATAACTATTACACGTTTAATAACACTCGCGTTAAATGCAATAACGTAGCTAGAAAGCAAGGATGAAAGCGATAAACGATTTCTTCCTGTTTAATTAACGAAACGTTTACAGCTAATAACTAAATCACAGTGCAAAGTAAACGTTGATTAGCCACTGAAAACACGTGCTCACAGAATGCGACATGCACTATTTCCTATAAACACGCGTACTCCCCCTTAAGATAATTAATTAATCTACCTCGCGGTAATTAAAAAGCTTTTCGATTATATACGCTTATGATAAACCGTTCGAACCCGGAAATTCGGAGGATCTGGTTAAACTCGCGACGCGCTTGATTGTGTGCTTGTGTACTTGCGGTCACAGGTGGCGATCGACCGGTAGATAAAACCGAGACGAAACGTTCTTGTACTTACGAAGGGTGCCCGTAGTCTGAAGTACAGTTAAAAAGAGACACCAAACGTTGTCGTCGCTGATGATTGTACCGTGGCGGTAGCGATGGTAGTGGCGACGGTGGTGGTGGCGATGGCAGTGGTGGTAGTGGTAGCGATGGTGGTGGAGGTGGTAATGGTAGTGGTGGTATGGTGGTGCGCATCATTGGTGACGATGATGGTACTAATGACAATAGCGCTTTCATTGATCGCGCCTTCTGATAAGACGTTAACATGTTTTCACGAATCATTGCCGTTCCACTAATTGAAACGTAACTAAAAAATAAAAAAAAATAAAATGAACAACAATGTATAAAGTAAAAAGCTAACAGTTGAATTGCAATAAGTAAAAATAAGCGCCGGTAAAGTATGAATGAAATAAAACGACGGGAAGGACGGAGAACAGGCGAACGTAGGAAGTCGAAGCGACCTTTAATTGCCGCTAATTGATAAGGCTGCCGGAGCGTTCACCAAAAGCGGACTCCGGCGATCCTCGGTGTACGCTCCGAGTACAAGGAGATTTCTTATTTCCTTGTACTCCGTACGCCCTCCTCGCTTCTTTCTTAAACTGGACCCAAACGGTATTGTATAATCTGGCCATCTGCAACAGAGGGGACGGAGTTACCTTGAAGTGGGGATTCAAAGCTAGAACAATCGCGACACGTTCGTCAGATGGCGCAAGAAGACATCGCGATCGACGAACCTTAGGAAACTCGTGGACTCGGCAACCGGTTGCTCATTCGACTAACTTTTGTACGATTTCCTTGTTCGCCGAATTTCATCGGTGCTGGTAGCAATCGATATACTTTTTACCGTGTAAGAAATAAACCAACTTCACTCGTACATAGTTTTGAAATGAAAGAAAAACACGCGTAACGAAGCAGCGCGTAACAGAATGCCGATACGCGACTAAGAATAAAGATAAATAAGGGTGCATAAAAGTTGAATATTTTACTTTCTTTTTTTTTTGTCTCGATAAGCGTACGGTAAGACGGCATCAAACCAGATCGTATAGGACAAACTAGATCCAGTAGGGGGACATGATGTAGATGTATTTGTAAAGAGCGTGAACATACGCCGATCAAAACTCGTTTTGAACGGAATCAAATAAGACAGGTTCGCGTTTCGAGGTGGGATACGACGAATCACCGAATCGCTCTGACGAGTGGCTCGTTTTAATTTTATTTCACGTAATTTCTCTTACCGCGTAAACGATCAACCTTCTCTATACGAGGCGCAGTAGAAATATTGAACGCGATAATTTCTTTTGTGTACTGAGACGAGATACTCGTACGGAACGTAGTACGATAATGTTTGCTACGCGCACCGAATGAAATTCGCTACAGGGAAATTGACGATGTAACCGTTCCAGCAGAAGATTCGGATGGATCCCGTTACCGAAGATGCACGTGTACAAATGGTATGTATACGCGTATGAGGAATAATCCGAGGGCAGCAGTGTGCATCGGTACGGAACAGTTGCGCGTGTAAACACGCGCACGGATGGTATATCGGCGTACCGAAGATGGTCAACCAACCAGGAAGCGATCACGAACAAACTGGTCACTCGCCTGAATTCTGTTTTGTTGCGAATACCCGTTGCAATCCTGCCATGTCTTTTAACGCTTTCACGACCCTTTAACAACGCGTCTCTCGTACGATCTTTTTATATCTAAAAGAAACATATTCATATAATCATCTTGTTCAAACTTTTCTATTATACCACTTTTCGACTTACGATATTTTTAAATGTTGTACATCGGGTCCACAAAAATAAACGGTACAACTTCCGTGAAAATATCGATATTCGGATCCAAACTTCGTCCGAGACCTTCGATCACTGCCATGCTCAGTATTACGCTACTAAAGGATCCATCTTGCTTGACCCGATATCGAATCATCGCGTTGAACAGTTCGGTTACGATGCTGCTTACGTTCACCTGTAACAGTTTCGAAAACAACCGTAAGCAATCGGCATTTTTCGCAGACTTTTCCACCGTTTCATGCATTACACTAATTTTACTCTGATGATGGGTATTCACGATATCTCTTATCGTACGCTTGAAACCGTCTGGATCGGGAGACATGTGCGAACTATGTTTCAGTATGTATTCCGCTGCCAATTCGCCCTAGTGGCAATAAAAGCGAAAACTTGAAGAAGTACTGCTAGTATGTAAAAAAAAAAGGAAGTAAAACGAATCTGTACGTACGTCACCCATCAGCACGGAGCGAAAGACATTTTTAAGATTTTGCCGACAACGATCGTTCAAGGATACTACCAAGCCACAGTCGAGAATGACCAAACGAGGATAATCGCGGTTGATAAATTTCCAAAACCAAGCGCCAATTTTACCTCTTGGCTCAGTATTCGTTTGCACCAGTATATTACCAGGATGCAAGTCGCAATGAATGAAATTGTCGCTAAATACCTATGAATAATCATTGATAATCCTAAGGTCGGATACGTCGATCTTAAATAATATCACCGACCATTTTTAAAATCGTCTTGATTCCTATTTTAGCTAATTTTTCTTGCATTTTAGTATCGTCGTATCTGAGATAATCGGCGATAGGGGAACCATCGTGAAAGCTTTCCACGAGTATCTCGGCCTGCGTGACATTCGTATAAGGACGCGGGAAAACGACATCTTTCTTCGTGGCAAAATTATTTGAAAATTTAATTAGATTCTCAGCCTCCAAATTCATGTCGACCTATTACGAACATTCGAGACTTGTAATCATAGCTTGCACGGTTAACGTGAAACGCTCACTTGATTTTCCATTATGTGAGAAAATTCGGTTATGCAGTCGGTCAAACTGAGCCACTGCAACTGTGGCACTATGTATGTGATGCATTTACAAATCCCTTTCATTATACAAAGATCTCTTCTAAATAAAAGGGAGAGCATCGAATAAACAATAATCTAAATATCGATCGATGAGAATTCATACCGTACCTCAATTGCTCTTTAATTCCAGGATGCAAAACTTTTATTGCTACCGGTTGCAGATTCTTCTTGTTCGCATCATCGCGTTCCATTCCATCGTTTCCGTTCAATATTCTATCTGAAATAAAATCATTGTTATCCCGTGCAAACAGCTTTTATCAGACTTAACGGGAATTTTCTTATACATATTTACCGATGCAAGTAGCGAGCGGGCCGAGTTTGAAATATTCGATAACTGTAAAGAGATTCGTTTAGGAGTCACGATATACACGGATATCGGAAATGACTCGATAAGTCTCGAAACGATCGTAATAGTAGAAGACGATACCCTAAATAAAGTAACCATCTATACTTGAATAATTTACTTTGAACAAATGCTGGTATTTCAGATTTCTGCGTTACTTCCAGTCGAGCATTCGGGTCTATCCATGCCTTGTATACCTACCGAGAAGACCGTATCAAACTTGTTCGTTTCTAATTTGCTTTTGTACATACCTGACCACAACATCCTGATCCTATTGGTTCTTCATCTTCGAATCTGACAAACATCTTCTTCCAATTTGAACCATAAATTGATTTCAGCAGTTCCTTGGTATAGATCCAGGAATGAGGAGACGCGGTTCGTTGCAGTTGCGAAAGCGTATGACAAATATTCTCAGGAAATAAATCTTTCCGCGTAGATGCCCACTGACCAAATTTAATAAAGATCGGCCCGAGAAATTCGATACCTGCAATTCGTCAAGTTGAATAAAACTTTCATTTCGGAGCTGTTCTACTCGACACAGGCTACATCTGTATTTTAACAGAGTAATTACTTTTCCGTAGAATTGTCGGAAATACGTGTTCGTGTGTAAAACGAGTAACAAAGTATGCGGCGGTTAATCCAAGGATGATAGATCCTATCGTAAAGATCCTGGCCATAATTAAAATAGCATCGAATAAACTATAGGTTCCCGTATCTCTCGCCAAGATTTTGTCATTCTGAATCCATACTTGACGTTTAGGCTTGTGAGAAAGGATCAGAATAGCCTGAACTGCTCTCTTGGAACCCTCAAAATTCATATTGTTTATCACCGCTCGATGAAATCGAATCGGTGTTACGTGTCTTTTTATTCGCCACTTTTCTCCTCGATTTTGAAGTAATTTCTTTGAACGAAACGCTCGCGAAAAGTTTAAATAGAAAGCCATAATCGATCGTTTTTGCCTTCAGCATTGCCATTACAAACAATTACTCCGATGAACGTGTTCTTTTCGCAATAATTCCATCAGGACCAAGTTACTTCCGGCACATGACTGAAACCAAATTAAAATTAGCTAACATTTGTATGTATTCGAATAAAAATGATTTTTTTCAACAATAAGGTTGATATAAACTGTCTCTGAAATGCGATGCATTTGAAAATAATTTTATGTATAGTTGCAATTGAATTTCGTCATTTTTCATGTGGTAACACTGCCCCCATAAATTTCTCAAGCAATCTCTCAGAAACATAAAGTAGGCTAGTAAATAAATTTTCTTTTTAACATGTAACGTTCTATAATTAAAGCGCTTAATGTGTATCGAGAAAATTTAAGAAACGATAGAAATTTTGAGATAACTACAAAAGGTAACTGTAATTGTTCAGTTGCCAGCAAATCTAACTGTGTTTATATTTCCCTAACCAAACCTGATTGCTACTTGCTTACCATCCATATTCAAGAACAATTTTCATTGATCATTCTAAACAATAGCGCTGTAATATTTTTATTAAAAATTTGCTGTTTTAAAAACAAACGTTTAATTTTAGCAAACTTGTATTGCAGGAAAATCAAATGATTAAAATAGAATGTAAAATTAAGAAGACTGATGTATCAAATGAACAAGATGATAATATAAAAACAACCTACTTTACTATGGATCAAAAATAAAATTTGTTAAAAGAACCATAACTAAATGAATAAATACATGATTTATCAATGTTGATAGAAATTTAAGAAGATGCCAACAATAGCCAGTTCCTCTTTAACATATGAAATTCTTATGTACCTTAATTCTTTTTATTTTGGCATGTTTGCTATATGTGAATTAGGCATGGGATTTTTTAAAGCTGCAAATCTGCCTTCACCTGGTATAAGTACGACACTGATAGAGTTTGCATTGTTGTTTTTCCTCATTGTCACAGAAGGTGCTAGAATTTATCTTGGAAGAAAAGGAAATTTGACAGAGCACGGGTTACCAATTCTTATTGGAGTTATTTTGACCGTACCTAGCGCCTTAGCGACATTGTATTTTTTAATCTGGCAAAATTATGTACTTAGACTAGAAGTAATTCTTTGTAGCATACAACTGGTACTCCTAGCATCTGAATTAATCATTTCAATTTTGTGCCTTATAGCTATTTATCGACCTTCGCCTCCCGACGAATAAACAGACCTATTAAAAACGTTTAAAAAGTTAATAACATTGTATACTGTGTTTCTGTGTATAAGTAAAAATTAAAATTGTTTTGATGTAATAAACTGTGCAATTAATTTTCATACCTTCAATCAACAAATTAACATTATACATAATGATTCGCATCTTCATCTTCATGATTTTTCTTTTTTTATTAATACCTTTTAGTAAAAATTATACATTTTTTTTTTCTCTGTATCTGATATTTACAGCAAAATAAATATCTCGTTAATAAATAACATGTGTTTGCAAGATAATCAATATCGATAGATATTTCAAAGCTACGCTATACTTAAAAGTACACTGTGGAGTAATGAACATGTATGATAAATAATGAATAAGTAAGTAATTTTTCTCTCAAATGTATGTGAAATACACATAAAAAATTGTATGATCAAAAATACTTAATAAAATATATGTGCATTTAAAAAGAAAATACACATTTCATAGAATTTGTACCTATCGTTTCCGTCCTACGAATTAATCTTTTATACTAGTCGCTGCAGCTCTGCGTCTTCTAATCGCCCGTAGTCGATTGTTACAATAGATTCGCAAAAATACTGAACCAAACACTAGCAATATACCAATAATACCAATAACCGTTACACGATGATGATATATCAAACAGGATAACAATATGGCCAAACCCTGAAGCAAAAAATAGACATTTTTATTGTATATTCTATTAATAGCGATATGTGTAAAAAAAAAGGACTACCTGTCGTATTGTCATCATAATGACAAATGTTACTGGCCCAAATTTAGATATCGTATAAAAGATATACAATTGACCACTTGCAGAACAAATTGATATAAGTAAACAATCCATGATGAACCTAGGATACTGTGTGATAAAACAAACTGTAAAAACTGTACAATAAGCTGTTAAAATTTACACGATTTACGGGAATTCAAGTCACCTTTGTCATGAAAGATAGTATGAGGGGGAAACTAGATTGCTGAAATAAAGACAGCGCAGTTAACATACAGGAAAACATATTAACAACACACATCATTTGTACACTTGTTGCACCATACTCCACAAATAATGCATTTTGCCAAGTACTTGTAAAACTATCTAACAATAAGTAGCCTCCTAAGAGAATGATACCAGATGCAGTAGTAGCTCCATCTAAAAGTATTAAAACAATGATAATGACAAAGACAAAAATGATGTTACATTAACAACATATAAGTTTTTACCATTTTTATGATCGGAACTATCTAACATAAACAGCGTCATTCCAATAGAAATAAGTATTGCCGTAACATATTCATAATACTCGTACGTTGTTTGTGAAATTATTTTTCCCATTATCATTACCGGGATTATTTTCGAAGCTTTTGCCAATACCTACGATACATGTAGTTATTAACGAAACTTTTAAATGTAAGAGTTTAAGAATTCAATGAAGCAATAACCACCTGTGTTGGGAAGCTGACATATTTTAAAGCTTCATACTGGCACCAACTACTCATAATATTTGATAAGGAACAAAATGCGTATTTATAGAGTGGAGCTTTATGCTGGGGTTGCCTTTGAATTAGTAAATACAATCCCGACATCAAAAATGCAAGAATTCGATTTATAAACACTAAAAATTGGGAGTCTTGAAATCGATCTTTGTTACCATCAACATTTTCATACTCCTGAAAAACAAATTTATTCCTACCATAGACACTTCTAAATCAAAAAAGTATCAATGAAATTAATTGTGGTAGTTATCAGTGATATTATGTCCCAATATTTATAACTGTACTGTGTAATTTATTCTGCAATTTGTGCTTAAATCATCTTGAAATGATATTACAAAGTTATATATTTCAAATGAAATACAAGTGAAAATCTTTTTTGTAACATTGTGGGTATTATGATTAGTACCCGTACCGTGTTTGGTGTAATGAAGGGATAAAAAACACCATCTTCAGTACTTTGTTTCACAGAAAGCCTGGATCTCCTAGAAGTAGTGACTAGATGATTCACATTGAGATTCTGAAATCTAAGTTAACAAAGTGTCCTTGTACATGGACATTTAACTACAGCAACAGGTACTTGCAAAATCAACATTAAAATTAACTATTTAACTTCTTGAATGATCAATTGGAAAGTATGCAGAATATAAGCTCTTAAATGCAGTTCATTGCAAAGCATGTTTTGTGTTTCCATAGATTGATTTATTAAGTATAATATGTACCAAACAAATTATACCTGTGTCATTATCTTCTCTTGTAAATAACCCCATGTTAAATAACTGATTTGTAATCCAAAAAAACAGTATAAAAGTAACAGGGCATCTTGTGTAAAAGTACGTTGATTAGAGGGATTAGATGTATAAGATGAAGAATCCAAAAGTCCTGTTTCACAGTGGCCAACAAAACACGAATGTACCAATCTTGGAATGCATCCCTTACCTACTCAAGAGTTTTATATTACTTAAAATAAAGATTCATAAATTCTTCCAAGCAAATGTATTTTATTTTGATGTTTATTTACCTCCCCTTTGAATATATTTTGTGAGCCGCACATATTTGTATATGAGGTAACCTGGTAATAGCACGGTAGCATAACTCAATAAATTTAAACATAATCTGATGATCCAACTATAGGAGGTAGATTTTAAATAATTTCCTCCAGTATCGACAAGAGATTTAATAATTTCACTAGCTCCAAATATAAGACTCATTGATAGCAGCAGCAATATGCTATGGAAACAATGATTTAAACATATTAAAAATAAATCATTTAGAAATTTGTAGCTATTAGAATTTATAACCAAAACTTACCAAATTACAAAATCACCCACAAAATTTCGCATGATTACAATGGAATTTATATAAAACAAATGATTCCTAATAAACGGATTATCTCATAGTTTTACATAAAATGATTAAATATTATATAATTACACCTAGAAATACAAAGATGTACAAATTATATTATATCGGCAATGTTTAATTGCCGCTAAACCACATTTCGACTCATATTTCACATAGATTTTTTAACTCATTCGTACAGATCTGTTCAAGGAAAGATGTGAGATTCATTCAAAACCATCAGTGGAGAATTGGCTTCGATTAATAATTTCAAATATTCAAAAATATTCTAACAAATCATCTAAAATATAAGTCATTGCTTCATTGTAGCCACTAGTGTCAAGTTCATATCTACTCTAATAGAAACACGTGACTTTCCAATACCAAATGCTTTTTTTTTAACCGCAAACTACAAAAGAAACTACAAATTCTTTTCATATTCCTTGTTCTTTCCAACAAAATTTGTTCACTCTTTCGTAGTGTTAAAAGCGACAAAATGTAATAATAAAATAAAAAATAAAAAATTTGTATAAATACAAAAATTATAAGTTTGAATGTTGGTCCATAGTGCATATTATTCGTTCAACAAGAGATCATACCTGTTTTGCGCAGCTCAGGGAGGCCCTCTATTCTTACTTCTAACTTTGTAGCACTTCGTGGTTATATACACGGTGGACAAAAATATATAAATGAAAGAAATAAGCATTCGCGACCCGACGCATCGGAGGTCCGAGAGATACTAAATATAAGACCGCTGTATATGCTGCGTAGTGCTACAACGCGCATGCGCAGACGAATCATGCGCAGACGGAACCTGCGCAGTCGAATCGTGCGCAGACGGAACCTGCGCAGTCGAATCGTGCGCAGACGGAACCTGCGCAGTCGAATCGTGCGCAGACGGAACCTGCGCAGTCGAACCATGCGCAGACGGAACCTGCGCAGTCGAATCATGCGCAGAACGAACGCGTCAAATGACAGACACGATCTCTCGTTGATTTCAATAATGGATATGTCGTATATCTATGATGCAAGTATTCCGTGGTTATCTTTGTACAAAAGTAACCTACCGGCGTAGAAAAATTAGTTTATAATCTTTATCTTTTAATATAAATATAGTATAACAATTAAATTAGATCATCATAACTTTGTTAGGTAAACTTCAATTTCACAAATAATCAGTCATGATCTAAAATAATTAAAAGTAACATAAGAATAGCCGACAAGTTAAGTACACGTTAGGTTAGGAGTGTGCTTATCCCCTCTCTAAAGCATTTGCATGACACCTCCACAAAGTAATATATATATATACTGTAATTCGCGCGGGAAAAGATCAGTAGATCACACGAATACTTTTATCATACCTAACTTAGTTTTTACGTATTGTATAGTTAGCCGTATTTATTGCTATATCCTTGAATTTTGTTGAGGTTATGTATTTAAAACTCTCACAAAGTGATATTCTTGAGGACTTGATTAAATTTGAGTCCTTAATTTTTTAAGTATTTCAGTAATTCAATTAAAGATTCTAAATATCTATTTAATTTTTGTGTCTGGAACATTTTAATGTATTATATTGACTCCTTCCCACAAATCAATATATCTATTCAATAATAAGAAAAGTGAATTAATCATTATATCTCACTGTTTTATTAGCTAAATCAGTGACCAAAATGCTAACAAATATCATCAATTCCACTTGTAAATTGTCCAAACGACCATTTACAGTATGTATAGAGGGAAACATAGGTAGTGGTAAAACAACATTTCTAAGACATTTTAAAAAATTTAAAAACACAACAATTCTAGAGGAACCAGTAGATCTTTGGAGAGATGTAGGTGGAACAAATCTATTAGTAAGTTTCTGTAAAATTAATTGTAAAAATGTAATATTTATGTTTACAGTAACAATATAATATTAACATTAATTTGTTGAAAATGTTTAGGAATTAATGTACAGTGATCCTTCGCGTTATGCTTTTTTATTTCAATCCTATGTCCAATTAACTATGCTTCAACTGCATACATATAAAACTCCACTACCTTATAAAGTTATGGAAAGATCTGTATATAGTGCAAGGTGTTTTATAGAAAACATGAAGCGCACAAAAATATTGCGTGATGTAGAAGTAATGATTTTGGAAGATTGGTATGACTGGTGCATTAAATGTGCTAATATAGAAACAAATTTAATAGGTAATATATATCTTTCACGAAAACGTGTAACATTTTATTTCAGATTATTAATTATTATTATTTTGAAACAGTGTATTTAAGAACATCCCCAGAAGTTGTATATCAGAGAATGAAAGCAAGAGCAAGAAAGGAAGAAAATTGTGTATCATTAGAGTATTTGAAGCAGATTCACGATATTCACGATGAATGGCTGTATCATCGAACGTTATTCACCGTACCAGCACCGGTTTTGGTATTGGATGGAAACAAAAATCTTGACGAAATGTTAACAGAATTTGAAGATTGTAAAAAACAGATTTTTGATAAGAAAATGGACGAGAAAACTACACCGTCACCAGTATGTCCTTTACCCGAAGTTACGGCGGATCCGACGAATTAACACTTAAACGACCGCTCACGAGATTTCTCGTGTTTCAATGCTGAGATGCGGTCGTTTAAGTATTAAGAAATTGATTGTTAATTTAGATTTGTATATTTTTATTTTGTATATATGCAATGTAATCGGTGCAGATTACACTGATTTATAATATCATTACATTTATAATAAAAAATTTGTCCATTGTAATAATGGTACACATTATTATTTTAATATACTTATAATATATCGTATATACATATGTAAGTATATACACCCAATAGAAAATAATTACTCCAAATTTTTTCGGGTGGAAACTAGCTGTTCCGCGCAATCGTATTCGCGACAAGTCCATAATACCTTTACTAACTTACCAATTTCTGCATCCTTCGTGTTTGCTTGTTTCCAATCAAGGAGTATTTGATATACTACCTGAAAAGAGAATTATAATATTATTATATGATATATAATTTTTTTTTATATAGACAACTTACTTCGCCTATCCCTCTGAATCTGTAATTCTCTTCGAATTGATCAATTTGTCCATCCGAATATAATAACTTTCTAGCAACGTCCCTCCAACCCCGTCCCATGTAAGTTTTAATGATAAATATATCCTCTAAATTAATTTCCGCTGTAGAAGCACACAAATCTTTGATATTCGCCGGCATCTGACGAACTTCTACTTTCGACCCTCTTTCTTCCGATGTTTCCGCGTCTTTCGAAGAAAATTGATTAATATTGCAAATATAACTGGTCTTCGGACCAATTTTCACTCCATTCGAATTAATTATATTATAGTTCACAACGTGTGCTCCTTGTGCTGTGAAACAGGAAATGATGTATTTAGTCCATAAATAAACCAGTTGGAATAAATTATGCTTACAATATCTGTACTGTTTCGACTTCTTTTTTGTTTTAACATTTGGTCCTTTATGTTGTTTCTCATCAGTCGCAGAATAATTTGTATCGTCGAAGTTTTGTTTAGTGGAGGAAGGATTAGCATTTGTTGGTATCGCATCGTTTAATACAGATTTCGTTCGTTCCGATGTTACATCGTTTTCCTCGAATTCTACTTCTGGAGTAATAGGAGCTAATTTTGATTTTGTTTCTACTTTCTCGTTCTCTGTATTAGAATTTAGATTGTGCGTATATCCTTCGATCCTTATGCGCGGTGGATCAGGTTTTGCATCGGTTGTTAACATACTAAATCGTCGAGATAATTGCGATAATATCGGCATTTTCTTCAAACTCGGAATGAAAATAAAATGCTCTTCTTTTTCTAAAAAATATGATATTCAAGATTAAACTAACATTTAAAAAAAGAGAATGGGATATAAAATATGGTTGCTTGAGTTATCTTTTCCATTTTCTTAATTTATTTATTATACCATGTTTCAATTCTCCGTATCGTATGGATGAAAAGATAAATCAAATAAGAGAAGACACTCATTTGCTCACCTTATCTTAATATCTACATACACCAGTCATTAACAAAAATATTTTTTTTTTTTTTTCGTCACTCTTGTTCATACGTCAAGTTTCTCTTGAAAATATGAGACTATCGTAATAAATCTTGAAACGTTTGATTTTAATGAGCTTCTAATTTCTTTGTAATTACACTACTCGTCGTATCAACAACGCTTGTAATGCGAAAGTTTAAACACTCAATTACACATTATCGTGTATTTTGTCATCGACAGGGTTGCAAACTAAAGATAAATAGAATAAATTTTATAGCAAATGGGAAATTCATCCATATTTATGCAGTCAGTATTTTTTATGACCTCGCATTGATTTGGGTTTTTCACAAATGAAATCAGCTCTCCTTTGATGCGGCTAAGTAACAATTACGCAGATTATACACAGAATCTGTAAATGTTAAACGAAAAAAAATTTATTAATAACATAGCTATCGTTAATTTAAAATATATTGTATTCACGAATTTTTTATGTTTCGACACCAAGAAACATTCCATTTTATACAATATAAAAATTATGCGCAACAGGTTTCAGATACTGTGCTCAATGTCAAAACTTGATTAATTAGAGTATAAGATACTGTAATATTAAACATTCATATGTAGAGCATGTATAAACCGTATGTTATGTTTAAAATATTTCAATTTGTTTAATGTCAAAAAGATTTCAAATCGCAATACGTTGATTTCTATGTTTTTAAATTGAAATATTTCTTTTCTAGTGTTTACGTAAAAAGCCTACCTTGTCCTCTAAGAAATTGTTAACTTGTTAACGCAGAATAATTGTCGCATAACATTGTTTAGTGTCCGTTCTATTATTCCGACCTTAACCTCTTAATTGACGAGCTCCATACTAACGCCCATTCTTTAAGACAACTGAGCCGTCGATTCGTGACGTGCAATGCATTTTGTGCAATCTGAGACACCGCAAATCAAATACATTGCACGATTTTACAGATAAACTACTTAATTTGATCATTCTATGAAATTATGTATCATCCAAATATTTTGAAGAATTATACACTATCACAGGGTACTCTGGAAAAATTAAACATAATTAAAGAAAAATTAAAAGAAGATACATTGAATAGCGATCCTTTGTGGGAAACTGTAATAGGAAAGGTTTGTATTATTATTATTATTCAGAAAATTACAAATATTTGACAATTTATTATTGAAAAGAAAGGGGAAGAAAAAGAAGAAAATGAAGAAGAGGAAGATACATCTCAAGAAACAAGTACAGATAAAGAAGAAATTGTAAATGAAAGCAATGTAGATAATAATGGCATTTTGTCTAAGACACTTGATCAATTCCCATCTACTCAGTTTTATTTTACACAAGTTGATATAAATCTTGAGAAAGAGGCTAAGGAAGAATCTATACAACAAAAATATGATATCACTGAATGTCTGTTGGAAGGATTAGAGCAACCTAATGGAAAATTAGATTTAAGTCAATTAGAAAATTTAACAGACAAGGAATTATTAGAAGTGGTCTGTGATTTAGAAAAGAAACTAAGTACATTAGGGACATACAATCTGTACTGTTCTCTGAATAATGTAACTTTGGAACAACAAATCAAATATGGAACAGTTTTTCATAGCCATTTGTTATTACCAAAGGTAATTTATTTTCACATAAAATATTCATGCAACAAATAGTATTAACATTTTTAAAATCCTGTTGCAGATAATTGCCTTAGAAGAGCCTTCAAGATTGCTAATATCTGTTATCAGTGAGTATGTTAAAAAGTATCCAAATGATGTTAAAGAGTTGATTTTTATTCCTCTGTTAAATGTTGACTTGAAAGATACAACAATTGTCAATGCTATCATAAATGCCTTTGAACCAGAAAGAAATATTACTCTCCTTATGTAAGTATTCATAATTGATTGATCACACTTTAACTAATCTATACTATCATGAACAATCTATACTATTTTTTGCAGGGAATATCTGTCACATGTGAAAGAACTTAAATTATGGCATCTTCCTATATTACATAATCTAATATCAACCAAAACAGACACCACCACAAATGACAAACTTATTCAATTATTATCAAAAAGAGCATTTGATTTTGCCCGAAACAAAGATTTTGGAAAGCTTATATTATCATTTATAAAAATGAACGTACATTTTTCAGAGCAACAAAAGCAATTGTTAAGGGAAATGGCCAATATCAACCAGACATTATTTAAAAAACCTATACAAAATATGTTAAATGCTACATAGGATATATATTGTAAGCAATATATAATATTAATGTAATGCAAACATTTCACATATTATTTATGTTTTATAAAATTATTTCTTTTTTTCAAATTGAACACTGTAATACCGATTCATCCTGTCTACGCATGTGTGCAACACATACATGTATATCTATATGTATACCAATGCATACGCTGTAGGTAAACATGACAGAGGAACTATCGGGTGTAACGATAGTGATATTTATTGCAGCTGGAGTATTAACAATATTATTATTGTTCATTTTTGCAAAACGACAAATTATGAGATTTGCATTGCGATCACGTCGCGGTCCTCATATTCCGATCGGACACGATGCGCGTAAGGTACGAATGTTCCTAAAGGTTAAGTTGCAACCGCTTATCTTTTATCTAATTTGAAAATTGACTAATCTTTTAAAATAATGTATTATCTATATATATTGGAGCGTTCAATGCATGTTAATTTTATATGTATATGTATGTATGTTCACATTTACATTGATACTTAGTCCCTCAAGAAGGAAATCGAAAGAAGAATAGAAGTAATCCCAAGAATTCAGTACGATCCGCCACTTATCAGCGATCCTCGATTTATCGTAACTCCCCGAGGGCAAGTTCCACCCCATTACTATAGATTGAAAGCTGTAGATGATGTTAAAATTTTAGGTAATTATAAACTTGTTACATTAAACTTGAAATTTCAAATGTAATTTGATTTTTAATGTATCCCTTTGCAGAAGCTGAAATTACTAAATATGATAGTTGTTTAAAAAGACATCCATCTGAAAATCTGAGAGCATATTTACTTGCTACATTAGCCACTCCACTGAATGGAACTGGACAACGATTGATCCATCAGTTCTGTGATTTGTATGAACATGCACGTCATGATCCAACAGAATTTGGAGATGAAGAGTACCAAGTATATACACGTTTGTTTCTCAAGTTAATGGACGCGTAAGTTTGAACTCTGAAACTACCATCTCTTTAAAATTAAAGGAACAAGTAAAAATTTGATCTTATCCGTTTGTTTAGAGCTCGTTTATTAAAATCCTATCCAAGTAGTAGGAAATCTAGTCCGAGTCGTACGCCTATAAAAAAGAACGTTGAAACGAAACGGAACGTGTTGGAACCGAGAATGAAATTACCGGAGGATCAAATATTAACTGGCTCGCGACCAAACACATTAACGGTCATGGCTCTAGATAATAGCGAAACATCTGTTTAGCATTATGAAAATCGTCACATACATCACATGTGACGAAATGTTCATTCATTATTGCTAAACGTCGGGTTACGTGAAACTGCAAGTAAGTGAAATTATATTATACATTAGTATATGTAGCATGTATTACACATGAAACAATTATGATTTCTTATATTATAATTTCAGTTATTACGAGCAGACAATTTATTATAAAAATTGTTTGCTTCTAAAATGTACAACTTACAATCAGACGTTGATGTCAGTCTTAATAGATAAATATTTAGTCCATACCTCTTTATAATACGCGTTGTGTTTTAAACATATTAACGATCGATGAAACGTGAACTTACATGTACTAGAAATAGGGCTAGTTCTCATATGATTCAACCATTCCATAATCTAAGAGGCACGATAAAAAAATTTGTTAACTGTTGTATGATTCTTTTTGAACAAAAGGTCGTTCAACTAATTACAGTATTTTATTAATAAAAGTAAGCGTAAATACCTGTGGAATTGCATGCCTCCAATCCTGTCTGTTTAAAAGAACCATCAGAGCTTCAGGAAATAATTGTACTCGATCATCTCGCGATGAAATCAATAAATCTTGTTTCATTAACATATCATTTATACCGGACAAGCTAACGATGGAAACAAATAAAACATCGCAATAAAATTGTACTTTATCACAATGATTTTGAGACTCCATCAAAAGTCCTTGCATCTGAGTTGTGAAGTCTATCACCCAGTTTATACTGGACTTATCAAATCGCATTTGAGCCTGCACTTTTTGCATAATCTCGAGAAAATAAGTTTGTACGCTTTAATAAAAGATGTAAAAAATAAATTTTCATTTGTATTATTTGAAAGACAAATTATAATTGATAATTTTACCTAGTCAACGATGCAACGTCGTCGATGATCTCGTTTAACCAAGTTAAAGGAGAGTCGGAAACTTTCTTCAAAGCTAATTGAGCCCTGATTGCAATGGCATTTCTTAATTTACAAGGTGTTACTTCCCACCACACTTTAGGGGACGTCATTCGTTCCAGATGCGTTATCGACAATTCTAAAGCTGCTGTAAAATAAGACTCAAAACGATTGCAGGTCAAATCTATTTTGTCTAAAAGTTTTTCCAGTACAGTAGACAGTAATGTAGAATTGGCATCGTACGTTTCCTGATTTCTCAATGCCTGCGCGTATGAAGACATGATGCATTGAAACGACTCTGTCGATTCTTTGTTCTCAATATTCATCTTTTCAATTACATACTCCAATGTGACTTCCAAGAATGGTTTAAGGAAATTTGGTTGTACAGCTTGGCACAAATCATGGAGGTGCGTATACAGTATAGCGTACTCGTTGCTTTTACAAGCTAAGTTCGCGTCATCCACAGACTTGTAAATTAACAGATAATTTTCTATAAAGGATTTGGCAGACAGAGATGTCGTTGCGTGACGACACGCGATTGAGAGAACGTATTTCTTGGCTTCGAGCGATATATCAATGATATCGTTGAGAAAACTCCAATTTATATTGGGCAATGGTTTTGGATATTTGTTAGCAAATATTCGCAAACATTCAATAATTATACGATGATTACTGGAATCGGATTTGTCACACCGTCTCAAATATTCACCGACGCCTCTTATTACACTTTTCTCTGGTAAATATTTGAAGTTATTTGGATCACCTTTAGGCCAGACGTAGATTCCAGATCGAAAACCATTCACTTCTTCGGTTATTAAAGAAACTAAAAGATTTCCAGCTGATGTCAAAGCCATTTTATTTACCCTTTGAAGCATCTGAATCCAACAAGTGGCAGGTATGTACGGAAGTACGTCTTCCGGCTTCCTGGCTGCATCAATTGGTGTTTTCGCGTATGCAGCTGGTAATACAAGATCTTTCCTAAATTCTGCTGGCAATGCTTTTAAGGGAATCTGTTCCAGCCGATAGGAAGCTAGCGCTTTAAATGCAGCCTCGATGACTTTGATGTCGTTATGCAATGTGTATTGCCACAGTTTTGATACAACGTTGTTGATCAATGCATCGTATTCTTCAGCGTGTTGAGACGATGGATACGATGTGATGTCGCCAAACATTTCGCACAAGCTTTCTAAAACAATAGGACGTTTCTCTTTCTCCATTTTAGGAGCCAGCACTTTCAAAGTCGAACAGATATCTGTTATCGACGCTTTGCAAAGAGCGGATATACATTTGAGCGCGAGTGCACTCGCAGTTCCTCCGTTCATGTTCGTAGAACGGTTCAATATTTGCGATATCAACGGTACCAGTTTCTCACCGTGTTCGGGATAATTTTCACATACATACTTCATAGCTCTTGTGCAAGTTGCATCCGAGCACCAGGACAGATCGCTTTTTATCATTCGAATTATCGCGGTAGACACAAATCTGTGACATCTTGGTTCTTTCTTAAGTGTCCTTAGGTACAATTCGATAGTAAAATATTTCAATTGTTTGCCACCGTTTAACAGCGTATCCAATGTGTGAGTAATGATTGGAATGTTTCCTTTGGTAATAACGAGTTCTGGCATCGCGAGTAATAAACATTTGGATTCTAAACTGCTTCTAGACTTTGTTAATTTATGCAGTACCAATGACAACACGTGCGATCCAAAGTCTTTGTTGTCTTTTGCGACATCAATGAGTACGTTACAACAGAACTCGGTCACCTGCGGCTCGTGTGTTTGCAACAGAAGACCAGATATCAATAATTTACATTTATCTTTCAAGTCGAACGGTACATTTAACATACCCTTCAACCACGATATAACATCGTTTACTTTCCAGACAGTTAAACAACGTATGATTTCGGTATAAAATTGAATATGCGAGTCGGAGTAAGTAAATACTGTAAATATTCTACTTGAAAATATCGTGCCGTTGTTTTCCGTAGGTTTTGCTTTAGCGAACATTGTTTGTATTAAATCTCTTGCCACGTCCAAAGCGTCCGAACATAGCACGGATGGATATGCCATCCATTTTAAAATAGATGCTAGCAAAACGTTTAAGAAAATATCACTACAGCACAGTTTACTCGTTATAAGTACACCTGTAACATAACGAACAACATATAAAATGGATAGAAATGCGAAATGCTTGCTAGATTAAAAATACCTACACATTTGCATAGCATTGTACAAGTAGATAGCTGGGCACGAAACAATTATTTCCGCCATCAATACTAACGCAAGATCTCCTATACGTCTGTCACAGTAATTTATGATACTAGACATAGCATCGAAATTTGGTTTCGGGTCGGATCCTTGTTTTAGCAGTTGTATGATCATAGATGCCATCATTGGTAACAAAGCTGTACAATATTCTTTATTCTTCTCTAATAAAGCTTTCTCTGAAAGTTCTAAGAATCTGTAGTTTGCATTTATACAGGAGTAAGTTTCAGCTGTGCACAGCCACAGTAAAGTTTCAGTCTGCAAATGTATACTATGTTTTGATTTGATTAATAGTTGCCATGCTTGTTGCATACAGCAGTCCACAGAATCCACAGAGGGATTACATAAAATATACAAGAATACGGGACGTAACATTTCTATACAGCTTTCTTTAACTCTGAAACATTTAAATTCAATCTATGTATCCATATCTTTGTAGAAATATATATATATATGTATACCGACATACATACCGAGGATCCGGATGATTCATAATGAACATCATTTGATTTAATACAGTTTGCCAGCTCCGTTTATCCCGAGTTAAAATCATTATAAACGGATGCTGTGGTACATGCAAAGTAAATGGGTACATGATTTTATTTTCTTTATCATACTTGAGATCCAGTATTAATAAGCGACTTAGGGCCGTGGCAGCAACCGTATAATTTCTGAAATGCATGATACATGTATGTTATTACAAAAATAGAATTAGAGTCAGTTAAATTTATATACACACCGTATAGAGGAAAGACTCGACGTGAAGGTAGATAGTGCTTCGCTAATATCCCATAATCCATTTTCTACTAGCGCGATTAAGCCTTGACAAGCGGATATACTAAGTACAGTATCTCCGCTATCTCGCTTGGTTAACAGTAATTTAAATTCAGCTGTCTATTAAAATTGGCACGATTAACAGAACGTTGATGATCGTATGGTAATCGAAGAAGCGAAATTTACATTACCTTTGAAACATGATCCGTCTGTTGATCGTTCTTTTTTTTCTTAATGGAATCGAAAAGCTTCGATATTGCCTGTAAGAAAATGTGTAAAAAACAACAATAATTTACATTTTTAACAACAATAATGTAGATTTTTACAAAATGCTGAGCAACTCACGTGCGATATCAAAACAGGATTCCCTGAGTCTAACTTGTAATCTACCTCGTCCATTTTACAGGGGGAAACGGTTGTTCTTATTCGAGACTCTTTTTCAAACGAGGTGCACGAGTAAATTCATGTTTCATTACGTACAGAATCTCCACTACTACTTGAATCCAAGGGAGTCTCTAATGTCAGAAGAATACAGGTATTTAGGTTATAAAGCATAACCTATAAACCGTAGTATTCCTATAAAATATAACCTCAGTCGATGTGACACTATATTTTACGAATCTATTATACATCTATTGACGCTAGAAGACTTAAAAATAATTAGAATGCGTTTATAAAATGAACAAATCGTATTAGAAAAATAAAAACATGTATACCGCAGTTCACCAGAGTCCATAACTGCGACGCACAGGTTGGAAGATGGTGGGGGAACGCAGCGAGCTCTCTGCTAATCGCTTTCCACTTCGTTTGGAAGTATCGCCAATCAGGGCGAAGATGCGTACTGGAGAAGCGCAAAGAACGAAAACTGGTCTTTTCGCAGTTATGGACTCTGGTGAACTGCGGTATATACGATATATGATTGTGCACCTAGCGCACCTCTTTCGTGTTTACACGTGTCGATTATCGATCCTAACAGAGGTTCTCAATCGATAATGTTGTAAAATACAATTTTCAAATTTGTTTCGAGTATCAAATAAAATTATCATATGTACAATTACAATATAAATGTAGTAGTAGTATGTAGGATATTGTTAGACAGTTTAATACAAAAATGAAAAAAATAAGTAACGAGATTTTTAAAAAATTCCATGTAACAAGTTAAAAAACGCGAATCTCATCAGAGGATTACAATAACGATCGGGTATACCGTATAATCAGATTTTCTCAGTATATTTATTCGTATGGACAAGTTGGAGCATAGTGCACAATATATTTAATATATAGTAGTCTGAGGAAGGGATCGGAGTACATTCTGGAGTTTGAACACAATATCTTACAATTTAACGACAAGATGCCTGCATTTTTGTATTTGCTTCTGTACGTAATGTTACTCGTATATCCATATATTCGAAGTGTATAATATATAAAGCGCAACGACTCACTATTTTTATCATTCTAAAAAAAAAAAAAAAAGGAGACGAGAATACGGGTCCTTGTTTATTACGTTACGTTACGTTATAGTTCAGTCCGTTTGATGATGTTGTTTAATTTACTCGTTCGAGGATTCTTTTCAATGGATTATGCAACATCGTGGCAAATACGCAGTACTCGCTAGAATATAATCGTTAGTAGGAGGTTGTCTCCGATTGCTACTAATTAGATTCGTTTGTTTCTTTTCTCGTTTACGCTAATAGGGAGTCGAAGAACCTCGTAAGAAGTATAACAACGATTGGACGAGTGAAGAGAAGCCGGTGAAACGAAAAACAGGGATCAAAGCTTGGATGAAATAATGACCGTTCCTGATACGTCCTTTAAAATAAACGATTGCCCGCCAAAACAAAAAGAGATCTTCCCGCGAGAATCTGCAAATAATCGACGATTGGAGACAGCTCCTTTCCTCGCTCGATTAAAGTTTAACGATCTATATTAAATTTCTGTTTAAAAGTAAATACACTTTACAGCCTATACACAATTCGTACAAGTTCGTTTTCCATGTTTCTTTTTCCCTTAGTTCTCTTCGTTCATCGTTCTATTCGCGTTACGTTTCGTGGGGGAGTGCAGGGCAGGTCCAGGTACTTAGGCTATCTGTATATTTTCATAAAAATTCGTCAAGATTTTTCCACTTTTCTCTCCTATCATCTTTCTCTCTCCCTCATCTTTTTCTCGTTTTTTTTTTTTTCTGACCACTTTTCTTGTTTGTTTTTATAAAAATCACAGCACAGCACCAGCATTTATTATAAAGCCCGCCCGAATCTCCTTATTTCCGAGTGCGCCTCATTAAAACTGAGACGACGGTTGTCTGCCGTTTCACCGCCAATTTCGGCTAAACGAATATCGCCATTTTATTATGTTCGAATTAAAAAACACGCCTTGCTCTCTTTTACTTTATTTGGCATTTTGCAACACTATGCACGGCACGATAAAACTATTTTCCCGATTCTTGGCAACGCGTTTTACCAATCGTTCGTACAACGCTTTCATCTCTCTTAGCGACGACGCGATGATAAAATAATGGAACCGATAATTATTAATGAATAATCGTAATAAAAGATACAATGATAATAATCGTTACTGAACTAACGTTAGGTAATCGCCAGGATACTATGCGTGTATGTATCACCGTGGCGCATATGTATGTATATCCTAGTAGCTTTTCCCTCTTTTTTTTTTTTTTCGTTAATTAGTCTTATCTGTTTCATTTGCTTCTCTCTTTTTCATGCACACATTATATCCCGCTCGATCCACGCGTACAAGCACACACATACGTACAAGCGCACAAAAATTACACTTTCGCTCACACTTTACTAAAATTCGCACCACATTAACTACTGTTATTTTAGTAAACAAATAGCATTCTAGCGTATTCAATGTACAATCATCACTTACCGCCGCGTTATCGTTATTTAGAATCCTTATTTCATTTTATCGTTCGTACACGACCTTACGCGACATGTATCATCGTGTTTCTCTTCTTTTTTCCATTTTTTTTCTTTTTTACTTTTTGATATCGTCACCGACATTATATACTTCTTAATCGATAATAATCGGTAATCAAATCGTCTAAGAATCGTGTCGTTCGCGAATTAATAGAATTTTTTTTTTTTTTTTTCTAGAAAAATGTGTCTGCGGATTAGCAATCTTTTTTTTTATACAATAAAATACAACGATCTATTATTTTACCGTTATACACAACGTTCTCGATCGAACGTATTCCCATACGTCGTATAAATACGTATCGAGTGGCGCGAAATACGCGATACGCACGCTTACAGGCGCGCGTGAATTTTCCTTTTTGTTTTCTTTTTTAAACATTCGCACACGCTCTTCTACGTTCTCTTCTAAGTGCAATAATAAAAATGTTGCCTCGATTCGATACTAGACGAGTGCGCGAAGTCATCGGCTTGAGGCACGCTCTCTCGCATCGAAGAAAAATCGAATTGGTTCGCGGTTACGTCGAAGCTTCGTATATTTTCCTACTATAAGGTTCGCGGTACGAGGAATTTTACTACGATCGTCTCTCCTCCTCTCCCTCAACCACCATTCAGTGAGGATCAGTCAGTCTAACGTAACGAGATCTCGGGTATGCAGCTCGTCCGTTTGTGGAATTCGTTCGAACAGTCGGTTCGTTACGTCTTGCACGGAATCGTTTTCCGTTTGTCTGCGAATCGGCGGATGTACAAATTTCTTCCTTATCCCACAGGCAGCATCGGTCCGAATTTCAACGAACCGACGCGAAACCATCATCCTTGGAATAGCCGCAACGTTCTTACGCATCTACCACCTCTATTCGAATGCTACTTTTTACTTTGATATCGATAAACGTTCTCGGGGCCGCATTCGCGATTCGCTTTATCTCTATGTTCACCGTCACCGTCACCATCACTGTTACTATCATCGTCGGAAAGTTGATTCTTTTATTAGAAAAGAAAGAACACAGCAATCTCGGTAGGCAAGCAGTCTTTTCGACTCGGTTCGTTTCGGGTCGATGCGAAACAGCGCTGTTCTCTCGGAACACGAGGCACATACGAAACGACAGGATCGACGGTGATCCGAGAGGTACGACGAAGATGGGTGAGAAATCGCGAGGATGACGATGCCGGTGTCGACAAAAGATCCGGTAAGAGGCCGGTATACGAGGACGATAGGCTGTTTGGCAGACTGGCGAACCGGTGTGGTGTACAAGCTGATGGAGAGCGGCGAGCATGCGAGACCGATATCGAAGAAGAGGTAGCAGCGACGAATTTATCTGTACTCTCGGTCGAGGCGATCCTAAGGTTGCCTGCCAGCGGAGGCAGAGTGTGGATGTCCCGCGGCGGTCGTACCGCTGACTGGTGGTGGATGATGAGGCGTATGATGATTTTGTGCGGAGGTGGGTCCGGTTGTTCCGGCAGCTAGTACGGGACCGGGGGCCGCGGGTCACTTGGGCGGGAATGGCGAGATCACCGATGCGGCTACCGCGGCGGCCTGCTGACTCGCCAGCATTGCCGCTGCAACACACATGCACAAACAAATGCCGAGCCATTAATTAATTTTCTTCCATCGTTTCGTTCGACTATTCCCGAGCATCGAGCGTCGTTTACGCGCGTTCGCATTTACGAACGCGTTCAACGACACCCCTCGATACAGATCTAATACATTCGTTCGTCTCTTTATCCTTGTCACTCTAGGATCGCACACGCGCTTGTTTCTCTCTCCTGCGCCATGTTCGCGTTCATCGACGGGAAGAAAATGATGTCTTTTTAGCTCAAAACACGCTTCTCGGCGATTTCGTGCCACTCCACAGCCCAAGTATCGCGCAGCGACGACGACGACGACGAGTTAGCAATCGCGGAAGAACGATGCAACGCACCGGAAGCGACAGGAAAGAGAAAACAAGAGCCCGAGGAACGCGCTCGAGTACCGATGCTCCGTGCGAAGGTGGTCAGTCTCCGGACGTGGAAGAGGGGGGAAGGAAATGTACATACGGACACTGAACGATCAGCAATTATCACAGTCTCGGTGTGTATGTGTGTTTGTGTGCCCACGCATCTGTATACGTGTTGCGATAGAATTAAAAAAGAAGTTAGCCCGTGATTCATCGACAACTAATCAATTATCGTCAAACTATACAACTGACTAAAGTTATTCGTCCCGACTGAATTATATATACATGTATTTCGTCCTAACGCTTAGACACGTCAAATAGTGCAAGAAAAAAATTTCGATTATCTACGGATAGATTGTCGCTTTTTCAACGCAGAACATTCGCGTGCACTAATATCGTGAATCATTGGGATAGGGAAGCGAAGAAAGAGTAAAAAAATATAGCGATAGTTGGGGGAGGATTTGTGGGTAAGAAAAGAGAGAGAGAAAGAGAGAGAGAGAAAGTGGGTATCGTTTGAGCGTTCTCGTCGTTGCGCGTTACGCGACTCTTGACCCGTTCCTGCCGTCCCGGAAAACCGGTGCACCGCGCGTCGCGCGTTGTTTCGGGAAGAACGGGGTGCGCGAACCGCAAAGGGAAATGAGCGAGGAGGAGAGCGGAGGCGTAGGATATAATCGAGGGAAATGTAAAAGGCCGAGTTTCGAGAGTATTTCGAAGGGACGCAAACGACTCGGCTAAATGCTTACTGTCAGGGTCTGACGAGAGGCTTACCTCCGTAAGGGGCGGGGTATTGTCCGGTCAAAAGAGGGTAACCTAGGCCCACGTGCGTGTGATGGTGGGTGTGCACGTGTCGTTGGGGCGGGGGTGATCTATTGTCTTTCGCCAAGGTACCGGTCCCAGCGTCGACGGGCGCTTGTTGTTGCTGCGATTGCTGCCCCCCCGGTTGATTCTGTTGCTTCGCTGTCGGTTGTTGGTTCTGAGGCTGCGGTGGACCCGGTCCCGCGACCGAACTAGGCGGCCCGCTCGGCGGTCGTGACGGCGTCGGCCCCGCCGACGAGGGACTCGCCGAAGCCGCGGACGTTTTCGGGGTCGGGGATTTGAGCGCACGCTCTTGAAGTTCGTGTATCTTGTGCGCCGAATAATACTGTTGCGCGTGCTGCTGAAGCAAGTCGAGTGCTTTGCCGCCCGGTGGCCTGCTCAGATCCTCCGGCGCGTGATACCTCGGTAACTGATGCAGGTACGGATTACCGGAGTACGGTCCCGGGACCAACATCGGGCTGAGTCCTCGATAAACCGGATGACCTGGGTCGAACGGCAACGCGCCGTAATGTTGCGGTTGCATGTAACCCGGATGTATGTAAGCGTATTGCGAAGTAGGAGGCGGAGGAGGTCCTTGCGTCTCCATCGTTGGCTTAACCCCTTCCTGTTTGTTCTTCGAGTCCTCGTTTTTCCCTAAATCTTGCGGCTTTTCCTGTTTCGGTTGATGCTTCGGACTCGGCGGCGGTGCCTTCGCTTGTTGACTCTGTTTGCTCGATTCTTCCTTCCGCCTTTGATCGCTCGGGTACAGGTAATACCTTCGGTCGTCCTGCATCGGGCCGGGTGGTGGGGGCGGTGGTGCGCTCCTTTGACTCTGTCCCCCGTGGTGATACATGTGGTACGGGCTCATCTGACTCTTCATCTCGATGCTCTCTTTCAGTATCTGATGATTTTCGTGCTGCTTGTCCTTCAAACTAGGCTGCTGCGATTGCGGCTCCTGTTTGATCTTTGCTTTCTGTTCGTGCATCTCTTGCTCCTGTATCTGCTGTTGCTGCTGCTGTTGTTGTTGTTGCTGCTGCTGCTGCTGTTGCGATACGGACTGCGCTGTCTGATAGGGATATCCGGGTGGCATGTAACCACCGTAACCACCGTAATAGTGCGACTGCTGTTGCGGTTGTGGCACCGACTGACTCAGCTCCTTCTTCTCCTTTTCCGAAACGACACCCTGTAGACTGGCCATGCTCGACATTTGCGGTATGTTGAGCGGTTTCATTTCCTGCTTCGGCGTTAAATCGCTCGGCTTCTGATCGATCGGCTTGCTGTCCGGAACGCTCGGCACCAGGTAAGGCGGTTGCCCGTAGTACGGGTACATGCTGAAGTGAGCTGGCAGATGCGCGGTCGTGCTTGTTTTCCCGTCCTTCTCCTGACCCTGCTTCGATTTGTCGGCCGGTTCCGCTTCGAGAACGGGCGCCGCGTCGTCGGAAATGTCCGAGTACGCCGGACTCTGGACGTCTTCCCTGGCGGCGTCGACGATCGGTGCTTCCAACGGCGAAGGATGCGGACTGCCACCGGGCGATTTCCTCGATTTCTTTTTGTATCCCTGAGGCTTCGATGACCTCGGATCTTTGCTCTTGTCCTGTTCGGGCATGAGAGCCGCGGTCGGCTTGACCTTAAACTGCGGCATTTTAGCGTGCAACGACACGCTTTGATACTGCTGCAAATGCGACTGTACACCCTGACCCGGATGGCCCGGTTGCGTGGCAGCCTGTTGTTGCTGCGATACCTGGTTGGCCAGACCCTGAAGTCCCGGATGCTGACCCGCGATACCCTGCAAACCGGTCGGTTGCGATTGTTGCTGCAATCCAGCCTGTTGCACCACGTGAGCTTGCGTCGGTTGGCCAAGTGGCGCGGACAACGAATGTTGCACTGACAGCTGATGCGCGGGAGGTAATTGTTGTTGCTGCTGCTGCTGCTGCTGCTGTTGTTGTTGTACGGACGATTGCAACTGTTGACTCGCTTGAAGTTGTTGCTGTTGCGGCGTAGGTGGTTGACCGGCCTGCAACGGTTGCGGACTGGGCTGCAGAAGGGGATTTTGTTGCGGATGCTGAGACATTTGGGACGGTTGCGGCGGTTGGGGGATATTCAAAGGGGCAGGAATATTGACGCTCGGATGGGGCGAGGGTACGGACCTGGGAGATTGACTGGGTCGAGGGCTCGGACTTTGTGGCGAATTCGAACCGGTCAACGACGATTGATTCGACGATTGCTGCTGTTGCTGTTGTTGCTGTAGCGACGGTTGCCTCGCCGACGTCGGTATCGAGGGAGGGGGCGCGGGCAAATCGTCTTGTCCGAATCTGAGTACACCTGGCTTCACGATGCTCTTGTCCGAGGTTAACACAGGCGCGGGCGATTCTATGCTCGGCGATGCGACTCGAGGCGGGGGAGGCGGCGTTTCTGGGGGCATGTTGCCGGTCGGAGGACTAGCCGGCCTGAGTGGAGTTCCCTCGGGTTTGTCGGCCGGCGATTTCACCGGTGTCGCCGGACTCGGAGCCTCGATGTTGCTCTCGTCGTTCTCGGACATACTGGTGATTCCTTCTTTCGTATCGTCGTCGTCCGCCGAGCCGTGCGCGTGACTCTGGTGGTACTTTAGACCGTTGATGTGTTTGTACTTTTTGCTGCAGTTCGGCTCCGGGCATTCGAGCAGCACCGGACTCGCCGGCGGTGAACCACTCGGAGGCGTCGGTGGCGGTGCTCGCCTTTTGTTCTTATCCTCTTCTTCGGGACCGCGAGATTTCCGCTTCGCAGCTGGATCCGGTCGCGGGGGTACGAACGCCGCTGGACTAGGACTTGCCGCCGGTGAACCTTGCGCACCGCGACGTCCTTTCGCGCCACCGTTTCGTAATTTGCTATGCACCGAACTCCTAGTTTCCGTAAAGTTGCTCAGGTCGTTGCCGGGTGTCGCGTTCGCCGCGGCACGACCGCGTTTGCCGCGCCCCTTTGGCGTCCGGGCGTCTAGATCGCTCGTTGGCGAGTCGCAGAACCTTGGCGGTGCCCAGTCGTGGCGAGTGCAATCCAGCAACGTACCCACGTATGTCTTCCCTCGCCACGTCACATTCACCACCAGCACACCTACGGTCGAAACAATTTATTCCAACATAATCCTTAGGTAAGTTTCCTATACCCTTCCGTGATCAGAAGCAGGCAAACAAGGATGACTTCGGGACGACTCGGAACTGGGGGGAAAGCAGAGGAGGGAACACTCACCTCCTTCGGTTTCGTGCCAAACGATGCCTTCGAGAGTCACCGATGTTCCAGGCTCGCAGGGTCCCAAACATTCCGGTTCGGTAATGGTCCCCACGCTAGTGCCGACGCATACGTCGGACATGTCCTGTAACGACAAACGCGATTTTAACGTTCGTCATCTTGGTTCACAGGATCACGCATGCTTTCAAACATTTTTCTCTTTCTTTTACTCCGCGAAGGGGAAAGAAAAGAAAAAAAAAAAAAAAAAGACAGGATAATCTTATCGGTTAACAACGACGATTCGAAACGCATGTCCTAGACCGAACAGCCACGTACGTTCCATACGACGTACGATACAATACTTTCTGAAGGAAGAAGGAAGAGCCGAGATACCAAGTACGAAAGGAGAGCGTTTTAGAAAACCATTTACCATGACGTGTTCACGAGATACTTGTTTGCAATGAATTCCAACATTTTGGATATTTGTAGAGAGGGTCGTCACAAGATACGCGAGATCGAACGAATTCGTGTAAAAGCAAATCGGTCGTTTTCCTGTAGGCGAGTCTGCACGTGCAATCGGTAGGCCGGACGTAAATGCAGCACGTGTGCGCGCGTATATTCCGTTAATAGGTGTGCTAGCTAGCCAGCTAGCTCGAGTAGAGCGTTGTCACGCGACGTACTTCGCACCGCATAATTTCCATCGCGATAAGGATGATTTATGCGAGCTACAACTTTTACGCTCGCTCGATAAGCGTCTCGGGTCGACTTGCTTTCGATTCAACGAACGGCATCGGAATGGATCGGTTGTTCGTTGGCGGTCGAGCGACTAGCGAAAACGATGGAGGGACCGGCATGGATTAGCCAATAGGAAGCAAAAGCCCGTTTTCCATTGCCTATCCAACGAGTAGGGATAACAGGTGCTGGCGCCACGCACTCTGCGTGTTTTTCATTGCGTTAGAACGCGGTCAATCGCCGAAAGGGAGACCGTCCGTTTTCGGTGTAGGGTCGGCCAAGATCGCGACGACAAACACGCGTCAAATGGGCGTACACGACGATTACGTGGATTTTTGGAGTTAAAATCCGTGCTGGTCGCGTGACAGACCACCTTTCCGTCTGATCGTAATCTCTTATTCCCGACCCGAGAGGTATTTATACCCTGCTGCTTAGTTCTTACCGTCGACTGTCGACTCTTTGTTCTCAATTTCAGTCTTTACCTTGTTACCGTCGCCCGACCGTCCAACGATTAACCGAAAAAAGAGAAAAAAAGTACTGATAAAGGGCGGAGTGAACTTTCAAAACAACCCTACACCTATGAGGATTACGCGATAATCCGTACAAATTAAACGGCACGATCTTATCGAAAGACCTCTCGTCGAGCGTCGGAGTTGTTAGTGAAACCGATGAAAAAACGAGCCGGTGTCGTTCCTACGCGCGGGTCGTAAGGCACAAAGATAGGGATGGAGAGGAAAAAGCGGGAGAAAAAAAGCTAAGCAGAGAGATGGATGAACGCGTTTGACGATAGAACGATAGGACGAGTACAACTCGATCGGCCCCATTACGCGTTGTCTCGTCGACACTCGTGCCTGTGTCGCTATGTATTCGGCCGTGTGCTCTCTCGGAGGCGGAGACCGCAGAGTATTGATTTCACCCCCTTCGCGTATACCCGAACCGCTTCCGTTCCCCAAGCCAACGCAGCCCAGAGTCCCCAAGCCGGGTCTCCGTCTCGCAGCGGTAACCACCTCTTCACGTTCTCGCGACCTACCGAATTCTACGTGTTTGTAAAGGCTAAAAGTAGGTACAGGAGAAGGAGTAGTAGAGTGCAAAAGCGAGAGAGAGAGATAGAGAGAGATAGAGAGAGATAGAGAACAGGTTGCGCTTAGTTAATCGAATCGAATCGAATCGAATCGAATCGAATCGAATTGCAGCGCAGCGTAGGATCGCAAAGGAATGGTGCAAAGGGTTACCTTTGGTTCGGATACGGAAGTCTTCAGCTTCTTGGGAGGCGGGGGACTAGCCGCGGTATCCATAGCATCGTCGGGCGTCGTGGTGATCGGAGTTCCGGTACCGGGCACCGAGGCAAGCTTGGTTTGCTCAGGCTTGGCAGCAGGACCGGCGGCGGTCGCGCTTGCCGGGCTCGGGGGTGGACAGGGTGCCGTGGCAGAACTGGTGGGTGGACCAGGCCCCTGAGATATGGAAAAGCCGGTCCGCGAACTCGGCGGTGGTCCCTGACTTTGTTGTGGGGCGGTCGCGGCCGCCGGCGGTCCCTGAGATTGCGCGGCCGCCCCGGCCCCGTTTCCGATCCCTGGCCCTGGCCCAGGCCCCGGTCCCGGACCCGGACCGCTCGATGTCTGACTCTGTCCACCCGCGCCGCCACTCCCGCTGCCGCCACCAGCGCCACCACCGCCACCTCCTCCAGCAGCACCGCCTCCACCGCTTCCGCTACTCGGCCTCGCGCTTCCATTCATCTCCGACTTGCTCTGTTGCGCGATCGCGTGGTTGCTCTGCGGCTTCTCGTGTTTGTCCCGCGTCTTGTCCCGACGATGTCCGCTCGAGCCTCTCTTGGAACCGGCGGTCGAGGAAGTGGTGCCTCCGGTCCCGCTGCCGGAACCCGTCGAATGACTCGGTTTCGATTTGTTCGACGACGAGGACGACGAGGACGAGGAGGAAGACGACTGTCCACCGGCACCGCTGCCACCACCGACACCTCCGGCACCAGCGGAACCGCCGGTGGCCGTTCCGGGACCACCGACGCCACCGTTTCCACCGGCACCGATACCGCAACCACCGGTACCGCCGCCACCGCCTCCACCGCCGCCTCCACCACCGCCACTACCACCACCACCACCACCGCTTCCACCGACACCACCACCACCGGCACCGCTTCCACTCGCGTTACATTCCGAGTTCTGAGCGTTCTGACCAAGCGCCGATGCGGCCGACGAGCCGCCGGCCGTGGGCCCCGAGTTCGACGACGAACCGGTCAACGATACCGAACCGCCCCCGTTTCCGCTCTCTTGCGACGACATCGTACCGTTGATTTCGTTCGATTTCACGATCTCGTGTTTCGCCTCGCTGCTTTTCGTGCCCGGTTTCGTTCGTTTGATCTTCATTTTCAGGCCTTTGTCGACGGTGGCCGAGTGTTCAACGGCCATTTTGCCGGGATTACCAGTATTTACTGCGTGTGCGGCGTTCACACCACTCACCACCGCGTTGTTGCTTTGTTGCTTGTTGCCCGAACCCGTTACGACGATTGTCGAGGAACCGTTCGGGTTGCCGGACCCGTTGCTACCGCCGCTATTACTTACGACGTTTACGTTTCCGCTTGCGTGGCCGTGGCCGTGGCCGTGGCCGTGGCCGGGGCTGTTCGATCGGCCGGACGAGTTGAGGCCGCAGGAAGAGGACGCGGACGACACGGACGACGTCGACGAGGACGACGCCAACGACGAAGGCGACGACGAGGATAACAACGACGACGACGACGACGAAGACGACGAGGAGCAGGACAACGCGGACGAAGATACGCACGCCGACGACGACGAGGACAACGATGAGTTCGATGACTGTCCGCAACCGTTTGGACTAGCTGACGTCACAGAAGAAGACAAGTTCGAGGAGCCTAAGCCGTTTGCGGAATTTTGCAGCTGATGATGATGATGGTGATGGTGATGATGATTCGTGGTATTGGTTGCCGATGCTGCCGAGGCAGGCGTTGAAGCCATGCCTGTCCCTGAGCTCAATTTCTCGTCCCTCGTCTTCTCAATGTCCGCATCAAGATCGATTATCAAATCTCCTATTCCAATGTCCCATTCGTTATCGTCGTACTCAAAGTTGTTGGTCGCATTCGTCGCGGCCGGATCCAGCTCATCGGTGTTTGCAGCCACCGTGCTTGCTTTACACTCGCGCTGTTGTCCCGATGACGACGACGACGACGACGACGAGGACCTATCGCGACCTTGATGATGATGATGATGGTGATGATGGTGGTGATGATGATGATGGTGGTGGTGATGATGATGATGCCGATTATCACGATTATCACGGTGATCGCGATGATCACGACGATCACGATGATCACGATGATCACGATGATCCTTTCCCGTTAGTCCGCGTTCCTTGCTTCTCGACGCGTGACCGCTGCTGCTGCTGCTGCTGCTGCTGCTGCTGCTGCTACCACCACCTCCTCCTCCTCCTCCTCCTCCGCCTCCAACGTTACTACCAACTTGTCCGCCGCCGTTGTGTCTGCCGCCGCAGCTGCTGTTGCTGGTGCTGCTGTTGTTGTTGTTGTTGTTAGCACTGCTGCCGATATCGTTACCGTTATTGCCACAGACTTTCTCGTTATTACTACCGTTCTCGTAACCACCGTTGCGATGGCTAACGTAATTGTTGTTGGTGTGATGGTTATTATTGTTGTTGTTGTTGTTGTTGTTGTTGTTCTTATTGGTAGTACAACTTTCGCTATGCGTGCTGTTGCTTTTGCCAACGTGATTACCGTTACTACCACCGCCAATGTTACCACCGCTGTTGTAATTGTTGGTGTTGGTGTTGTTGTTGTTGTTGTTACTTCCGGTGGTGCCGTTAGCGTTGCTGTAGTTGATGTTGTTGCCAGCACCGCTAGCAGCGACGAACGGAGATGGTCCTTTGCGGTTTACGTTAGGGAGGCGACCGCCTAGTGGCGTGGTCGCCATGCCCTTTGAAACGTTTCCCCGGCGCCCGCCAGCCTGATCACCGACTGCCCGCCTGTTCTCGCCGATTTCAAGCAATTACACCACGCGTGACACGCGTCCGTTTTACCCCGACCACCGCCCGCAACACGCGCCACGTCCATCGGACACATCACTTTTATCGTCTCGCGGCTGCTCTCCACCGATATTTCCCGATATTACGAAAATTCCCCCTTTTCCTTTCCCCTTCGCTTCTCCTTTTCTCGCTCTTACGTATCTTCAAACTATTCTCTCGCTCATACAGCCTTTCGCGCCCCGTTCTCACCCTCTCTCCTTCTTATGTACCAAATAATCACCGTACCAAACCCCGTGAATTCCTTTTCCCTTCGCGTAAGGATCTCGCGTACCCTTTTCCTCGTTTCCTCGAAATCTCCAGAATCGGGCCCACCTTTTCTTCTCTCCGTTTCTCTGCTCCTTCTCCTCCCCCACCTTCGCCTCTTCCTCCTCCTTCTTCTTCTTTTCGCCACGCTGTGTTCCCTTATCGTCGTTCCCTCTTCCTCCTCCTCTTCTTCCTCCTCCGTCGTTTCCTTTTCCTTCTCCGTCCTCTGAACGACACTTTTCACCGTCGCAACACTATCACCAATTTACACTCGCGCCGATCTTTTACCTGACACTCGCGCCAACATCGTAATTAGTTGTCGCTCGTCGTCGTTGCGTCTCGCATCGTATCGCGATTTTATTTTATCGCGATGTGTTCTTTTATTTTATTTTATTTTATTTTATATTCTATCCTATTATTTCTTTTTCGTTTCACTTGCGTCGTATCCGCTCGTCGTTGTTGCCCGAGAACACTAACGACACCGATTCGCTCCACGGGTATATCCTTTCTTTAGGCGGTCTCGACAAATCTTCCTTTGGTCCTTTTACCAAGCGTTAACTCGTAACCGGATTTCCCCTTCCAACTTGGCGCTAAAACGGCGACGGTACTTCCCTTGCCTGGCATAATTTCGATCTGCAATGAAAAGAAAATACGATTCCTTCAAGCGTACTGTGCGATCCGCTTAATCTTTTATAAGTTTCGTCGCTTGCGACTCTATCCTACTCGATAAACCGGACAAAGGAAGGAGTAAGAAACGAAGGAAGAAGGAGACGAAGCAGGAGAAGGTAACAATCAAATCGCAAAATCTAATGTTCGGACGAAGGGCGGTAAAACAACCCCACACGTTTGTTTTCCCTTCCTTCTCCATTATGTCAGCAACCGATTCTATCGGTTCATCGCTCCTTGCTTCTTACAAATTGATATTCCCACTTAGAGAGGAATTCGTGTCAGGGAACGATTAATTTTACCAGTGGCATTTGGCGCCGATCCAATCGCGTCGGCGTTCGCGTCGATGTCGCTAGCTGGGACGGCCAACGGTGCGAGAAAGCCTAAATTATTCGCATATTCTCTATTTCCCTATCGCTACGTTCAGCTTTCTCTTTCTCTCTCTCTCCCTCTCTCTCTCTCTCTCTCTCTCTCTCTCTTCTCGATTTAAAAAAGCAATGAAAGTTAACACGGGGCAATTAGAGTTTCGTTGATCCTGCGAGATTTAATAGCGACGAAGCTATCCCAACGAAGCCAAACATATTCTAAATATATTTAACGCGACTTTTTCACTTTTTCGACGACTGTTTCGAAAAATAATTAACTCGTAATATCTTTTGGCCAGCGCGGCAACGACTTTCCTCGCGCTTTCGATTCCGTCGGAAACGTTGCCAGCAGCGGTGACTACGTTTTCGAAACCTTTGTCTCTCCGCGTGTGGCGTATTATTTTTCGATTGAATTCGAGCCAACTGTGAACGCGGGCTTTTTACAAACTCGTGCGAAGCGAGAAGCTGCGAGAGAAGCGAGTATTCCAGCTTGATGGCTCCGCTGGCGAACGAGGCGATTACCGTCACAATGGGTGATTTATCGCAAATGAAATTACTACCTCCCGTTAAACGAGTACAGAACGAACGTGATAGTTCTTTTATTCGCTACCGTGTGTATACTCGACACTGACGATGAATTCGGCTAGACCAGTGGTCACCAAACTTTTCGAGATACTTTTCTTGAAATCCTATTAAATCATTAATTTACATTGCACGTGTAAACAACATTGGGACAACGTCGGTTAGATTCCGATAACTTGGGCGCCTTTTTAGAAACATCATTTTATATCTTGCTTTAACGTTATACTTAGCAAAAATGTTTCTCTACCGTGTAGTTTGGTGACCGCTGGGCTTAGACCATTCGCTCCGCTTTTCGACGTTCGAATTGTTCTAGCCTTCCCTTATCCGGCTCTCCTTCCGAACCCTTTTGTAACACCCGTTCCCTCTTTCAGCTAAGCTGCATCCCCGAATTGCCAGCAGCCTTCCTCTTCTACCATTCGTGCCACCTTCATTCTCGTAGCCACGAACGGGTTTTCATTGAGTAACGAAAGGAGAGGGAGAGAGTTGGTTCCACGAGTAGGCAACCTCTGCCCACAGCTGGCGATTCGCTTCGTCGATCGTGTTCTACGTCTCGTGATGTAGTTAGCGTGTTTAACTCGGATTTATAGCGAGGACGGAAACGCCTACCACGTCCACGTTTCCCGCGGTTTCAATAATTTGTTTCGAAGAAAAATCTGCCCCTCGAAGAGTTAAAAGTAAATAGATAAGAACGATCGTCGTTCCAATATTTCCCAACTGCATCGACTTGAATCGTTCACCTATGTTTCTCACAGAGGCCATTGTTTCCTCACCCTTGCGTAGCCTTCCTCGCCAACACGCCTTCTCGCTACCGATACTCTCGCTATTCGCGACCAATTACCATTGCCTATGATTGTACGCTTGACCGATCGAACAATCGACTAGATACAATAGCTGTCTGTTGCCCTGTGAACCTAAGCGCGCTCGTGCCTATCCGCTTCGCCACGGTGTTGCGTACGTTTCGTCGTCGGGAGGATCGAGCGTACGTCTCCCTCGAATCAATTTGTTAACACGACCGTGGACGCGTTTAATTAAGCAAGGTAAATCGAAGCGGAACGCGAGACTGAAAAAGTTTGCCGAAGGTGTGCTGCGCGAAGAGATGCATGGAAATAGGAATCGGCGGAGATCGAGTGGGAAACGTGAAAGTTTGCGATCGCTGCGTGCATCGCGTGCGTCCGATGCTTGCAGCACGCGTTCCCTCTCTCTTCGTAAACAGCAACGTCTAAGCAACGAAACAATTCGCAAGCGTTTTACGAAACGTTATACCGGGGCAAAGGAAAGTTTCCTCGCCCTATCGAACTCTTCTACCACATTCGAATACGCGTTGTTCTCTGGTCAAACGAAGATTGATAATCGTCGCAACGATCTAGTACACGATAACGAGATAAACCTACCTAAACGGTGTCTCGTAATCGGTTAGAAAGGAACTTTGAGGTTACTACGTTTACGTAACAAAACCAGTTTCACGACAAGGCGTTAAACAGTATAGAAGAGCGCGCAATTTCTCGGTGACGAGATGGAAAACGTCGCGTAATTTAAATAAAGCACGTCCCGTTATCGTTGATCGTTCCCTGGAAAATCGATTGAAATTTTCCGCAACGACGTCGATCGCGATCGACAGACAAATCCTACCGATGTTTACTTATCACCGTTCCATCCTTCTTTCGCGAGGTTTCAACGCGAACATCGGCTCTCCTTTCATTAGCCTCGATGTTTTCCCACCGTTATACGATCCGCGGATAGGAGCTTCTTTATCGATATCGCGTCTCGTTAAATTGAAAACGACGGATTCGTCCGTGGATGAAGCATCCAGTGATCGGTGATCGATCGAGCGAAAGAGAGTTTTTAAACCTTTTTCGATCGTTAACGGAGAAAATGGAATAGTAAAGGGAAAAGAAGGATACCGCGGTAAAACTGTTCGAAGAATCCACCGTTCGATGAACAGAGCATCGATGAACTTTATTCCGAGCACGTATTCCCATTTACGTATCTATCGTGTCGGGCAAGTAATGCCGTGAGTGACGATTGTTGCGAGGAAAAGGGAAGAAAGAGAGTGGAGATGGGCGCAAAGGACGGAGAAACGTTTTCGCGTTTCAGTATAGAGCGCATGCGTTCTGTATCGCGTTTTAATATACCGAGGCAAACAATTCTGTGGGAAAACAGAGTGAATCGAAAGGGGGAGTGAAAAAAAAAGTCGATTTTCCTGGTCGAATAAAAATTTCGTAAACGACTTTGATGGCTGAACGAGCGGGTCGGAGAAAAAGGTAGCAAATGTTTTGCTACGCATTGGGAACACCGCTGATCGACGATAAAAAATTAATGCCAATCCTCGATAGCATTCTCTAGTAAATGGCTGAACACCGGCATCAATGTGGCTCGAACAGTTGGCGTTTATCGAAGCGAGGCGAGGCGAGGCGAATGTAAGGTGAGGCGAAACGAGCTGAAACGGCCCGAGACACGATGAGGTGAGCTGCGACAAGGAGAAGAATAAAGAAGAGTAAAGAAGAGAAGAAAAGAGTGGAATAGAGCGAGGAGGAGGAGAAACGAGGCATCACCGTTCTCTCCTACCCAGCTCGGCCGATACGACCGACCACTGGCGTAATCCTTCAGGGAACAACTAACCTTCTACCTACTCCCCTTTCTGTTTCTACCTCCTTTTTCTTTTCTCACCTTCGAAAAAAACATTCGACGAGAAATTAAAGCAAACCGTGCCACGATCGTTTCGTTTCTACTCGGTGTCTCGTAACCCCTGTAACACCTGGAAACGAGGCTTGCTGAACAACTCTTTCCTTTACCAAAATGTTCCTTGAGGCTTCGTTTCTGAATTATTAACAAGAAACGTAATAATTTTGAATTAATAATTCAAAAACGAAGCTTCAACCAACATTTTGGTAAAGAAACAAGTTGTTCAGAATCATCCCAGTAACCTCCCAATTCCGGGTGTTACAGGAATATATGACCCCGTATAATGGTATCTGTACATTCGAAACGGAGTTAAGATATTCAAACAACTGCAAGACGATAAAATGTATCCCGAATAAACATTTTTCTTTAAGAGGAAAAAAAACTTGATCTTTATCGTTTGCATAAAGATCCTAGCACTTCGGAAAGGAATAAACAAAGCTTTTACTGCTTGTCGACGATTCGATGCTTCTGGTAAATAGCATTGGCAGAACTCGATCCGTGTTACAAGTTCCTCGAGTTTTATAGGCTCACCGGCTCTACCTGCCTTCCCTTTTACCAGTCTCAACACCGACAGCCTCTTTCGCCTTGCTCTTCCTTCTGTATTCATTCTATCGTGCCCTCGTACACCTCTTTCCCTCCTTTCTTATACCTTTCTCCCCCTTACCCTCCCAAGCTTTTGTCCCCTATTTTCCTCATTTTGCGCCTCTGCTTCTCCATCACCTTTTTTCCTTTCTTCTATTCTCTTAAAACGCTGACTTTCCTCGTTCGAATCGAATCGAAATCCTCGAAACGCGTTGGCCTCGAACAATATCGTTAAAGATAGAAAGATTATGTCACGAATACCTCGTAAAAACGAAACCAATCCATAGGATACCTTCTAAACGCACCGTTTAACGTTAATCACTTTTAAATGATGCTTTTCAATTACACGCGACTAACATTGACGCAAAACGAACAGAAATCTCGATATCACGGCTCGTATTGCACGGACATGAAATTACGAGGCCTCCCTATCATTATCGTATCTCTCCATCTTTTATACGCGTTTTTCGATTTGCCGATTATCGATATCTCCGTTATTGACTACAATTAAAGTATTAATAATTTGACGACGATAACGACGAACGCGGAATAAAAAAAAAAAAAAAAAGAACAAAGAAAAATCGTTTCAATGTTTCACCGTGTCTTATCGATAATTTCTAAATAACAAGATAAATTTGCATCTATTCGAACAATAATCGTACAGAAATCGATATTACAATTAACACGCGCCTGCCTGTGTATACGCGTGTCGTATCGTATCGTATCGTATCGTATCGATCATATCTATGACTGAATGCTTTATTTAAAATCGACCATCCGATAATCGTCTTATTCTGTTTGATTATAACATGTCCAAACGTCCCTGGCTATTAATTACTTTACCGATGTAGATTTCTTCTCGTCGCGACACGATTGGACAAAAAAAATTAAAGCTAACTATAGTTTGCGTTGCACGTTTATGGTCATTGCCGTTGGGTGATGTTAATTTGTCGGTTCTGTGCTATTTACGCTTCCGGAGTGAAAAACAACCGCTCGTAACGGGACGAAATTAGACTGTTCGAGACGATCTAAGACGTTTTATCAAATTATTCTGTCTCGGTGGAGAAACGATGAATCGAGCGGAATAAAGGAACGTGTACCGGTTAATTTGATACGAGGTCGTAGACATTCGAAGAAAAATGAGCGCACGTATCCGATCGAGAGGTTCGCGTGCACGTCATCTATATACACGATACGGAACAATGTAGCTCGTCTGGTTACGCCACACAATTAGTACGTACGCGGTGATCGTGGAACGTTGCGAGAACCACAAGCGGTCGTGTGTTGCCACCGCTGGCTGGCTACACGATTCTACCGGAGTTTCACTGCCACGCTACGCGACACACTACCTCTCTTTCGCGACTAGCCTGTTATTGCCTCGGAACTTCGACTTTACTCCTGCCATTAAAAATCGTAAAAAAGACGTTCGCCGTTTACGATTGTTTATAATAGGAAAAAAGTATACGAGGCCGCGTAAGTCGTGGATTCTCGGGGGAGTAACGATATCCGTGGTATCACCGGAAAGATTATCAAATTCCTGTCGACGATAACGAGAAATTTCTCATCGTTTAACCGTGAACGTCGTGTGTCAATAAAATACGTATCGGGATTCGAATAAGATGGACACGAAAAACAGTATCGTTCCGATGATTTCGACGGTGAAACTGCGAAAAAAGAAAAAACAAGCTTCTGCCTACGCTATAACTCGACTCACACGAACGCCGATCCTCTGTTCGTATACGAGAAAGAGACAATCCGAGCGAAAAGACGGCGAGAAACACGATAAAAAAGAAGGTAAAGAAAAAGAAGAGAGGAGCAGAATGGAGAAGGTGGAGGGCGAAAGGGGTGATACTGCAACCTAAACGAAAAAAGATATTATATGGTTAAAGGGAAAAGGTAAAGGAACGCGTATGTACAAGCGAACGAGTGTAAGCGAGAAAAGATACAAGAGACCATTAGGGTAAAGGGAGAAGGGGGGCAAAGGGAGAAAGAGAGAGCGTGTACGTGTGTGCACGTAGTGTACGCGTATTCCCGTGTATACGTAGGAAGGAACAGGAGAGAGAGGCAAAGGAGAAGAAACAACATCTCCTGACTCGCTTCCTCGCACGCACGCACGGTCGATCGTTCCTGCTGGCAGCCATTTTGTGCTTGCCCGTAGACCCGACATTCCGCCCTGGGAAAGTATTGGCCGTGATTCGCTTCGACCGTACGTTTGTCCATGCGACTGCACTTTGCCTAACCGCGAAAAAACGCGTCAACGGGAAAAGAACCGGTCCAAGCGTATACTTCATTTTTCCCGGTAAAAAGACTCGGCTTAAAGTATCGTCGCGCTTAAACGGCCAAACATCCTATACTTCTGGACAATTAGTTCTACGCCAGATACCCTTCCATAGTTCATCCAGTACAGTCTCGATCAAAAGCCCCCCCCCCCTCCTGAGAACCCCGACTACCAAAGCCTGCCTTTAACGTCCAACCTCTTTTTCTTTTTTTTCTTTTTTTTTTTTTTCATTTTACTTTTTACAGCTTTAACGGATAATAACGCAGCAACGTCACGGGGAGACGATTTTATCGAACGAGGGGTTATCGTTGCAAACACAACGGTCGTTTGATGACCGTGCGTCTAAAGTCAGACGTTCAATCAATTCCAGATTATACCAACACGCGTATCGTTCGCGCTAATTAAGAGAAACCGCGTGTTTCTAATTGTTTTTCGATCGTTTACGAGCGAAACGTTTCGTTCTTTCTATGTATAATAGAATAAAATTCGTAACGGTTCCAACGGCGATCCAAAGAGTTGAGTGAAAAAGGAACAGATGGAAGGGAATACCGGCTCGCGGAGGAATCACGACCCAGAAAATATAGATAAGATTATTTTCGCACGCGTTTCATCGAATCGTACAATGTCTCGTAAGCGAACCAAATGCGGTGCGTGTGTTTACGAATACGAGGAAACGAAGGAGCCCGATATATCGTACATGTACGTAAATCGTAAACGGGAACGAGCGATGAGAACGTCTCGAAATGGACACGTAACTATGACGCGTCGTGTCGCATCGCGTTACAACGAGGTTGAAACGCCGGAAGAAAGTCAGGGGAACTAACTAGTGGCAATCGAGATAAATCGATCGAGCATCGATTTCCCATTCTCTTGTAAGAGAACGACCATTTAAACCGCTCGTTAACGACACTTGGAGGTCGGCAACGATGCCGCCCCACCGACGACGACCGCTAATTACTCTCCACGAGGATCGTTTGGGTTCACTCACCGCTCTCACTCTCTCTCCCTCTACCTCTTCCTCTCTCTCTCTCTATCTCGGTTATAAACCGACAATAGACGATCCTATCGCAACTATACGCGTAGCCTCCGCGCATACCGACGCGTACATACATACACGCCGCTCTATCTATCCTCCACGTGTGTCTGTGTTTTACCACTTCCGGACAAAACGTTCTCGTTTAATGTCGGTCAAGACGATGCGAATTAATTGAAATCTATCCTATCTTCTTCGTTTCATAGAACAAACCGCGAAACGTCGTTTCCATCGTTTGCATATCGATTGAACGGAACGCTGCGATTGAAAATCGCGCAGCACACCTTCTTCGATCTTTGTTACGCAAACACCTGTACCTTAACACCGAGACGAGGACGCCGACGGTACCGATGCTTTTACGATAGTACGATGCGCGCGCGAAACAGCAATTACGATCATCTCCGTCAGTCACGACCGATTCGTTTTGCTAATCCCACGGTTTCGCTACCGTCACCGAGATGTACGTTAATTTCGTTATTACGTAAAACGAAACGAGGTCATTGTTTATCTTCCAGTGAACGTTCTATATAGCCGCGATGGCAGTCAAGTTACGTGGCTAAATCAGCGAACGTAGAATAATCGGCAATCAGCTACCAAGTTATCGATGTTCCGTGAATCGTACACGCTCGAAAAACGGTTACATCTGTTTACGCGATATAGAAACCTTGTGATTTATTCCGGTTATTTTAAGCCGGATCAGCGTCGAGTGATAAATAGTTTGGCGTAGCAAGATCGTTCTACATTTTTCTGCTTATTTAATGCGAATCTAACCGGTGACTTTTTCGAAAGATCTATTAATCGATACAGAGGCAACTCTTATACCGAAGCACCGAATACGTACTTTTAGAAAGAAACGTACGGGACGGTGTCGATTTGTATCGCTCGAAACAACGTTAAGAGCTGAAAGAATAATCGCATCGTAAATAAAAGGTAGAAATAGTGGAGGGATCGTACCGCGAAGCAGGGGATACCGGTTCTAAAGACTAAAGACTAAAGACTAAAGAGGAGAAGAAGAGAATGCGTCGGGTTCGGGTTCGGGTTCGGGTTCGGGTTCGCGTTAGCTCGTTACCTTCCAACAACTCGGGAGTCGTAACGCGTAGAATTGTAAGGACGCACGCGGGCTCGGACACGAGCTAATGGCAAGTAGGTAACACGCGCGCACGTACACCGGGCCAGGTACGTTGCGCGAATCGACGGAAGTACCAGCTCCTTACCATCGTGCGTGCGTATCGACGAGTAGAAGGAGTACGCGGGTAAACGCTATCAAACGGGCACCGTTTTCTCTCCTTTCCACGATATATCCGTTCACCACTCGTACGGATTCATCGAGGGCAGTGTATTCCGCAAGGTAATCCACTTCCAAGAAAGATGATCAATTTTCCGGCGATGCCGAGTGTTTCGTGACGCGTTGTAAATTCACCTCGCGACCCCGTTCCCACGCACCTATACAAGACACGCACGGTACACATTCGCAACGACGAATCACTCGACCAGATCTCGATACGTTTAAAATACTGCACCGTGCACTAATACCATCCTGATAACTCGATTATCCACGTTACGCGCTCACCTTCCTCTTCCTTTTTCTATTTCTTTTTTTTTTTCTAATTAACCAGCCTTCTTTTCCTTCCCCTCAACTTCAACTTCAACTTCACTCTCGCTCGCTCTTTTCACCTCCTGCGTCTCCGCACTTTATCTTTCGACGCAGGTACACAGAAATAAGGAGAGGGGCCGAGGGGGACAGCACTTCTTTTTTCCGTTACACACTCGGTAAACACGAACAACACGCGACACAGGAACGAACATATACGTGGTAGTACTTTCTCGGAGTAGGACCCGTACGGTTTGCAGGAATCCTCTCGACGGGTGAACGAGAACCGTTTCGAGAGCTGGCCGACAAACTGCAGGAGAAACGAGAAAGGAATTCACGAAATCGGTGTCGCTCGATCGAGCAACGATTCTTACGTTAGTCGAGATACGTCCGGACGATCCTCTCCCCAACGAGGATACACAAAACACAACGAACAGAATGGTAATACCGATACAGAAACGAGCATGCCCGTGCGCACTGGTTCGTTTGTTCCGTTTGCTCGCGCGCTCAGCCTGCTACCACACGCAAGAGATACAGAGACAGAGGTATCGATAAAGATGGAAACAGATGAAAAAAAAAGATGAGAGACCGGAGAGAGGACGGGTGCTTTGATGTAAAAGAAAAAGAAGGAGAGAGAGAGAGAGAGAGAGAGAGAGAAAAAAAGTTTGCACGCAGCACCCTGCGCGTCTCTATCTGGCAGTTACCGAGGATACGATTATCGTGCGCACTCTCTCTTTCTTCGTTTTCACTGGATGCCTCCGTTTCGATCTCTACGCTGGTCGACGTCTACCGGTCTTCGATTGCTCCAAATCGCTGCTATTCGTTTCGATCGAGCACTATTACAAACGCACATTCACAGACACGCACACACATATCGAGTACAGGCTCGCGTACACATCGAGAAACGAAGCAGCTCCTTCTTCGTCGTCCCGTTCAGCGGACGCCGCGAGAAATACACTCACTTTCTTTCCCAAAGGTCGACTTTTCCCAGCACTCGGGCACACCCGAATCTTATCGATACGATCGTACGATTCCTCGGTCGCGCGTACTTTATCGGTGTACCACGAAAAATCGCGGTTTTCCAGTCTGCGACGAGTAAAGAAAAAACGCAGACACCGCACCTCCCTTGTCAGAAAGCACTCACGGCAGACCGCAACACATGGCTACGAGCCTCCACCAAGATCGGCCGTCCTCGACCGTATTCGGTTAGCTTCGGCCAGGACCGTACCTATCGTTCCAGTTACCACTTTACGTATTCCGAGGAGGACAAATCTTTCTCCGTTGTTCGTCGTAAATAAAACCTCGTAATTTGCGAAACACCTTATCCTGCTTTTATCCTTGGTTACGATTTCCCGAATAAACATCAATTTATTCGTATGAAAATGTATTCTCGTCTCGTATCCCCATTTACGGTTATTCGCTTTACTCCTTTTAAGCTGCAAAAGTTCTAAACGTTCGATTCATAGTTTCAGCTAAACGTTACGCGAATAGCTACAAGGTTATGCCGTTCGAATTTTATCGTTCAACCATTTTACGATATGTATCTTCGTTTTAATTGCCTCCGCATACGTTATCGTATATAAAACGTTCGTGTTTTTGAATTTAGAGATATGTACCGAGGCACGGAATAATGCATAAGAACGTTGAATAGTGTATCGTATCGAAACAATGTAATTATTTTCCGTACCAAGGAGGGGTTTAAATTGGTAAACGCATCGAGGAAACGATAAGAATTCCAAAGACGATCGAATTGAGGAAAATAGAATCGTCAGGATGGGGCTCCTGGTTGTTCGTTTCCGGTGCTGGCCAACCGTTAGAAGCAGACCGAGGGTTCTGCACAGGCGTCCTCCGTCGTCTTCTACCGAAGGCCGTGTGGTGTCACGGTGAGCGTGGCAAAACCCGGAAAGAAGAAAAGAAGCCGAAGGAGCTTGGAGAAGTACGAAGGAACACGAACGAGCCCGAAGGAGCTTGGGGACTCTCCTTCTTTTCCTCCTCCGCCACCTCCACCTCGTTTTCCTTGCTGAAAGCAGCCCTGGTTGCCGGCTCTCAATGTATCATGTATGCATGTACATGTATACATATAAACATCGAAATAAACTTCCTTCTCTTTTCTCTTTTTTATACGTCTATTATGTTCCACCCTTCATTCTATTTTTTTTTTATATTCTGCGTTCAACGTGCTTTTTGCACAATCTTGCGTATCAAGCTTCATCGACGAAAAGGTTGAGCATTTGTCATCGACAATTACCACTCGGGCTTCGAGTTCAAGAAATTAAACGAATTCAAGTTCGTTTGACGGTATGCTTAGCGCATGATAAACGTAATACGGTATATCGTATGCCACCAATGAAAAGATCAGTGTCGTACGTTTGACAATACGAAGCATTTTTCTTTTCCTTCGTCGTTCAATTGCTCTTTCTTTTTCTTTCCTATTATCTTTCCTCGTCGTAACTTCCCCACCCTGTTTCGATGCTACTTTGCTTTTTTCTGTCCCCCTCCACCTCCCCCGTCAGCCCCTCCATTCTCACTTGTTCTTACTCGCTCGCGTGCATACACGCTCGCTCATTCGGTCGGCTCTTCTCAAGTACCATCTCTCCTCGACGATTCTTAGTTCCCATAATGAACCGTACGACGTGGTTCGTGGTTAAGAGCAAACGGACGTAGCAGTTTTCCCCTCTCATTAACGATGGTTTTAGAGGAACTTGACCTTTTAAAGGCTCGAAACAAAACCGTCGTCAAAATTCGCTTTGTAACGTTATTTTTGACAGGAATCACTTTTACATCTCGATCGTCAAAAATAATCCGCCTCGTGCCACGTTCAACGGTTCGAAAACAAATAGGAAGAAGGAATCAAGCGACCATAGTATTTTCGATAAGCGAAACCATTATCGGTAACGATCGATAGGAGAAACATCTCCGAATGAAACGACTTCCGATTATCGGAGTGTGCTCGAATCGAGTCGGGTCGAATTTTTCTTCCGATCTCTTCACCTTTTTTCTTTTTTTTTTTAAAACCTTTTATCGTTCCCTGTCCTCCTTTGTTCCTACTCGTTGATCATCGTGTTTTTTTAAACGCCGACAATTGGGAACGAACGCAACGGTAATACCTTACGGTCAGCCGTGCGCATAAAGTATGTATATAAGCGGATGCGACGAAACTACTGTTTTGATCGTGAAAAGAAATCGCGCGATGTCTACGTGGCTCGACTTCACACGTTTCCTCTAATGAAAGATAATACTATTGTCGAATCTAAATATAACCGATCCCAGCGACAGTAAAAATTTTCTGGTTACGAGACAAAGACACTCGGGGATTACGCATAGCTCTCGAAATATTTGAAAATTTTTTGGAACGGACACGAAAACTCGCCAGCTTCGAATTTCTCCGTTCGATTTTTAACGAAACAAAGAAAACAGGGAAGTGAGAAGAGTAGCGTGGAAAATGGAAAGGAAGGAGTTAACGAGAGACAACAAGAATGTTCGTTTCAAGTTTGATATGTCCGAGGCACGAGCGAAAAGCAACGTTGTCAACGAATCGATATCCGGATGGGCGTGGCCTTGTCGATCCTCGCGGATGCTATAACGTGGAATCTCTCGATGCAGATGTTCTCGTTCGAAAAATTTTGTCTCTTCGAAAACTCGATTTGAACCGGCTTCGAGTCGGTTGGAACCGCTTCGCGATCGACTCTCGTTGCACGTTCCTCAGCGCGAAATTTATTTTACCCTTGCCCGGCCGGTTTCCTCGTTTTTTTTCTTTTTTTTTTTTTAACGCGTTCCCTCGGGACCAGTCCATTATCGATGAAACATTTAGATTTCCAAATCCAACAAAATCGCCTTTATTCTCGTTCGTCTCGACTAATTGCTCTCTTCGCGTCCGCATCGATGAAATAATTAATACGGTAAAGTATCCGATTTTCCGGTAAACGAACGAAGATAAAGCGAAAAGGATCAAGAGGTTTTCGAAGCGAATAAAAAGAAAAAAATACTGACAAAGGTATAAAAGGGTAAGGAGATTTGGGGGAAAAAAATCTGGTCACGCTTCGGCGTCAGTGGGACGTTCAAGGAGCGTCGGTGAAGCGTCGGAAGGACATCCGAAAGGGGCTAAAAGTCCACCGGAGAAGAAAAGTGGAATGGGACGAATGGTTGGATGATGGGAAAGAAGATGAGAGAAGGGGGATTTGTGAGGGTATGAGAGACAGTATTGCGAGGAGAAGAGTATTCGCAGCATGTGGTCTCGTCAACCCCCTTGCTCGCCTCTTTTCACTTGGTTCCCCCCTCTAGTGTCCTTCCTATCTTTCATCTACTACCTCCGCACACCGATTTCGTATTTTCATTCCCGTTGCTCGGCTTCAATTTCCCCCCGGGGCTCAAACTTGCTTCTTACCTCTTCATTGTAAACGCTAATTGCTTTATACAAATGTCCAAAATCTACTTAATGTCTTCCTTTAACGTTCCGCTCCCCCTACTCTCTCCCTTCCTATTCATTCTCCTCTTTCCTTTCTTTATTTCAATGAACGATTATTGTGACACGTTATTGTATCGGTTTACGATAGGAACGGTGAAATAGGAATTGAAAGGCAAAAGCGATCGACCGCGATAGAAATTCTGTACCGACCGAGCGAATAGGAATCGGTAAGAAATATTATGGAAAACGACGAACGAGTGTGAAAAAACCAAATACGACTCTGGCTTATAGTCGTAATAAAAAAAGAATAAAATTTTCCTAGAATTCACTCTACCCAATTTCAAACATATAAACGTGCATATTGACACGCGTCCGAAAGGGAACCAGACCTTATCGCTTTTTTGTCGCTTTTATCGCTCTCTTTACTAGTATACGTACCCGTGTAAAAACACGAGGCATCGATCAAAATTATTAATGCGACAGGTACCAAGATCGGTAGTTACGTTACTGAACCACTACCCTCTAGCGGTTTGGTAAGTTGCTAGGATACACCCCACGCTCGGATCCCCCACGATTCGGCTATCAATGCCCTTCTACTTATCTACCACTGTGTTGTTTTCAAGAACAGCAACCAGCAGAAAATAGAAGCAAACGGGAAGAGAAGAAAATTCTTTCAGTGTCCTCCGTGTGTTACGAGCGATTTCCAGTCGAAAAGAAAATATAGACTATGAATGGAGATCACCGATCCTACCTCGACGAAACAAGTTCTTGTCGTTTCAAAACAATGACATCAAAAATATTTTTTTAACAACTATCATCCGCATCGAAACGTGGCGCGTTGATAAAATAAATTATTCACCCACGTCAGAATATCGAGTCGCAGAATTCGGAGAATTTATTTCTGAATTTAAATATACGTACCAAGTAAAGTACAGAGCATGGTGTTTACAAGTTAGCCGTGCTATCTGTTTCACCCAAACCAAATAACTCGTCGCCGAGAGTGAGGTCGTAATTGCTTTTACGCGAATGCAATTATGGAACCTTAACGATGACGCGACGCGCTTAATTGCGTTTATGTTCGACTAGAATATCTATGCAGTCGAAGAAACGACCAACGTAATATTTAGATTTTCATATATTACTTATTTTTCTTACACGTCTACCTGCCTAACAAGCATTTTATATTCCGTACGCGTATACTTGAATTTTCTGGCAGCGTTTCGACGCTGAATACATAAATATATAATTGGTTTATAGGGAAGTCGAATTTATTTGCCACTAACTTCTAGTGTCGTCAGAAGGAAAAGACAGAAACACAAAAATAATAAACGATCCTTACCGTTTCCTTCCAAACAACGGAAGTTCTTTTAGATTATTTAGTGGTGACATCTCTCGCACTTCATAGGAACTTTCCTTTTCGACATGTACCGGTTTACTCAGCAACCGGTACTAACCCTCGACACGACACAAAGAACACTTAATTACGCACTATAATAAATTGTTTCACACATGCACTTTTACGAGGTTATGACGGTACAACGAAAAATCACTAAAATTTAACAACGATACATTGTTTAAGTAGAATTTCTCACAAATACACGATTAAAATGACAACTCGCGAACCAATAGCCTCCACTTGTGCGTTTACAGAATTGCTGTAAACACCTCGTAATCAAACGAGCAACTTAATGCGTGAAAATCATTTTACCTTTACCGTCGCTTCGATAGATAAATTGTTTAGTAAAATTAGAATAATTAATTATATAACGGTACATTCTGGTTCCTGTGACTCGTGTACAGGACAGAAAGTTGAATTATTATAACACATAGCGGTGAATTTGACTAGGGTACTCGAGATCCGGCAATCACTGGTCGAAGCGCCATCACTGTCATGGCCTTTTCCTGTTCACGCTTGCTCCAAAGAGGACGTGAACGTAAGTTGTATGGTAAGGAACTCGGAGATTCGATGTATTTACCCATCGGTTGTGTACGCAAAAGTGATATCGAGTAGCTGGAAATATACGGAGCTAGTTGGTGTTTGTAAATGTACGATATGTTCTGTAATTGATCAGTCGGAAGGTGTTCCAGTTGTACGTGCGACCACATGGCCACATGCTTTCACGATTTTCATATAGGTTTTATATCAACAGAGAGTGTAGTGATTTTCACCTAACGTTTTAACTTGGAACAAAAATTGTTTTCAACGTGTGCACCGTTTCGATTGAAACGATTCGATAGCACGATACGTGTCAGAAATTTTCTTTTCCAGCTAAACAACATTTCCATATTCTTTTCACCCTCGATGCATTGTATTTGTTGACATTTGAATATCTTTGTTTTTCTTTTTTACGGATCACACAACCGATTATTTTACTTTCCGGCCTACTTACAACTTCCCTTTTGTTATTTATCGTAGTACCAAAATTTGACACCTGTAATAATTTTTTAACTTTACATCGTTTCTACTTGTTGGTTACCTATAAGATTTATAATTAATTTTAACATAACTTTGATGAAAGAATACTTGAATTAATCGACCAATTTTATTTTGCAGATAATCATGGCTGATATAGAAACGTTTGACGATATAGTGGTACCCACTACCGCGGCCTTACCGGTAACTCTATCCGCAGAGTTACCAGAAATTAAATTGTTCGGTCGTTGGAATTGCGACGATGTGCAAGTAAACGATATGTCCTTGCAAGATTACATTGCCGTTAAAGAGAAAAATGCTAAGTATCTTCCACATTCTGCCGGACGTTACGCCGCGAAGCGGTTTCGCAAAGCTCAGTGCCCTATCGTAGAACGTCTTACGAATTCGCTAATGATGCACGGGAGAAATAACGGCAAAAAATTAATGGCAGTCAGGATCGTGAAGCATGCCTTTGAAATAATCCACCTTCTCACGGGAGACAATCCCTTACAGGTAATATTCTCCAAAAATCCTTCTACTCTTATGTATGTTATAACCATTTAAGATTTTAACACGTTTGTATTCTTTGTTTAAGGTGCTCGTGACGGCCATCATCAATTCAGGACCAAGAGAAGATTCTACTCGTATCGGTCGCGCTGGCACGGTCAGAAGACAAGCAGTAGACGTATCTCCGTTACGACGCGTTAATCAGGCAATCTGGTTATTATGTACCGGTGCTAGGGAAGCCGCATTCCGTAACATTAAGACAATTGCCGAATGCCTAGCCGACGAACTTATCAATGCCGCGAAAGGCTCGTCAAATTCGTATGCGATCAAAAAGAAGGACGAACTCGAGCGTGTCGCTAAATCTAACCGATAAACATGTTCTTTTGACAACATACAAATAAATACTTTATCTTTAAAATGGTCTTATTATTACAACGCTTTCCCTAATCGAATGATTCGCGGGTAATGATTGAATATTTATACGTTAGTAGGAAAAACAAACTTTTTATTTAGGGGATTTTGTAGGCGTGTATAGTTGGTAACCCGTTTACCTTGGCGAGATAAGGTAACAGTGGTACCACTACAAATACCTGCCCTGTATTGGGGTAGATCAGGTTAGAGTGGGTTAGAGGTGAATTAGGAGCTGCTAATAAAATCTTTGTTTTCAGTGAATCGTGTGAAATATTAAGATCGAGCATGGCAGGAGCGCTGAAAAAGGTAAGGAATTTGTATAATTCGATAGATATAGCAATAACGTATAAGAACATTTAATCGATGCGAAACTGGTTACTTTCAAAACATAACCATACTATAAAGTTTCGCTGTCCTTTGGATTTTGCGGTCAATTCTTCCACATTGTTAATGATTTTCTATTCTTTTAGACAACAGGATTAACTGGTCTTGCTGTTCTGAAATTCCCTCATCGTGAACTCGACATAACGTACGAGAAACTTTTGCGTCTCTTGGCTGCCATGCCAAAAGACTCCGCTTACAGAAGATATACCGAGAAACTGGTTAAGGAAAGACAAGATATTGTAAAGCAGGTGACTAACGATTGCTTTCGTACATTTAAACGATACGGTAATCAAGTTTAAAATGATAATGTTACAATCGATGTTGTATCACAGAACCCAACAGTCGAAGCAGTGGAAGAGAAAATAGGCTGTGGCCAAGTTGAAGAGCTTCTAATACAAGCAAAAAATGAAACAATGTTGGCTAAGGATATGTTAAAATGGAAACCATGGGAGAACTTGATAGAGGAACCTCCGGCCCATCAGTGGACTTGGCCTCCTCACAAATAAAACGAATCATTTCGCTGACATTTTTACATAGGACTTAAAATTTCGTCGCTTTATGCAGTATCATAGATTAAAGTATATATTATAACTACAGTAGTATTTATTTCTATTTGTACATAAGCTTGTCTGATAGTGTTCAAATATAAAATGTAAATTATTCATAATCTATGTACATTTAGGCATAACTGATTGATTCGGCGTAACTAAGCGATCGAAGGTGAAGAATTATTGCCTCGGAGCGAGTCTAGGAACAAAAGGAGTTGAATCTCGATTGGAATCTCTTGCAGGAAAAATATGTCGATGCGTTCGGCATGAAGTACACGAGAAATCATAGCCGAGTAGAAGGTATAGCGCGAGGAATGTAGAGAGGAAAGGGTTTAAAGAGCGAGAAAGAGGAAAAGAGGGGAGTAAAACGTTACGCGTTACTCGAGTGTAGTAGTGGGGAAACGAGGAAGGAATAGAGTAGGTTGATGGTAGGTTGTGGAGGTAGGAGAACGGTTTTAACCAGGTATTCAAGGGTGGGGGATTCGAGAGAGCCGCTGTTCAGTTCCGATTTTGCGTCGCGCGCGAGGATAGCGAACACGCGAATCGCACTCTGTTTCAAGACGTTCTATCGCCGATACGTTCTTTGCTACCACGTTTTACATCTTTGTTTTCCTCCTCTTCCTCCTCTTTATCCTTTTCTCTTTTCCCTACTTTTATCCTCGCCCTCTTTCGATTTCTTTCTCTCTATATCTCTAACCCGAGTCTCTCCTGTCCCCTGAAATTTCCATGCCCGTCATTTTTGCTTAACGAAAAGTAAACACGGTTGTTCCAATGGAAATTCTGAATGTAAGAAGGATATAGGAGAGTCGCGGGTTCGTAGATTCGAAATTCGGCCGCGGAATGCGCGTGTGCTTCGGTGCAACGAGAGCTGCATCTTGAACGCGAACGACACTTGTCAGATTGTTTGTGATAGTGAACTAGCCCGTCGGTTCGAATTAAAACAACCGTTTTGCTCCTCTAGGAATATCATCCGAAAGATATCGATCGATGGATCGAGTGATCTGGTGATACTGGAAGACAGGGAGAGCTCCGAGACAACGAATTGAAGATCGGTGTGTACAAGATTTTCGAGTTAAAAAGCGCGTTGATTTCCATCGAGGAATGATTTTTAATTCGTTAGAGTATCGTCTACGATGAGAGCGGACGAGGATCGTAACGAGTATACTTACTTCATCCTGTTCCTAACGAATATCTACGATATTTCGTGGCGAGGAGAAACAATAGCCGTGGAAGGAAACGCGTTCCCGTTCGAAGACAATGCGTGTAATTTCGTGGAACGCGACGAAACGAAAGCGGCTAGGATATTACCATCGCTCGAACGAAAGTCAGCGAAAACTGTTGCCCCTTCGTTTGATCAGAGGAGATTTCCGTTTCACGCGAAAACCCAGGGGAATGATTGCGCGAACGAATCGGAAGAACGTTAACGCGGCGTGACGTTGGCCCGTTACGCGGTCCATGCTCCGCGCTCGAGAGTTAGCTTTGTTTACGCTGCTCGTTGGCGAAGAATCAGCGGAGGCTAACCACGGAGACAACCGAGCGAGAAGAAGGCGAGGCTCCTTTACCGGCAAGGCTGATCGTTATCGTTTTAACGCGTTTCCTTACGTAACGCACACACACACATGCGCTTAAACTCGTCCCTTTTTCTCAATTATCCGAACCGCATTCTTCTCCGCTCTATCGAGTCGCAATTGTCTCTGGCTACGATAAAGCGAGGATAATCCGAGTTGTTTGTCGGTTAGAATCGTTAGGGAAAGAATTTCAGATGATAATTTTCCAATTCGATCGGATCGTAGGGCAGGCTGTAGTAATGCAACGTCGAGGGAGTAAAATCGCTTTGCGACGAGACCGGTCCGCCTCGTCGCAACGTTTTACCGTTTTGATCTTACCGGTTCACGGGTTCCGACCTCGATCGAAGCAAACTCGCTCGAGCAGAGTCGAGTCGAGTCGAATCGAATCGAACCGAACCGATTCATCTTCTCCTTTATACACGTCGCCTGGCGTAGTCGCGCGTATCGCGAAAGCGACTCGCTCCAACGAACTTGTCGCGGTCCGTTCGGCTCGGTTCGCTTACGGTTCGAAATCGGCGTTGATTTACTAATCGGCGTGTATCAACGCGACCGTTTCGTTTCGTTTCGTTTCGTTTCGTTTCGTTTCGTTTCGATCGAGCGAAATGCAAATCGACGGGATCGAAATCGCCAGCTTCGAATTTCAAGCAAACACGTTACTTTACCTCGCATCGTTTTACGTTTTATAATACGTTTGCGCGAGCAACTTTCACTTCTCGTTGCCTGTTATTCCTTGTTCGTGAGCGTCGAGAATGTTTCGCGAACGGGCTTATCGTCCGTGTCATTGGAGAACAGCCTACGCGGATTTCATGGTAAACGCAACGTCCTCGCGAAACGAGCGCGGTTATAGGATAGAGTCGATTTTTTCGAAGAAAATGGAAATAAAATAGACGTTCCGAGGATCGAGGAAAATGGCTAGGAAGGTATTCGCGCGAGTTACTGCCGTTTACCGTTGTTTTTCTGCCGTCTAGCATCGAGCGCGATGCCTTTGCATCCGTCGATTGGCGGTCAAGCGTTTCTCTCGGCCAGACTTGAAAACGATTCGCGATGCTCGATGGTCCAAGCGTGCATCGCACCGGCGAGATTGGGATCGAGAAAGTTTTCGTCTCGCGAGGAGAAACGAGATTACGAAACGTCCGTAGCCGCGAAGAATGTTACGCGCACGCGTGCTCGCAGGAAGTTTTGCAAGCAACGTTTCGTCTCACGACCTGGATGTTCGACGCCGGTTTCACGATGCATCGGCCGATCGGCAAGCTATCGGCGGAGAACGATAATAGAGAGGAGAAGGTTCGCTGAAAGGAGACCGGTAATCCGAGGCCGACGGAAAGAGACGTGGAAGGGTGAGAAGGCGAAACGCGTGCCACGTAGATTACGCGCATCCCGTGGATCGGTATGGAAAACGGAGCCGCTGCAGCGGACAAAATTGCTCCGAGGGTTGATCGATGGGAATCCACCACCGTTCTACGTGCAACCGGCAAACTTCCGTTTTCGCTCCGTTGCGTTTCCTTCTCTTCTTCGTATCCGCTGTATCCTTCGTTGCCGCAACCTACGATAGGCCAGCACGCACACCTACCTACTACACTCTTCTCTTCTTTTACCTTCTGTTCAGTTTTGTTCGCCTTTCGCTCAATCACTCGGCGAACCTGGCTTCGTAGCTTTCCTTCCGCATACCGAAATTCCTGGGAAACGACGCTCGGTGACTCTCGACGCTTGTTCTCCATGACCGTAGACGCGGCTACTCTGAAACGTTCGATCTTCTACGATCCGTTATTGGCATTTTGTATTTTCCATCCTCTGGTTCCACCCTCCGTTGTTCACCTCCGAGCGTTCTAGTTGATCGGCAAATCGAGTTACCGCTCGACGGATGGAATTTCTTCGATAAACTATTCCGATTCGCGTAGCCTCGAGCAGGCAAAGCGCATGCGCGCAGGTGCGAATGGAATGGGTGCGCCACGGTGCACTTGCGCGGCTCTGCCTGACCCAGATGCCTCGCGAATAAAACTTATCCGTGCTCGTTCTTGACATCCTGCTCTTCCCTTCTACCTCTCTACCCCTCTCCTCTCTCTACACCTGTTCTTCTCTCTTCTCCGAAATTCCACGCGAGAATCTCTATTCGAACAAGGCTTCCTCTCCTTTCCCATCTGCGATGCTTTAACGAACAAGCTAGAGAAAAGATTCGTTTCATAAATGAGAAGGGTCGGCGATCGTTGCACCGTTCCATCTACTCGGCTGCACGCGATTTCCGCGTTCCCGCTCGACTTGTTCGTTCTTGCGTCGTTCGCTCATCGAGCCCGGCAATGTCGCTACAATTTCCCTGCTACTCGCGTTTCACGATACAATTATCCTTTCCCACACGATATCCCGCTCGTCTCTCTCCTACATTTCGCCGCGAAGAGAAATCGAGACAAAGGTCCAGCGTGAACAATTCTTCCGTGAAAGAAACTAACGATCCGCGACCGATCGTTGGCTAGGTGCGAAAGAAAAGCGTTCGATCGAATAAATCGTTCGTGGGAACGAATCTCCTCTGTGCTCTGTTTCGAGCCCGATCGATCGTAGATAAGATCGAAGACGTCGTCGCGTCGGATCCACGCGTGGAATCGGTAGACGTAGCCGATCGTTGACCGAGTTGGCGAGTTCTTCGACGCGTTTTCTCGATACGTACCGCGTTCCCGGGGCCGCTTTCTATGCCAGCGAATGGAGCGTGTTTCCGTGTCTTCGACTTATTTGCCGACTTTCAGATTCCTCACGGATTCCGTTTGCGTTCTCGTTAAACGAATTTCGGTCATCGAACGCGCGCGCTCGACTTCGAAAGCGAAAAGAGAAGGAAGAAGAGAAGGAGGGAGAAAGAGACAGTCGTCGTCGTCGTCGTCGTCGTCGTCGCGGCTTCTCCGCTCTCACCGGATGTGCCGGATCGAACTCGCGTTTCCCACCCGTTCGCGTACAGCCCAGCAGGAAGACTTTCTTTTTCGCGCGTGGACCGCGACCTCGATCCCATTCGATCAGAAGCCAAACTTCTTTTTCTTTCACCGTCTTTCACGCGAGCTACCTGTTCCAGCGTTCCGTCGGCGGATCGGTGCACAGGTTGTTCGCGTCGTTAACGCATAAGGATCGTCGTACGAGAAGGAACCGTGTGCGCGTCTCTCCACAGCTTTCTCTTCGATTTTACGCAACGTCGCGGGCCTGGAGGAACATCGACGCGGAATGGTACGCGTTTCATTCCCTCCGGCGGATTAGCGGCTCTCGAGAAATCGAACCCGTCTCGTTACGTCTCGTTTCGTCTCGTCGCGACGCGTGGTACATCGTTCGACGAACAGGGCACTCTCGAATCGATTCGAAACCGTTAGAGAAACTTTGTTATCAACTTTCCTTTCGTTTCGTTTCGTTTCGATACGACAGATGCGAGATGGAGGACGAGTCGGGTTTCTCGTAGCGAGAAGGCGAAGATGGGCAATAACGGAAGCAGCTCTCGGGAGCAACAGGCCGCGTCCGTGTGTTCGAACGGACTGGTAACGACGTCGGAGGCAAGCCGAGGATGGTCACAGTCGTTCCCTCGGGAGCTGGCCAGGCACCATCACCGTTCCCAAGCTCCGCCGGTGGTGGCGGCGCGAATGGTCCTGCCCGAGCCACCTAATCAAAGACTACGCGCCACCGACAACGGATCCATCATACAGAACGGCGGCACGATAAGCGGTCGCAGAGCGCCGACGTTTTCATCATCCCGCGATTTCGCCAAGGTAAACGTTACAGATTACACGATTACACGATTACGCGGTTGAAAGTTGGAGGGATTGGTGCGATCCTGACGTGTTTCAGAGGAACGAGCCGTTTCGAGAGAGAAGCATCTCCGCGTGCCAGCCTGCCGAGGGCCGATCGCGAAGGATCGACCGACACTGTTGTCGTTATCGAACGGAGCAAAATCGAGCGGAAGCGACCTCGAACCTGAAGAGATTCGACAGCGAGCCCGATCTCCGTTACTCCCCGGATGCTTGCTCGTCGATCCAGGATCGTTCGAGTATCGGCAGATCGAGCGACAGAGAGGACGGTGCTCGAACCTCGAACGGTCAACGCGCGCAACTCAGAGAGTCCAAGGAGCGGCTCGAGGGTAGATACAAAGCTAGGAAAAAGTACAAAGCCCCGGCTCCTCCGAGCAACGGCGATCTCGCGGACGAATCACCGTCGACTCTCGGCGGAGGCGGCGATGTCGAGACTCGTTGCAGACTCGAGCAACAGCAGCTTCAACCACCCCCGAGGAGATCTCGTCTGTTCAAAACTCGAGCGGAGACGAAGAAGGCTCAGGTCACTTGGCAATTGTCCTCCGGCGGGCTGGCTCGTTCGTTCGATCGTGCACGCGAGTCAGCCAGCCGTACGACCGAACAGAACACCGATCAACGATCCGCTTCGAATCGTTGGAACGCTTCCAGTACGAATCGTTTCAACGAGCAGACGTCTGATCATCGAAATCGATGCAAACTCACCGACGGGAAGAACACTCTGCAGAGGAGTATGAGCAGTCCCGAGTTTCAGGCGGAGCTGATCCAGGTGGCGAGGCGAGTTCGCGACAAGCTCGACTGCACCGGTAAATCGGTCGGCCTCGAAGCTGCTGATTTCGAGGGACGAGCGGCGAACGCATCGACGGAGGAAGAAAGATCCCTCGTTCCGGCGGCGCCTCCTCAAGCCGAGGGGAAAATCAACCACGCGAGATCGACGAGCGTCGATCGAGACTCGATCGTGAAACCTACGAAGCCGGTGAAGCCGATGCTTCGGAGACTCGAGGACGACGAGACGACGAGACGTCGAAGCGGATCGTACGGCAAGGCCGTTGAACTCGCGAGAGAGAGAACCGTTACGGGTGCGAGCGGTCCGGAAACGTTGCGAGACAAGGAGAATCGGGATCCTGGACGAAGGAACGGCGAGTCGAACGGCGCTCGTCGGAAACGTTCGATCGACGGAGAACGAACGGACGGCGTGGAAACGGACAAATCGGATACGAAGAGAAGGAGCAACCGTGTCGGCGAAACTACCGCGTCCGTGGTCGAGGATGATCGTTCCAGACAAGAACACCGTCGTTCGTAAGTTACTGGTTTATACCTCCATTCGCTTTCGACCGTGTAATCTGAAAATCAAATGGTCTCTGTGGATTCGTTAGATTCGTCTCCCCGACGCGATCCGCGCCAAAGACCTTCTATTTTGGAATGAACGAAACGCGGACGGAAAGCAACGAGCCAGATCTGCGGGGAACCGAGGAAGCTGAGTTCAAGTTTCCGGACGGTGGGAACGAGGATGGTAGACCGACGGTGGATCTGATCGACGACGAGGACGAGAACGTCAGTTTAAGATCCTTTGCACTATCGGAATCCCTTCTTTTTCCTTTGACACGACTCTTTAACCCTGTTTTAGGAGAGGAACGTGGTCGAGAACATCTCGCTGAAATTGCGACCAACCCTGCCGAAGAAGCAGCTCGAGATTCCGCGATTTTCGCCGTCGGCCGCATGGAGATTGCTGTCGGCACTGGAAGCACCCGGACCAAGCATGAGCACCGCCAGCGAAGAATTGCCGGTTCGTAAACGCGTTTTTCGATGGATCCGACGAAACAAATTCTCTAGCCGGTTGGCGTTTCAGGTGACGTTCGAGGAACGAATAGAACGTTCATCGAGACCGCCGCCCCCGTTTCCGTTGTCGCTGGGCCCGAGGAGCTGGCACGACAAGTCAGGCGATTCGGGCATATCTGGCGACGCCGGGGCGGCGAACGACGACTCGTTGGACGTGAGTACGATCAACAGGATGAAAACGACGCCGATCAGGCCCGCGTGGACGCCGCAGCAGGACTTGGGGGAGGAATCGAGCAGCGACGCCGGTGTCGACTCGCCGCCGCCTCCACCGTTGCCAACCCCGTTTAAATATCCCCCTCGAGCTCACGTCTTCTCCCTCTCGTTGCCCAGAGACGACGCGAGAACCTATTTCTGCGCTCCCGACCCGAAGTCCAGAGAAGGATCCGCCTTCAATTCCCTTCAGAAACTGAAGAGGTCGGTGTCCGGAGCTTTCGGCATCGGCGCGCACGACCCTCGAACCAGTTCCACCCGCGACCTTCTCGACGACAATTGGCTCTTGTCCTCGAGCGCGCCAAACTCGTTGCAACACAATCGGGTCGTCGATGCGTCGCGAAACTCGCCGTCCGCTTGGAAACCGTATTTATCCCGCGAATCTACCGGGCAGCGCGTTTACGGACGCGACAGCGGCCCCGAGGACGACGAGAACGAACCACGCGCCGACGACGGACACGACGACGGCGACGATGGAGACGAAGACGAGGACGAGGATGACGACGAGGACGATGACGAGGACAGTGACGCCGTGGACGCGGACGTTGACGCTTCTGTGCGATACGAAGCCGACGGGGTACGCGTCGACGAGGACGGCTCGAAAAGCAACAAGTCGAACGATTTCCCGGTCGTCATGAAACCACCGTCTTTCTCATACTTGACCCCGGGCGGACACGTGATGTATCTACCGGAATCGAACGACGCGGAACATCGGGCACAGGGTTTTAACGGCGAGAAAGTTAAACGCGACGAGGACGAGGACGAAGACGAGGTCAACAATGACGTTATGCCGGCGAAACGACGATCTAGAAACTCCAGAGGTTACATAGACGCGAAGAATTCGAGGGGAAGGAAGGAATCTTTGAACTGTTCCGAGATGTACGAGGCAAAGAGGGTGTCGTCCGGTTGCGAGGAAGTGGTTTCCTGCAAACAGACGTCCACGCAGGTGACGGAGACGAAACCTCAACGAAAGAGCAGAAGATTCACTTTTCAATCGACCGTCAGGCAAATAGAGAGGCGCAGGTTGGCCGAGAAGTTGTCGAGGGAAGCCGAAGCGAAGGAACGACAGCGGAAGGGTGAACTGGAAGCGATGCGAAAGGTCGAGGAAGAGTTTCAACGGAAACGCGCGAAAGAGAAGGCGAACATCAGGCAACAGTTGCGTTTGTTCAAAGAGATGGAAGAAAATTTCGAGTAAGTAACAGCTTTAGAGCGATCGCGGCAAATCTACATCTCGCGAGTTGGTTGGTTGGTAAATTGCAGTAGCCTGGCGAGCCCGAAATGGGACGGTTCGCAGTTGTCTCGCGCCGATCCGGACGGCGCTCCGTCTTCCACCGCTTCCTCTCCGACTTCCATGCCGATCGGAAACACCACCCCAGTGTCCGGCAAAAGCTTCGTCCACGAGGAACATCGCCGGAAGAGAAACGTCGGCTCGGACTCGAAGAAACGTCGCGCCGGCGAACAGGCCGCTCATCGTGCGAAGTACTACGACTGGGCGCCGGACGCCTCGTCGCACCTGGAACACAAGCAAACCACCGTCCATCCGAAGATCGTTTGCGACATCCCGAAAAGTTCTCCTGTTTTTGTCGACGCGAACGTCCATCCGGCCAAGCCGGTCGCTTCCAACTCCACTCCGAGGTCGGACAATTACAGGTAAGTTCAGAGGAGTGGTGGTCTTTTCCTTTGCCAACAGTAACACCACCGTTGCTTCGTTTCTTTTTCATAGGAAGGATTTCGCCCACGGTGCCGTGATAACCAAGACTTCGTTTGCGAGCAGCGACAGCGAACTCTCGCAGCCGAACACGAGACCGCACTCCAGGCAGACCGGAAGCAACGGCAAATCTTTTCGAGCTGGGTACGCGTCTTCCTCATTTTCTTTTCATCTTTCCCGTGAATCGCGATCATAGACGTCTTTATCGGTTCTTAGTTCCGGTGATTCCCTGTAGAATAGCGTTATCGCGCCTCACCTCGCGGTAAACGATCGCTAATCGTTCGCTTTTCCTTTTCGTTCCATCCAGGTATTAAGTTGGGCATGACGCAAGTAATTCTAACGCGACTCTAGTCACCTTTTAACAACGCTTCGCTAAAGCTATGCGAGGATACGCTTTTAATCGCGCATGGATCTGCAGGAAGCGTGTCGTTCGCGAGAATTCCTTCCGCGCGTTCCTTCCACGTAGAAACTGTTTTCATTTCCGCGAAACCTTTTCAACGAAACGAGTTAAACGACGTGTGCAAAGAAAACGAACGAACGGTTGAGCAGGTCCGGCGGAAGTCCAGGGCAAAGCGAGGAGCCGGGGACTGGGGACAAGGAACTGGACGACCCGGTGGAAGCAGCGGAACAGCCGAGAAAAGCAACGCACGATTTTACACTAAGCGGAGTGCAACCTTTCACGAAGCAGAAAGCCTACAGACCGATTTCTTTCAACCCTCAACCACCTCCACCTGTTCCAAGCTAACCAACTCTTACCGTCTCCTTTCAATGCAACGTAATCCCCTCGTTCAACCTATATTTACTCTACGTATATATGTATATGTATGTATGTATGTACATATGTAACATAACAAAATAAAACAGTGTCTCGTTAAAAGTGGCTTTCTTTTAAATTTAAATATTTCACTTTGCTTCTGCGCACACGTCTGCGCAGACTCTGCGCACACGGCTGCGCAGACTCCGCGCATGCGCGTAGTCTCCCGCGTTTGGCGTCGCATTATTCCAGCAAAATGGCGGATACGAACATTGTCGTTGCCGGTGTTATTGCTTCTACTTCATCGACCGATGGATCTTCTAGGATTCGTCGAGCCATACCATCGATTCCAGCAATGTAACAAACCATTTTCTTTCCTTTTTACTTCATTTCTTTCTTTCTCTTTATTCCTTCGTATCTATAGACGCAGCGAATTCGAGTCATTGTTGTCCAACAGCAGCGACGACGAAGACAGCTCGTTGCAGGGAATTGATTTTCCGATTCAATTACGATCGAAAGGCGTCACCGATAATGCTAACAAATCCAGATTAATAGAGACCGGTATTTACGAAGACGAAGACGAGGTTTGTAGAGAAATTGAATTTTCACTAGATCGCACGGTATGTTGGTACTCGTTTGTTTCGCAGATCATTTTATCGATAATTTGGAACAAGAATCGGTTGGGTGCAGCGTATTACAATGTTCTCACGTCCGAATTGTTCGTGATGGAGGATACGACTGACGACGTCGAGTGTTTCGACGCGATGAAAGCTTTGTACAGGCAGTGTATGCCACGTTACGTACTCACGTACGCCGGGGTGGCTGGTGCGTTCATCATCGCTCTGAAAGAGATGATAACAGGGGATGCACCGAACCAAGGTTCGTCGAGTTCCTACGACTCGAGGCGCACCGCGGAACTGAAGATAATGTGCAGAAAAGAGCACAATTACGAGCGATGCTCACAGAGAGTGCGTTGTTTGCGGCTGGAATCCGAACCTAAGGAGGCGAGTAACGCGGACAGGCTGACTTTCTTGAACACTATACTCAATTTTAAATGCTGCACCATGATTCACGCGCTGGGCTCGCTGTTGTTGTTCATCGACAAACACTGGAACGATATCGCCTTAGTTCCATCCGGAAGACCGTCCTTCGTCTCGCTTAATTTCATTACCCTGTAAGCAATCCTTTCTGTTACCATCTATCCTACATTGCTCACGATCTTATCTCTTACTACTTCCTCGAACAAAGTCAAGACCTGGTCGCGATAGACGAAGACACCTACGAATCGTTGAACATCGTGCGAGCCAAGGATCATCCAAGTCTGTTCAAGTTTGGAAAAGCGGACTCGAAAACGAGAGGCGCGAGCCTGTTCACCCTGCTCAGTCGTTATTGTCTGTCTCAACCAGGAGTGCAGTTTCTATGGTAAATCCTTTATTTCCTCAGCCACCGATCAAGTCGGTGGTGTACCTGTATTGTAAGGTAATCGTTTCGCCGATAGGAAAGCGCTGCATCATCCGACGCGAAACTTGGATGTATTGGAGGAGAGATTGAACGCGATCGAATTCTTCTTGGACCTCAACAACCAAAACTTCGTGGAGAACCTGTCGAGTTGCTTGAGGCACGTGTACCGTTTGACCAACGCTATACTCGCCTGTTGTTCCGGGCCTCAAGCGAAAGCCTCCAATTGGTATAAATTGCACAAGGTTCGTTTCTCGTGGCGGAACGGTTGCTTATCAAAGGGACGAGGCAACGACTTTGAACGATTTACTACTTCGTTCTCTTTCAGACCGTATCACACGTAATTTGCATCGGCGACATATGCGAGGATCACGCGGAAAAGATTCCAACGTTCAAGCGAATCGCCGAGAGCGTCACTACCGAGATGCAATACGTCAAGTATTTTATCGAGTATATAGTCGATTTCGGCGAGAGCAGGCGAGAAGGGAAACTCGTGGTGAAACCGAACGTCGATCCTTTGCTGGACGAACGTACGTAGAAATGCATTTCCATCTTTCCATCTTTTCGTCATTTTCTTTCCTCCTTTTTAGTGAATCACGTACGACGCACTTTGCCCGAGGTGCTCACCCGGATGGCAGAGAAAGACATGCGGGAACATCTTCCTCCTTCGGTCGAAGGCTGTAACATGCTCTACTTGCCGAATATCGGTTACGTGCTGGCGATAAACAAGTGGAATCCGACTCCACCGGACGACAACGTTCTCTTCACCGATTTGGAATTCAAATTCACCATCAACGACGTGCGCTATTACAAAAGCTCTTCGGCCAAAGGTTTGCGGGAAACGAAACGTAATCTCTTTTTTACAATAACGAGAATTCTTTTGCATCGTCGTTTCAGAGCTGGACGAAACGGTGGGCGATATCTTTCTGAAGATCGCCATGCGACAAAATCATATCATACAAAAGTTGGTGCGATATGTAAAGAAACATACCGGGTCGATCTTGCGCTCGATTCAACTGTGCGCCGAACTGGATACGTACGTATAAGCAAAATAAAGTTTCGAAGAGGCAACGATTAAGAGATTACCATTACAGATTGATCGCGTTCCACAAAGTGGCGCGCGATTACAATTACGTGAGACCGATTTTAACCGACTCAAAGATATTGGAAGTAGTAGAGGGACGACACCCGTTGTTGGAGTGCGGTTGCACCTTCGCTCCGAATGATATCCATTCGGGAAACGGGAAGAGTTTGATCAAAGTCATAACAGGGCCGAATTCGTGCGGCAAGAGCGTGTATCTGAAACAGGTAGGGCTCTTGTTATTCATGGCGCACATAGGCTCTTACGTGCCAGCCAAATCGGCCACCATCGGCACGATCGATCGTATCTCGACTCAGCTGTCTTACACGGAGAGTATCGGCTTGAACGCGAGCTCGTTTCTGCAAAATCTTCGACAGGTAAAATACAGGTGACTTGTTTATAGATTGAAGATGAGCGAAAAAATTGCTTGGTTTCAGATCAACGTTGCCCTCCGCGCGTCTACAGGCAAGTCACTCGTGATAACGGACGAATTGGACAGAAATACGTCGGAAATTAGCGGATCGTCGCTGGTCGCGGCCGTGCTGAACGAGTTTGCGGAAAAAGGCGCCGATTGTCCCCACGTGTTTGCCACGACGCACGCACACGGTGTTCTCGCGTTGCTTCCCCGAACACCATTGATCCAGGTTCAGGTAAACGAAGCAAACATTTCCGGGAAAGCTATTTAAAGCAGCTGCGCGATTTCCCTTATGCGTAGACCTTTGAATACACATTGAACGAGGACGACAGTTTGGCCTTTCTTTATCGGTTGACCAGCGGAAGTAGCCAGCGCAGCTTCGCGCATTCTGCCGCGAGAGTCGCGGAATTGGACGAAAAGGTCGTAAAGCGAAGCCTCGAGGTATGTAATTCCATTGTTTCCCGCTCTACTTATTTTTCAAGTCGTGCGATTGAATTCGTTGCAGGTGTACGAGAAGATCAAGCAGGACACGTTACCATCCCCGGTCGATCGACGCTTCGAAACGTAAGATAATTGCTATAAAAATTGCAAGCGTGTCCTTTGGAATTGAGAGGGAAATTTTGATTTCAGGGTAAAGCGTATCGTGGAACTGTTCGAAACGAGCACAGACTTAGATTTAGACGAGGTGAAATCGTTGGTACGGCAAGCCGTACACCCGAAATAATGTCAAGTACCTACTTTTAACTACGTTTAAAGAATAAAATTCTACGCCGCATAATTTACAAATAAAAATAAAAAAATAAGAAAAAAGCAGTCGGAAGGGGTCAAATTGATTCGTTAAACGGCCGATAGATGGGAGGAGGATGCAGGATTTAGAAAGGAGGAACGCGACGTTTGACAGATGTCGCGTCGATCGCGGTCGACCGAAAGTTGGCGCTCGCAGTCTTTCCGTTGTCAATAACGGACACTGGCAGTATCCCGGCACAAAATCCCGGAAACGTCTTGTTCGTAAAAATTCGACGAATCTCCGGATGTAAGTTCGAGTCGTGGCATAATCGTTTCGGCGTGCGTATAAATTGGCGAAAAGAGAGCGTGTTGTCGCGGGTGATACGCGACGTATCGTTTTATGTTGAATTCGCGAAACGGGCGTGCCTTGGACGATCGGTGACGTCCCTGACGCGAAAATATACAACGACCAGAGGCGGCGAATAACGAGAACGAGACTGCGACTGCGACAGCTACTGCGACGTCGACGACGATCACGACGACGACGTCGACGACGATAACGAGGTGGAGGAGGAGGAGGAACGGCAGCGGTAGTACAGGAACGAGAAGGCGTACAAAGAAAATAGAGCAACGGCAAACCGGTGACGGGAAGGGAAAAGTACCACGGCGGGGAAGACAAACGCAACGCCGCGTGATTTTGAACGCGAACCCCAGCTCGTAACTGTCAACGGTCGGATTCCGAAGTCTCGCGAACGCGGGCCGTACCGTGAGTAAGGCTTCTTCGAGTGAATCGTTACGTTCTTCGTTCTCGTTCGCGTTAACCACGAATATCGTCTCCGCTCGATCCGGTGAAGAACCGGCTGTTTCACGGTCCTGGCTACGCCGCGAGAATACGACTAAATGACCATGGACCACGGCATGTGCAACATCGAGACCGGCTACAGCATAAATATCAAGAGAACGGACGGTGAGTAGTAACGATCATCCCAGCCAAACGTATTTTTAGACGTTTTCAAACGGTCGATCGGTCGAAGGTTTCTCGGAAGGTGGGTCGGTGCCAACAACGAGGGATCGACGACGACGACCGCGACATGCTCGTGTATTTCGTTATCGTTCGGCACCTCCTAGACCAGATGGTCGCATTCTCCCCTAATATTCCGCGAATAGTCGCATATATTCATAGTCGTCCGGTTTTCCCTTCTACCGCGACGCTTCGCACCTTCCCGGCGTGTTCAACGTTCGTTGCCAGATTCCAACCTAACCTCGTTCGATGCATCGCGGTGCAACGCGACCACTCGACCTACCGACCGATCTCTCCGCGGGATTACGCATCGTATCCTCGCGATTCGAAACTATCACGATTCGAGGGGTTCGCGATGATGCCGATAATAACCGTCGATCGGTGATACGTACACCTGCGGCGTCTGTGTACAAATACTCTTCCTTGCGCTACGACCGCGGAACGTGTTTACGCCATTTTTATTTCGTTTACCGTTTTTTTCTTTCTTTTCTTTTCTTTTTCAATTTTACGCGGCGCGTTTCGTGGCTGAATTGAAAATCCAACGAAGCCGGTGTTCCAGCTGGTTCGCGATCGTTTCCCTCGGTCGCGTGCAACGGATATCCTTTCACCGCGTGCAACCGAAACAGGAGGAAAAAAAATCACCGCCACCGTCGCCAGCTATCCTCTTCGAGTCATTAATCGCGTTCTTCTTACGCGCTCTGAATGTCACGCACGAAACGCAGTCGTCTCCCCTCCGGGGCGTTCGAGTAAAACAGCACGCGTATGGTAGGCGCGTGCATTTCATGGCCAATTTGCGAATCGGTGGAAAGAACCCCGCCAACGATCGACGACCGTCGCGTCGTTTCACCGATCGGTCGCGAATTCTCGTTGAAACTCCGTGTGACTCAGAGGACTCGCCGAGAAAGGAGAGGCAGCAACCGGTCAGAGGTGGACGAAGGTGCTTGGTAATCCAGCCTCGAGGTTCCGATCGATCGGGAAAATCGTTCGGACTCGGTCGCAATTACTTTGGTAGATTGTTGGAAAAGCGCCCGCACGGTCGCGGGAAGAAAGCGGATCGCTAACCCAATCTCGAAACACGCTAATAATATTTATAGCTTGCTGCAGCCGTCCATATAAATAGGTGTACACCACGCGTACGAATTTCGAGCTTCCTCTCGCATCCCTTTCGTCGTTGTCCCGCTGCCTTCTCGCCGTTTTCAGCGGTGCGGATCGATTACCGAACAGAATCCGATTATCCTCGATACCTCGCCTCTTCCACGTAATTAGACTAACCTCGTGATCGTGCACCTTCACGCTCGTTTTCGAGGTTGATTCGGTTGTTCGCGAGAAAAATAGTAGCCTCGTCCGAGACGGATTACGAATTAATACCAGCGATCGGAACGAGTGCGTGGTCGTCGCTGCAACGCATTGTTCGAGCAGGGAACGCAACAAGTGGCCGACTTGGCGACACGCCGCCCGACACACTGGGCCAGATCGCGAATCTAACTGGAAAAAATCATTTGCAACAACTAGCCGCTTATACCAACTTGTAACGAAGTCATTTCTAGATTGGAAAACTTTAATCTTCAAATTCCTTTTAATTATAAAAAATTTTTTTAATTTTTAGTTTTTAGAAAAATTCAAATCGGTTAGTTTCGCTTTATAGAACGTCGCGTACTCGTCGAGGAAAGACCTTGCCCGAAATCGAAAGCCGAGCTACACTAGCGTTCGCGACTCGCACGTGGGCGCTGGATCCTTATAAGGAGGCTCGTCGCGAGATTCTTACCTCGCCGAACCTTACCTTTTATCCGTTCTTACGTCATCCACGAACACGTTTCTCCGCGATTCCTCGTTTCTGATCCACCATGTGCGCCATAACCGAATAGCCAACCCTCTGTTATCTCTTTACAGGGATTGTCTATCAAATTGCCATTTGCCCGTTGTTTCTTAATCAAAATTGTCAAATCTATCACTCGAACTGTAACGTTTTCGAGTCGGTGATTGCCGTAATTGGTTCGACTTTGATTACACGCGTAACAACGCCGCGTAGGTGTACCGCGACAAAAGAAGCGCGAACGCAAACATTTCAACTCGATCTCTTGTCTTATTCTTTCCTATCCCATTCGATTCGATTCAATTGTGCATGACCGACGTCGTCAGCCCTCGACGCGCATTTCTTTTTCAAATTCCAATGGTAATGGGAAAAGAGAAGAACGGCGCTCCTATTCTTGCACCCGAGAAAAGAAAGAGAAATGGTTGAACGGTTTGGTGATTGTCAGCGACGTTGAATAACCAGGAGGCTGGTAGGATAAGCGTGTCGCGATTGTTTCAGGTCGCGTCCACTCCGCGGTGGTCTCTGGCGTTAATTGGGAACAACGCACAGTCACCGTAGAATGGTTCGAGAGAGGAGAGACCAAAGGGAAAGAGGTAAGTTGACGAAGAACGATTAGAATCGAATAGAATGATAACGAGGAGTATTGGTATCTGTTTTAGGTGGAAATCGATGCGATCCTCGCGTTGAATCCCGACCTCACCAATCAGAAAACCATGGGACCACCTGCTCCGATGAACAACCACGTGTTGATGGCTTCCAGAGCGAGGGTACGTATCGTCCAACGAAACGACGATCGTAGAGTAATATTGTTCGTTCCTCTGCTCGACGCATACTCGTCGATGCGAAAGAAATACATATCTACTTCGAACGGTGTTTCGTACCGCATTGGATGGATCGTCGTCGCGTAATCCTGTCATTCATTTGGTTACTCGTTCGGTGTTACGCGGTTTTAAATGTTACCAGGACTGCACTTCGTCTTATGGGACAAGAAATTTTTGGTTAAAAATTATTTTGAGCCGCTAATTTTTGGTAGCCCAAAACGAAGTTTTAACGTTACCGGTTACCACCGATCGAGCAACGACGATCAACGTAGCTTCGTCGTTCTCGCTACTAACACGATGACATTTTTTCCTCCATGGACGCTGCTCTCATTATCACGGATTTGGGTCGACGCATGGATCGTCAACGACCTCGGCTTCCCGTTCGAAACCGATCGAATCCCAATACGACACCTCGCATCGTCGTCACATCGTCGCGATATCCGACGATCGCTGCCTACACGCGCTCGTCGATCCCCTCGTTAAAAATCTCTTTTCTCTTCGATCATCTTTTGCCTCGAACTCGACCGAACGGTCCGAGCTAACGCGAGTCCTTTTTCGCGTTGACGCGTTATCGAAAACGTAGGATTCGTCGGGCGAAGAGGACGAGGGGGTAGACGAGTCGGAAAACCAAGAGGATGGCTCCCTTGGACGGCACCCCGCAAGAAACGGCCTCGCATCCGCAACGCTTCCTGTACGAGTCGTTTCTGCTCTTTCGGTAAATCCTCCATCCCATTTCTTTATTCCTATCCCTGCCTGCCTCTTTGCTCCTCGCACTTTCATGCCACTTTACCACGTTCCAGCCATTGATTCAAACTTCCTTAGAACCTTTTATTCGTTTTACTTGAAATTTTATCCATCGTCGTTTCACCCCTCGCCATCGCACTCTACCAAACGCGCTTCTCTTTTATTTCACAAGCGCGATCCGCTTTCCACCAGTCGTTTCTTTTTCTATTTCTTCATTTACGTTCGATAACGCTCACCTTAGCGATCTTATCATCGAGAGTTACCCCGTTACGCGACGAAACAACGTTCTTTCGATTCAGCCTTCAAAGTGTGAATTTCTTCACGGTTTCGTTGATTTCCCGCCAACCAACGAAACGTTTTAATCGCTTTATTTTTTTCGCACCGTCGGACAGTAGGACGCTTATCGTACGAATTTAATTCACGCGTGTATTTCTTTTCTTTCCCCTTACTTCAGCGGTCACCAAACTACGGTCTGCGGGCCGGATCCGGCTCTCTCTTAAATATTTTATATAAGAAATATTAATTTAATAATTCATAATAATAAAATGCAATCGTCTTGGTATATTTGTTTACACGTACAATGTAAATTAATGATTTCAATAAGAATATTTTTCAATCCGGCCAGTTTCTCGAAAAGTTTGACGACCACCACCCCTGCCTTACTTTATTTCAAGCAGAACATTACGATACGTTTTCTCTGTTTCTTTTTTCCAGCATTCTACCAAGCCATCGATCCCGGTAAAAGGTACG